CTCTGCGCCAACCTACCCGTCTCGCCTGCTTGCTATCAGAATCTTTACCTCTTACCCCTGTGAGTCTCTCACGCTTGCCTTGTCTGTTTGCTACCCCCCTCGGACGTCGAGGTCACCTGAAACTGCCTCCTTCACCGCTTGAGAGCTTTTCTCATGTCTCTTATGTTGTTGTGAATTATCTCGCCCCCTGCCCTGCACGGCAAACAATTGTATCTACACGAACGCCATATCAAGGAACGTCTTATCGGAAATATATGACTACTCAGGGATACCGATCACTCAGTTTCTAACCCAGCAATTGACTCGTTGACTGTACATGCAATTTTGATGCAACAACACATCAAGCACAAGTCATACCGCACAGAACAAAAAAATAATACAACGAATATCTACAAACATACTTACGATACGTCTCTCGTTTACGCCTCCATTTTTTCATCCTTCACCGCTGTCATCGTCATCAAAGCTAGTTGCCGTCCCAGTCTGCACGAACGAAGGAGGCGCAAATAACTATAGTATAAACATACAGTACCGTATACGCCTCGCACACACTCGAGGCAGAGCCTAATTTTCATCTTCCAAAAACGGCCAGAGAACGTCAAAAGTGGACAACGGTAACTGCTACCAATTCCAGTCGTCGTCATCGAAACTTGTTGTCGCTGTTTCTTTTTGGCGGGTGCGAGTGAATTGGGCATTCTGTGTACTGACGCAAATGCGGACGCGGAGGGAGAGGGTGGGTGTAAGCACAGATGTCATTATAACTCTCCCAGCATTCACCGTATCATCTTCCTCATCTTCCAGCCAACTGTTTGTACGCGGGGCTGGGACATGAGTATGGGTGCGAGTGTGCGGGTAGGTGGGGCGCGTGAGTGGAGAGCTCGCGTTTGATAATGGTGCGCGTAAGGAGGTATTGCTGCTTGAAGGCGTGCGAAGGGATGAGGGGAATGGGAAAAGGGAAGGTGTTGATGTTTGCATTGATGTTGGAACTGGTGCGGGGGAGGTGGCTACTGGGCCTGGGGTTAATGCTGATACGATGGATTGGGAGACGTCTGAGAGGAGGCTGGATGCTCGTTTTTGGCTTTTGGAAAATCTGTGATGGGGTGTTAGTTTGAATGCGATGGAAAAAGCGATGATGAATGCGCCAAACAAACTGAAAGGCGGGAGGGGAACATCACTCACACATCACCTCCAAGCTTACGGCCGACGTTCCCCCATCCACCGCCGGCTACGGCGAGCGAACCGGCGCCAGGCATCGATGAAGGCGGTGCTAGGGGGGAGTGTTTGCTGCGGAGCGTGTTTTTGCTTGGTGTCTCCGAAGACCCTGCACCGTCTGTGTCGAATTCTGAAGCCACTGCTGTAACGAACGCGTCTATTCCCGGATTGAATGTACCCTGAACGACCTCTGTAGTCGAGTCCAGTTCCACGCTGCCTCGCCCCAGGTCCACACTAGTGCTCGTGCTATTATAGGAAGTGGCATGCCTCGTAAATGCCGTCGGAGGATGCGAAAGATCGCGCGATCTCCGACGGAAAACTTTCTCCTGTCTTGCTCTTGACGTTTCGTTGTCTCGTGCTTGTTTCGTGACATGTCGTTCGCTGTTTTCCGCGCCGATGCCAGAAGAAAGGGAAATGTCTTCGTCCCAGACAGATGACGCGGAACTCCTCGAAAGTCGTGTTGACGTTGATGTGGACGAATCGCTCACACGTTGTGCGTGACGTCTCGCAACATCCGATGTTTCTTCTGTGTTTATTGGGGGAGCCGGTAAGGGGATCGGAGAAGAGAGGTCGCTTAGGTCGCTCAGACCCGCCGCCAGTAATCTTACCCCTCCTTTGAGGCCATCTACGATAGAAGCGGTGGGTGTTGACGAGGGAAGAATGGGGTGGTATGGTTCGCGGTTGACGATACGCCCCCCATTTGCGTTTTACTAGGAAACGAGATAGGGTCAGTTCGCTTTGATCAGGAATTTACGCATGTGTGCTGGTGGATATAGTGCGGAACGACGGCACCAAGGAAGAAGATACAAAAGGACGAAATGAAACGTCAAGAAAGGACTCACGTTCTGCCAGATCCCCTTCAACAACAGCCAGTTGACCAGTCAGCTCGAGTCGTCTACTCTCAGCGGCAGCAATTGCGTGTAGGAGGTCGGCGTGCCTGAAATTTGAATTTCGTTGGCATCAATATTAAGACACGCAGAAATCCGGACGTACTTCTCAGCCAATGTCAGTGCAGCTCTCTCTACGCCCCCATTGACACTGGCACTGGCACTCCCAACGCTCACACGTGCGCGGGCTTCCCCAAGTGTGTTTAAGCCGCGTAATTCTTCGAGGCCTACTATGGTGCGCCTCTTCATCGAGCGTGAAGTCTTTTTGTGTCCTTCGAATAGACCTCCAGTTCCATGTGCCGTATCTGTTCCTATCGAGGCATCAGCCACGGTTGTCCCGTGTCGCGAGAACACATCGACGCGGGAGGATATGTAGGAGATGGAAGATTGCCGGCGGGTAACTTTGAGGTCTTTAATCGCGTCCTTGGGAAACGCGCCTCGTACGGGGGCACTGGTGGGTGGTGTGCTGCGACTTGGAGGGGGCGAGTAGGGCGGGGAAGGGAGAGAGCTCGCTGCTGTTGGCGAGCTGGAGGTGTTCAAGAGAGTCAGGTGTTTGCGTGTGGTGCCATTATGGTCCATGTTCGTGGTTGTGGTAATATTATATAGTTGATTTTATCGTGCGGGGTGTCGTTATATGGCAGAAGACATGGACGTTGGTGAGGGAATGAGTGAGAGAACGAAGTCACACAACGTTACGACTACTGTAGTGATGATCTGGCAGTTGCAATGCAACGAGCGCGAAATTTAACTGTAACAGTCGCTTGGGAGTAATTATGAACCGAAAAGGAAGCAAGTCCGACATAGGCTTCGACGTCGAAGGGAGTAACGATGAGAGCGAGAAAAATCTCTATTTCCAGAGGTCACTGCGCAACTGGTATGTCTCTGACATGCATCAAGGTAACTACATACTGGCCGCTCCGCACTGTGTATTAATACGAGAACCCGAATCAATGATGCGCTACCCCCGCCCTCCTTCTCGGCTTCTGCAATAAAGTTCTTGATGCTGTTGATCCTGGTCAGTCCGTGCTGCAGCACGAGTCGTTGGGTCCTGATAGAACACATACAATTGTTCCTCTTCACTGTAGACCGCACGGTCAGTCTGTGTCTGCAGGCAAGTGAGAGAGAATAAACGCACCTGGACCCGGCATTTATGGGTACAGCCTCTTTTACGCGCTCTGCGAGAGGTTTGCTTGAAGATGCAGAGTCCTTCTTTCCACCAAGGGATGCATACACGGCACCGCCGGTCGCGAAGAGTGTACCCAACGTGAGGTACTCGGTTTTAATGGCGCGACCAAAGATGACGCTGGCAATCCAGTGAGTGGGTTCAGTAGCTAGTTAATGGGATGTGTATGAAGAGAGACGCACTAAGACATGTCGATTTTCGGAAGTGGAGGAAGAGGTTCAAGCAGAAGTCAAGTAGCCCGGGTTTTCCCGGATTGGTTTTGCCGTCCAAGCCGGTTCAGAATATTCAAGCTTCAACCTTTCAATTTCAAGTCTCCACTTAGACGAACGGATACGATTAATCAACCTCTGGCAGACACATCCCCAGATATTGTCACTGAGTCAGCTGTATCCAGTCTGCGAACTCCCAAATCTCGCACTTCCTCTAGTGATTAAAAAATAAACGAAGGCAGATCTTAGACGAAGGTCCTACTGAAGTTAAGCCGTAATGCACAGGACGTTATCAACAGTCGCACGTGGAACAGCGTTCGAAGAACGATCACTCCAATTGCTTCAAGACTATTTCTCGATGTCACTAAAACGCGTCGGTGGTAAATCTGATGGTGGTGTCGACTTACTGGGCTGGTGGTGGCTTCCCCTTACCTCAGATTCCCAATCTGCCCCAATCACACCTCCCCATAGACGCATACGCGTCCTTGCGCAATGTAAAGCAGAGAAGAAGAAATTCTCACCAAACTACGTTCGCGAGATGGAAGGCGTATGGCATATGCATACTCAAGCCCGATCCCCTTCTGATTCCTCCACACCCGTATCTGAACTCGGTACATTAGCCCTCCTTCTTTCGGAATCGAAATTCACCACCGCAACTCTCACCCGTGCACTCGGATCCAGCGTCCCCTTTCTCCTCATGCACCTCCCTCCCCCTCCGTCAATTTCTTCGGATTCACGCGTCGAAACCACGCTCGGAGAAGTTGGCTCTGCTTTCTGGAACCCCGCTCTTGGCGGTGCGCAAGGTCTTCTTCGCGGGGAACTTGATGTTCGATGGGAACGTGATCCCGGAGGTGGTGGGCGGCCCGGGTTGTGGTGCCGTGACAAAAGAGTGCAAAACTGGACACCGGATACGCTTGGGGAGTGTGTCAATGCCCTTGAGGACATTGCTTGATAAGTGATTCGTCTTTGGATGACTCAACTCGCCACGCTACCATTGTATGTATATCTACTACCACGTATTCCTCTCTACTTTGGTCACACTTCTCAGAGGCGCCGACTGGGCGTGTAACTTCATTTGCATCTTCATTTCTTAACAATTATATTGACTCTCATTGTTGGTTCAGGTGTCTGGATATATGTCGGGTCCCCGGGTTCAAGCGAACTCCATATCTTAGCGCTCGCCGCCGACTGATTTGGTGCAAGTGGTGATATGTAAGACGGAACAAACCGAGGTGGATCGAAATTCTAACAGAAGCCACCTCACTGCCACTAACATGCGTTCTCAGCAAGGTGCCTGCAACTACAGCATGCAAACCTGAGCATTTAGCAGGTTCGTTATCACCCCCACCATCTCTTATCCTCGACTCTTATTTTCCGCATCATCTCAAGGCTTATTGTCTCCCATGGCTAGAGACGAGGATCGCTACGGAATCGCACCCGAGGACGACGAGGCAGCCGCAGCAGCCGCAGCAGCGATGTCACGCTCCGAGTCATTGGAAAGCATTAGACCTCTAGCGCGAGAGAAGGATCCGCCACCATATGGTGTACAGCACCGCCAGGATGCACTCTGGGAAGGTGAGTGGACGTATTGTGATACACACCGACTTACCCATTAAGGAGCAGGGGGAGACATGCACTTCCTCCTCGGTGGCACCAGTTTCGGATGTTGGATGGTACACCAAGATATCAAGACGACACGCTGATTATTGTTTCACGGAAACATCCTTTACCAGGAGTTCGACTAGGTGAGTAGTGAAAGTGTCACTAGGAGCGAGAAACTCACGACGAAGCATAGATTATCATGAACAACTCGTTGCCGGATGCGAGTGGCACATCTCAACCACTCGGTCGGTCCTACTTCGTCAACCACAACACTCGGACCACATTATGGAAGAAACCAACGCCAGAACATCCAGCAGGGAGCTTGATGCCGGAGTGCATCATCGAGGGTCACTCTCGCTGCATATGGAGTCTTGCCTGCTTTGGCACCAGTTGCAATATACTGAGCGCGTCGGGTGACTGTTCGATTCGCCAGTGGAAATGGAATGGAGAGCCGGTGGGAAAGCCTTTGGATAACCATGGGGCACGAATATGCTCCATAGCACCATCGCCGGATGAAACAATGGTTGTGAGCGGAAGTACAGACGGCAGACTACGGCTGTGGAACATAAAGAAGGGCAGTATGGTTGGTGATCCGTGGGAGGGTCACAGTGGTCAAGTGTATTGCCTCGATTGGTCTCCCAATTCCCTGGAGATAGCAAGTGGATCAGAAGACGGCATCATTCAACGCTGGAACCCGGATACTGGCCGACAAATAGCACCACCGATAGAGACCAGACACGGTTGGGTGAATGCTATCAAATACTCTCTGCAAGGTGACAAATTTACGAGCGGTGGGGATGACAAGATGATTCGCGTGTGGTCAAAGGATGGGCAGCTACTCATCAAAATCAAGGGGCATGAGTCCCCGGTGACGTCGTTGTGTTGGTCCAAGGACGGCAGACACATATTCTCCGGGTCAGCCGATCACACCATCCGAAAATGGCGGGTCGATCAATGGAGAGGAGGTCGTCGTTCTTCGGGGTCATACCAATATCGTCAGATCCCTATGTTTGTTTCCTAATGAGAGTCATCTTGTTAGCACATCAAATGACTGCTCCGTTCGCATCTGGGACCTCGAGACGAATAAGCCAGTCAAAGACCCGCTCTTGCATAACGATGCACTCGTCACTGTGGTCATGTCCCCCGATGGAAAATATATTGCCAGCGCTGGATTAGATGCAAAGATCTATATATGGAGCGTGGATGCAGCGCTCAAACATCAGGGTGTGCGCATATGCATTGTGTTTTGACGTCTTTCTATTATCTAAATATTTGATTGTTGTTTAGGGTACGGATGATGCTAATGCAAAGCCCGACGCAAAGTCCAAGGCATGTCAGTCCTGCGTCTCTTTCCCACTTGATCTCACCTTTTACTAGAGACGTCCAATCCGACCGAGAGATGTGCACCGCTCAGTCATGAATGATCTTATCCTTCGCTAATTTGTGTTGTTAGGACTTTGCCTCCCGTCTAATCGTCTCCGAACAGTACACGAAACAACAGCCTAGGCGTTGGGAGATATGTTTAGTATAAAGTTTCGATCCTCAGCTCCTGCCAACCTGATTTGACACAGGGTAATGACTTCTTTGGCAACGATACAAAACCGCGCACCAACTACCCCTGCAAGCCCGTCGTCTCTCCTTCGTAGTTTGTTCGGTTCCCTCCGTGTCGGCACACGAGCTCCAAATTCACCTCGAGCAATGCCGCGCGAGCCTCGACGCTGGAATTTCAACTTATTTCCTGTAGGGATTTCCGGACAGACCGTTTTTGTATCCCCTGCTCGCGATGAAGATGTGAGTGGCTTGCCGTCGCTCCTATTTCATTCCATTAAAACACAATGCAGAGATACGGCATTGCCCCTGAATCTGACGCTGAAGCCGCCGCAGCCATGCAACGCACAGATGGCAATGAGACTAACAGTTCAGCGCAACCTGCTCAACCTGCAGCAGGCGTACAAGGATCTCAAGGACGACCAACTGCAAACACAAGGCTCAAGTGATGGGGCTGGAGAAGTTTACTATGAGGTTAATTGTTGTGGATATTTCTTTGGTCGTCGTCGTCCCGCCTCGCATCAGTCGTGAGGTCCATTTATTCAAACTCTGTCATTCGATATTTTTCCCTCTCCGTTTCGTGTGCGTTGATGCTCATCCACTTAGCTCGTGCGGTTCTACATATGTACACCTGCATGGTATGTATAATATCTTTAGATCACGCCATGGTATCGTTGTATGCCTGATGCATCGCTGGCTACTCCATCGAGGGGGCCGTTCAGATTCTTTATGCCAAAACCCTGATTTTCCTTGTCCGCTTCAACTTTCATTGAACCCTGTCGACAAGACAAATCCCAACACAACATATCGCGAATGTTTATAACAACACATAGTACGGCTCTAGACGTCCGATTTGACTCAAGGGCAAACTGCAACACACGGAGGATGGGGTGTTTTTGACGCGAAGGAACTCGGAAAAGAGAGACCTGAATTGCAAGGTAACATAAAGAAACGGGATACAAGACACCCGCAAGCCCAAGGCTCAGAACCAAGATATGCAGCTGGCGTAAAGAGTTCATTGTGTGCCTCCCAGCGTACACTATATGCTCCTCGTTATCATCTTCCAGCCGACTTCTTGTGCGCGAGCAGTATGCAGATACATCTACATCAAGTGCGTCATTGGTGGGTTCGTGTTTGATGGTGGTATAAGTAAAGAAGCGGAAGCGGTGTTGGGCGAGGAACCGCATAAGAAGGTGGTGTTGGATAGGTGCGTTTTTGGTCCTTGGGGATGCTGGATGATGGGTAATCCATGGTCATGATAAAGCTCACAATCCACCCGGCGAGGATCTGGTGCCAGGCATAGATGAAGGAGGTAAGCTATGTTGCGAGGAATGATCGTTTGTATTTTTACTTGGAGTTCCTGGGGACCGTGCATCGTCTGCATCGATTTCTGGAGTCGATACGCTCACCATTGAAATAGCCTCGTATTCGATGTACCCTGAGAAGTCGAGTCGGTGCTCGTACAATTGTACAAAGTAGCATGCCCGAGAAGATGAGACATCGGGTGGCCTCTCAGATGGAAAACTTGCATGCAATGGCCTTAATGCTACTTCATTGTGTCAGGCGTGATTGGTGCAAATTGATTACTATTTTCAGCGCCGATACTAGATGAAAAGAATCATTCTCGTTCCAGACAGCTGCCACCAAACAGCTCGAGGGCCTCCCGAACACTGACCCAGTAGATATTGATATTGATATTGAGGTGTCGCTTGGGCGTTGTCGATCATGGCATACAGTAAGTGAGGTCGTCAGACCCGCAGTTACGCCGCCCCTGAGCTTGTCTATGACAGAGGTGGTAAGTTTGTGTACGTGTGGGAGAGAGATGGAGTCAAATCACTCGAGTTAGAAATTTAGGTATTGTGGATATATACGCTGAACAAAGGCAACGGGAAGTAGACGGAAAGAATGAATAAAAAACTAAACATCCAACTCACCTTCAACAGCAGCAAGGCGTCAGCTCAAGCTGTATACTCTCAGCGGAGGCAATTGTGTGTACAAGGTCGGTGAGCACGAGATTGGATTCTTTAGTACCAAGAGGCGTCCAAGACATGTAAGTAGGCAAAATCTAGGACATACTTCTCAGGATTCAGGAAGGGTCACTGGCGCAAATCTCCCTACACTCATTAGCACTCCCATTGCTCAAATGTGCAAGGGATTGAGGACATTGTGCTGTGATGTCAATACACTGCCCCATCCTACTTCTCCACCTCCGCTGTAAAGTTCCTGATTCTGTTCATCCTTGTGAGTCCACAAGTCAATTGATGCTGATAGAACACGTACGATGCTGATTCTTCACTGTAGAAGCAAGCATCGCACAGTCGGTCTGTGTCTGAAGATGAGTGAGAGTAAGAGAACCACATCTGGGCCCAGCATGCATGAGCACGGCCGCCTTCACATATTCTGCAGAGATTTGCCTGGACGTGCAAAATCCTTCTTTCCACCAAGGGTCGTGAAGAGCGTATTCAACGTGAGGTGCTCGGTGTTACTAATGGCGTGGACAAAAATAGCGCTATCAGTCCAGTGGGTCAGTAGCTAGCAGTGGGATATGCACAAAGAGAGATGCACTAGTAAAGACATGTCGATTTTGGGAAGTGGAGGAAGAGAAGTAGCTCGGGTTTTCCCGGATTGAACTAGCTCTAAGACGAAGGAATACGATTTGACAAACGTCATTCACACTAAAGTACTTGAGCGCTATCTATGTAGTGGCGCATAGAACAGCTCTCGAGAAATGGTCACTTCAATGACGTCAAGAATGTTTCCTGATGTCGCTTAAACACGTGGGCGGCAAATCTAGATCTGATGGCGGCGTCGACTTGCTGGGCTGGTGGTGGTTCAAACTCCTTACCTCAGTTTCCCAGTCCATTCAAATCAGACCTCCCCGTAGATGTATACTATAAAGCAGGTTGTCGCCAAACTACCTTCATGAGATGGAAGGCGTATGGCATATGCACACTCAAGATCGCTCCCCTCCGAATCCTCCATATGCGTGTCTGAACTGGGTACAGTGGTGCTCCTCCTTTCAGAGTTAAAATTCACCACCGCAACCCTCACCCGCGCACTCGGATCCAGCGTCCCCTTTCTCCTCATGCACCTCCCTCCCCCTCCGCCAATTTCTTCAGATTCAGGCGTTGAAAACACGCTCGGAGAAGTCGTTTCTACTTTCTGGAACCCCGCTCTCGGTGGTGCGCAAGGTATTCTTCGCGGGGAACTTGATGTTCGATGGGAACGTGATTTGGGAGGTGGTGGGCGGCCTGGGTTGTGGTGCCGTGACAAAAGAGTGCAGAACTGGACACCGGATACGCTTGGGGAGTGTGTTAATGCCCTTGAGGACATTGCTTGATAGGTGATTCGTCTTTGGATGACTCAACTCGGGGTTGAGTGCCACGCTACCATTGTATGTATACCTACCACATATTCCTCTCTGTTGATTATACTTCTCAGAGGCGCCGACTGGGCGTGTAACCTCATTTGCATGTTCATTTCATACAATTAAAATTGACTCTCACTGTTGGTCCAGGTATCTGGACATATGTCACTCGGGTCCCGGGCTCAAGCGAACTTCATATCTTAGCGCTCGCTGCTGACAGATTTGTGCAAGTTGTGATAGACGGAACAAACCGAGATGTATCGAAATTCGATCTCACCGTCGCTAACATGCGTTTTCAGCAACGTGTCTGCAACCACGGCATCAATCAAGTCTAAGCGCCTAGCAGGTCCGTTCATCACTTCCACCATCACTTCTCCACAACTCTTATCTTGTACGTCATCTCAAGGCTCATTGTCTATCTGTTTATAAAGCACGTCGTCCTTTCTCAATTAAGGTCATGCCCCGCGAAGAGACTGAGTCAAGTACGTCAGCCGGAGTGAGAAAATCGCTGTTGGACTCATCGGCACGTATGAAGCCTCTAGCGGGAGAGAAGGATCCACCACCATATGGTGCGCAGCACCGCCAGGATGCTCTTTGGGAAGGTGAGTGGATCGTATTGGGATACCCACTGGCTTACTCAACAAGCAGGCGGGAATGATGCGCTCCCTCCGCTGTGGCATCCGTTTAAGATGTTCGATGATAGAACGTTTTATCAAGACGACACGCTGACCATAGGTTCATGGAATCGACCTTTACCAGGGGTGCGACTAGGTGAGTGGAGAAAGTGTCACGAGGAGCGAGGGACTGATGACGAAAGATAGATTATCCAGGACAACTCGTTGTTACCGGATGCGAGTGGCACATCTCACCACGCGGTCGGTCCTACTTCGTCAACCACAACACTCGGTCCACATCATGGAAGAAACCAGCACCAGAACGTCCACCAGGGAACTTGATGCTTGTGTGCATCATTGAAGGTCACTCCAAATGCATATGGAATCTTATCTACGTAGGCACGAGTTGCAATATACTGAGCGCGTCGGACGATTGTTCGATTCGCCAATGGAAAAGAGACGGAGAGCCAGTAGGAAAGCCTTTGGGTGGTCATGGGGCACCGGTAGGCTCCATAGCACTATCGCCGGATGAAACAAAGGTTGTGAGCGGAAGTGCAGACGGAAGACTATGGCTGTGGAACATCAAGAAGGGCAGCGTGGTTGGTGATCCGTGGGAGGGGCACAATGATGCAGTGATGTGCCTCGATTGGTCTTCCAATGCCCTGGATATAGCAAGTGGATCGACCGATGGCACCATACGACGCTGGAACCCGGATACTGGCCGACAAATAGCACCGCCAATAGAGAGTGGTCACGACTGGGTGAATGTTATCAAATACTCTCCGCAAGGTGACAAGTTCATGAGCGGCGGGGAGGACAAGATGATTTGCGTGTGGTCAAAGGACGGGCAGCTGCTCATCAAGATCAAGGGACATGAAGGCACGGTGACGTCATTGTGTTGGTCCAAGGACGGCGTGCACATCTTCTCTGCGTCATATGACAGCACTATCCGACAATGGCGGTCGATTGATGGGGAGGAGCTCGTCGTTCTTCGAGGCCATACCCACGATATCAGATCCATATGTCTGTCCCCTAATGAAAGCTATCTCGTTAGCGCATCAAGTGACTGCTCTGTTCGTATCTGGGATCTCAAAACCAATCAGCAAGTCGGAGATCCACTCTTGCATGATGACCAACTATGTGTTGTTATCATGTCCTCCGATGGAAAATACATTGCTAGTGCTGGATTAGATGCAAAGATCTATGTATGGAGCGTGGATGCAGTGCTCAAACAGCAGGGTGTGCGCATCTGCATTGTGTTTTGACGTCTTTTCTATTTTCTAAAGGTTTTGGTTCTTTTTTAGGGTACGGAAGATGCTAATGCAAAGCCTGACGCAAAGTTTAAGGCAAGTCAATCCTGCGTCTTTTTCCTACTTGATCTTACCTTTTTACTAGGGATTTACAGTCCGATCGAAACAACAAACCAATACCAGAGGTTCGGCGAGATATGTTCGTGTCATTTTTTTCGATCCTTGGGTCGTACTAACTTGATTTTGATATAGGGCAATGATTTCTTTGGCAACGATGCAAATCGTGCACCTCATTATGCTCCATCTGGGAGCCCATCGTCTCTCATTCGTTGGCGTCATTTGCTCGGTCCCATTCATTTCGGTACTCGACCTGCAAATGCACTTCAACCAATACCGCGCCAGCCCCGACAATGGAATTTTACCTTATTTCCTAGAGGAAGCTCCAGCCGCATCGTCGATGTAGCTCCTGGTCGCAAGAAAAATGTGAGCGGCTCCCATCACTCCTTTTCATACATTGAAATCGATACATTTGCAGAGAATTGCCATTGCCCCTCCCACTAAGGCAGAATTGGATGCAGCTATGCAACGTGCGAATGGCAACGGGACCGACGGTTCAATGCGACCAGGCCAACCTGCGTCGGGGACGCAAGGGTCTCAAGAACGACCAACACAAATTCATACTCAAACTCAAACTCAAGGCTTGACTGGCGGATCGGGAGATGTTTCCTATGAAGTTAACTGCTGTGGACTCTTATTTAGTTGTCGTCGTCCCACTCCGCGTCAGTCATGAGCCTGTCGTTTACTGAGACACTCCCTGTCAATCGAAGATTTTCTCTCCTCCCTCTCGGGTGCTTCTATGGAATATTCCGCACCCAGCTAGCTATCACAACCATGCTATCGTCTCATTTCTTGGATTACAACTGTACTCATGACTGATGTTTAGAATTACTGTGACTACCAGAGAGATGCCATTGATTTAAATCCCACTACCCAATGTGCTAGTGGGGCACAGTAGTTCACACTTGAGTACATGTCTCTGGTTCTTTCCAGGTGTACTTCCACTTGCACACCACACAATGTTCCGACACGCTCAGATATTCTACTACTCCGATCATCGGAACGCCCTCCCCTTTGCAATACCTCTTCTCGCTTTCTGGTTGAAGCGTCTGTTGCAAGAGTGTGTATAGAGGCCCCCGGAAGCTCCCTATGATGTTCAGCCGAAATTTTGCCTATTTGAGGCCCAGATTTTGCGTTTTCCTTGTCCGTTTTTTGCCTATTTGGCGCCTTGGGGAGCCGCTCCGGTGCTCCAAACACACTGATGTCTGTCCGATTTTTGCCCATTCTAGGCCTTCAGCCGATCTGCTTTTTCAACATGTGAATCTGTATGATCAGTGACTAGTGAGCACCAATCTGCGCCAATTATCTCGAGGCTTATTTATTGAATTTTACATAAATGTTGCTCGACGAGAATCTACATCGTGAAGTCCGTTCTGTGCAGAACATCGAAGTTCATTACTGCGATCTCTTCCCATTACTCAGTACTCAATATTACAACCCTGGTCACAAACTGCCTAGTCCCATACTCAATGCTTTCGGGGCAATTATCCAGGATGTTCCTGCGAGCAGTTTCTTGTCATCCTGGATTCCTGCTCTTGCAACTGGCGAGGCGACACCTACTCGAGCTGAAGGATCTACAATCGAACATGTCCAAGCGGCTGTGAGTGTCGAAAAACAAGTATGACTTAAGCTCAATGAAACTCAGTGTGGAAACCTTCCCCTCGACGATGCACTACAACGACCAAGGTGGATGATACCCCTATGTGGTGGTTGCCCTTCTCACTTTGTAGGCGACTGTGGCGGAGTATGCAAGTTGTCTCTCGATGCAGAGAAGCATTGGAATGCACTTACTTCTGTTGCAGTTCTGCAGAAGTTGCTAAAGTTAAAAATTCCTGGCGGGCGCGTGTTGAGAACATAGTTTTGTTAGCTCGCTGCATCTTTAAGTTTAGATAGTGAATTTTACCCGCCAAATACCATAGAACGCCCTTGTCACACTACCGCTGTGATATTTCCGTGACACGTGACAACCCTTGTCCGATTTTGCCTATTCGACGCTCAGAACCGTGCCTATTTGAGGGCCATTTTGGAGGGTCTTGACGGCCGAACATCATAGGGAGCTTCCGGGGGCCTGTGTATAGATATGGTGCGCCTCCTTCGTTGGCAAATGTGATGGTGGTGTCGACTTGCTAGGATGGTGGTGGCTTCCCCTTAGCTCAGATTCCCAGTTCACCCCAATCACACTTCCCCGTAGACACATACGTGTCCTTGCGCAACGTAAAGCAGAGAAGAACAAATTCTCGCCAAACTACGTCTACGAGATGGAAGACGTATGGCATATGGACGGCCAAGACCGCTCCCCTTCCGAATCCTCCTTGCCCGTGTCTGAACTGGGTACAGTCACTAGCGCTCCTCCTTTCAGAGTCAACGCACTCGGATCAAGCGTCCCCTTTCTCCTCATGCACCTCCTTCCCCCGACGCCCATTTTCTTCCGATTTACGTATTGAAACCACCCTCGGAGGTGTTGGCTCTGCTTTCTGGAACCCCACTCTTGGCGATGCGCAAGATCTTCGCGGGGAACTTGATGTTCGATGGGAACGTGGTCCGGGAGATGATGGACGGCCTGGCTGTGGTGCCGTGACAAAAGAGTGCAGAACTGGACGTTGGATACGCATGGAGAGTATATCAACGCCCTTCAGGACATTGATTCATAGGATGGTGATCCATCTATGGATGACTCGATTCAGGCGTTGAATGTTACGCTACCATTACTAAGTAATATGTATGTATACTACGTATTCCTCTTTGCTTTGATCACACTTGAGACTCACAGGCGCCACTAGGTGTGTAACTTCATTTGCATGTTCATTTCTTACAATCAAAATTGACTCTCATTCTCGGTCCAGGTGTCTGGATATATGTCGGGTCCGACTCCCGAGCTCAAGCGAACTCCATATCTTAGCGCTCGCCGCCGATGGATTTGGTGCAAGTGGAGATATGTAAGACGGAACAAACCGAGGTGCATGGAAATTCGAACAGAAGTCACCTCACTGCCACTAACATGCGTTTTCAGCAGGGTTCCCGCAACTACAGCATTAATCAAATCTAAGCGCCTAGCAGGTCCGTTCGTTACCCCCCCCACCATCTCTACTCCTCGACTCTTATTTTGGGCATCATCTCAAGGCTCATTGTCTACCTGTTTGTAAAGTACGTCGTGCTTTCTCAATCAGGGGCCATGCCTCGCGAAGACGCTGAGTCAAGCACGCCAACCAGAGGGAGAGAAGCGCTGATGGGCTCCATCGGCACGTATGAGACCTCTAGTGGGAGAGAAGGATCCACCACCATATGGTGCACAGCACCGCCAGGATGCTCTTTGGGAAGGTGAGCAAACCGTATTGGGATACCCACTGACTTACTCAACAAGAAGCAGGCGGGAATGATGCGCTCCCCTCCTCAATGGCAACAGTTTGAGGTGTTGGATGGTAGCACACAATATCAAGATGACACGCTGATCATATCTTCATTGAACCGACCTTTACCAGGGGTGCGATTAGGTGAGCGGAGAAAGTGACACCAGGAGCGAGGGACTGATGACGAAGCATAGATTATCATGGACAACTCGTTACTGGATGCGAATGGCACATCTCACCACTCGGTCGGTCCTACTTCGTCAACCACAACACTCGGTCCACATCGTGGAAGAAAACCAACACCAGAACGCCCGGCAGGGAGCTTGATGCCGGAGTGCATCATCGAGGGTCACTCCAAATCCATATGGAGTCTTGCCTGCTTGGGCGCCAGTTGCAATATACTGAGCGCATCGGACGATTGTTCGATTCGCCAGTGGAAAAGAGACGGAGAGCCGGTAGGAAAGCCTTTGAATAGCCATTGGGCACATATATGCTTGATGGCTGTATCCCCGGATGAAAAATGGTTGTGAGTGGTGGAAGTACAGACGGCAGACTACGGCTGTGGAACATAAAGAAAGGCAGTATGGTTGGCGATCTGTGGGAGGGTCACAATGGTCAAGTGCGTTGCCTCGATTGGTCTCCCAATGCCCTGGAGATAACAAGTGGATCAGAAGACGGCACTATTCGACGCTGGAACCCGGATAGTGGCCGACAAATAGCACCGCCAATAGAAACCGGTCATGGTTGGGTGAATACTGTCAAATACTCTCCACAGAGTGACAAATTCACGAGCGGTGGGGTGGACAAGATGATCAGCGTGTGGTCAAAGGACGGGCAGCTGCTTATCAAGATCAAGGGACATGAAGAAGCAGTGATGTCGTTGTGTTGGTCCAAGGATGGTGCATACATTTTCTCCGCCTCATATGATAACACCATTCGCAAATGGCGGTCGATTGATGGGAAGGAGCTCGTCGTTCTTCGGGATCATACCAAACCCGTCAGATCCCTCTGTCTGTCTTCCAATGAAAGCCATCTTGTTAGCGCATCAGATGACTACTCCGTTCGCATCTGGGACCTCAAAATCAATCAGCAAGTCGGAGATCCACTCTTGCATGACGACGAACTCATGACTGTTGTCATGTCCCCCGATGGAAAATACATTGCCAGTGCTGGATTAGATGCAAAATTTATGTGTGGAATGTGGAGGCAGCGCTCAAACATCAGGGTGTGCGCATCTGCATTGTGTTTCGACGTCTTCTCTATTTTCTAAAGGTTTTGGTTCGTTTAGGGTACGGGTGATGCTAATGCAAAGCCCGGTGCGAAGTCCAAGGCAAATCAGTTCCATGTCTCTTTCCACTTGTCCTCACCCTTTTATTAGAGACGTCCAATCCAACCGAGAGATGTACGCCAATCAGTCATGGATAATCTTATACTTCGCTAATTTGTGATGTTAGAACTTTGCCTCCCGTCCAATCGTCTCCAAACAGTATGCAAACAATGGAGGCATGGGGAGATATGTTAGTCTAAAGTTTCAATCACCAGCTCCTGCTAACCTGACTTCGACACAGGGCAATGACTTCTTCGGCAATGATACAAACAGTGCACCAGCTCGGCGTGCAAACCCATCATCTCTCCTTCATAGTTTTTTCAGTTCCCTACGTGTCGGCACGCGACCTCCAAATTCACCTCAATCAATACGGCGTGAGCCCCGACATTGGAATCTCAACTTATTTTTTGTGGGGATTTCCAGACGCCCCATCGAAGTTGCTCCTTGTCGCGAGGAAGATGTGAGTTGCTAGCATACATCACTCCTCTCTCATTCCATTGACAAAATCACAGAGATACGGCATTACCCCCGAATCTGACGAAGAAGCTGCCGCAGCCATGCAACGTACCAATGGCAATGAGACTAACGGTTCAACGCAACCTACTCAACCTGCAGCAGGCGTACAAGGATCACCAACGGAAACACAAGGCTCAAGTGGTGGGACTGGAGAAGTTTCTTATGAGGTTAGCTGCTGTGGATTTTACATTGGTCGTCGTCCCACTTCGCATCGGTCGTGAGGTCATTTATTCGAACTCTGACATTCAATAATTTTGCCTCTTCCCTTTCATATGTGTTTACGCTCATTCACTTAGCTTGTGCCGTCCTATATATATACAGCATGTTATGTATCATATCTTTACATAGATCATGCTATGCTATCATTACATGCCTGTTGCATCTCTGGCTACTCCATTGAGGGGGGCCGTTCAGATTCAATATGCCAAATCGTTGATTTCTCTGGTCCACTTCAACTTTCATCGAATCTCCCCGACAAGACAAATCCCAACACGACATATCGCGAATGTTTAACAATACAGTACGGCTCTGGACGTCCGATCTCACTCAAGGGCAGGCTGCAACACACAGAGGATGGAGTGTTGTTGACGCGAAGGAACTTGGTAGAGGAATCTGAATTGCGAAGAAACGGGATACAGAAGACCTGCAGGGTTAACACTCAAAACCAAGATATGCTGACGCAAAGAGTTTATTATGTCCCTCCCGGCATATGACATACTCGTCATCATCCTCTGGCCAACTTTTTGTGCGCGAGCAGTATGCAGATACATCTACATCAAGCGCGTCATTGGTGGGTTCATGTTTGATGAAGGTATAAGTACAGAAGCGGAAGTGGTGCTGGGCGAGCAACCGTGTAAGAAGGTGGTGTTGGATAGGTGTGTTTTTTGATCATTGGGGATGCTGGATGATGGGTGTTAATCCATGGCTATGATAAAGCTCCACAATCCACCCGGTGAGGATCCGATGCCAGGCATGGATGAAGGAGGCAACTATGTTGCGAGGGATGATCGTTTGTGTTTTTACTTGGAGTTCCTGAGGACCTTGTGTAAGAACCTGAGTGGCTCTCGCTGCGAGTTCGAAGGGGTGTGGAGACCACTAGTGCGTTGTATATGCGCTGTAGAATTGGATTAGCTTTCAACGAAGGTTATGCGATACGGATCGAGACGAGTCTGAAATGAATAGTCGATAGATATAGCGATGCGGTTCAGAAGACGAGTGCGAGAATGAAACTGGGAGACTGGTATATTTGCCTGCAGTAGTGAGACATATCGGGTGACCCCTTAGATGGAACACTGTCATACAATGGCCTTAATGCCACTTCCTTGTGTAAGGCGTGATTGGTACGACTTGGTTTACTATTTTCAGTGCCAATACCAGATGAAAAGAATCATTCTCGTCCCAGATAGCCACCACCAAACAGCTCAAGAGCCACCTGAACCCTGACCTGATAGATGCTGATATTGAGGAGTCGCTTGCGCATTGTGCAGGAGTTGAATGTGGCATGAAGTGAGGTCGTCAGACCTGCAGTTACGCCGCCTTTGAGCATATCTATGACAGAGGTGATAAGTGTCGGTGTGTGTGGGTAAGAGGGATGGTTGTGTGGGGGAGAGATGTGGTCAAATCACTTGAGTTAGAAATCTAGGCTTTGTCGATATATAAGTACGCTGGGCAAAGGGGAAGCGGATGGAAAGAACGTATGAAGAACTAACATCCAACTCACCTTCAACGGCAGCCAACCAGCTGTATACACTCAGCAGAGGCAATTATGTGTACGAGGTCAGTGAGCATGAGATTGGATTCTATTAGTACCAACAGGTGTCAAGACATGTGAGTAGGTAAAAACGTCCCAGGAAGGGTTAGGGCAAATCTGCCTACGCTCATTAGCACTCCCATTGCTCACACGTGCGATGGACTGAGGATACTGTGCGATGACGGCAATGCACTGCCCCATCCTACTTCTCCGCCTGCGCTGTAAAGTTCCTGATACTGTTAATCCCGGTCAGTCCACAAGTCAATTGGTGCTGATAGAACACGTACGATTCTTATTCTTCACTGTAGAAGCAAACACCGCACAGTCAGTCTGTATCTGAAGATAAGTGAGAGTAAGAAAAACGCACCTGGGCTCAGCATGAATGGACACGGCTGCCTTTATACATTCTGCCCAGGTTTGCCTGGACGTGCGAAATCGTTCTTTCCACCGAGCGTTGTGAAGAGTGTATCCAACGTAAGGTACTCGGTTTAATGGCGTGGGCAAAATGATGCTACCAGTCCAGTGGGTCAGTAGACAAGAGAGATGCACTATTGAAGTCGATTTTCGGAACTTCAAGTGGAGGTTCAAGCAGAAGTTGATCGGGTTTTCCCGGATTGTGCTCAGAATTGATGAGTTCTTAGACGAAATTATCTCTAAGACGAGCACAATTTGACAAACGTCATTCACACTAAAGTACTTGCGCTATTAGAGCATACTATCTATAGCATTCGAGAAACGGTCACTCCAATGACGTCAAGAATGTTTATCGATGCCGCGTAAACGCATCGGTGGCAAATCTGATGCCAGTGGTGGCGTCGGCTTGCCATGAGCTGGTGGTGACTTCCCCTTAGCTCAGACTCCAGTCTACCCCAATCACGCCTCCCCGTAGACGCATATGTACATCCTTTCGCAATGTAAAGCGAGAAGAAGAAATTACATTCGCGAGATGGAAGGCATATGACATGCACGCTCAACACCGCTCGACTTCCGAATCCTCCATATGCGTGTCTGAACTGGGTACAGTGGTGCTCCTCCTTTCAGAGTTGAGATTCACCACCGCAACCCTCACCCACACACTCGGATCCAGCGTCCCCTTTCTCCTCATGCACCTCCCTCCCCCTCCGCCAATTTCTTCAGATTCAGGCGTTGAAAATATGCTCAGAGAAGTCGGTTCTACTTTCTGGAACCCCGCTGTTTGTGGTGTGCAAGGTCTTCTTTGTGGTGAACTTGATGTTCGATGGGAGCGTGATCCGGGAGGTAGTGGGCAGCCTGGGTTGTGGTGCCGTGACAAAGAGTGCAGAACTGGACGCTGCATACACTTGGGGAGTATGTCAATGTCCTTCAGAACATTGATCGTTAACTCGGATGGTTATCCATCTTTGGACGACTCAACTCGGGGTTGAGTGCTACACTACCATTGTATGTATACATACCACGTATCCATCTCCACTTTGATTACACTTCTCAGAGGTGCCGAACCGGGCGTGTAAACTCATTCGCATGTTCATTTCTTACAATCAAAATTGACTCTCACAGTTGGTCAAGGTGACTGGATATATGTTGGGGTCTGGACTCAAGCAAACTCCATATCTTAGCGCTCGCCGACGGATTTGGTGTTGGTCAGATGTGAGGCGGAATAAACCGAGGTGCATCGAAATCCAAACAGAAGTCACCTCACTGCCACTAACTCAGCAAGGTGCCTGCAACCACAGCATGCAAATCTGAGCGTTTAGCAGGTCCGTTCATCACCTCCATCTCCTCTCCTCAACTCTTATCTTGCGCATCATCTCAAGGCTCATTGTCTATTTGTTTGTAAAGCACGTCGTCCTTTCTCAATCAGGGTCATGCCCCGCGAAGAGACTGAGTCAAGCACGTCAGCCAGAGGGAGAGAAGCGCTGTTAGGCTCATCGGCACGTGTGGGACCTGTAGCGGGAGAGAAGGATCCACCACCCATATGGTGCACAGCACTGCCAGGATGCTCTTTGGGAAGGTGAGCAAACCGTATTGGGATACCCACTGACTTACTCAACAAGAAACAGGCCGGAATGAAGCGCTCCCTCCTCAATGGCAACAGTATAAGGTACTGGATGGTAGAACACGATATCAAGACGACACGCTGTCCATGGGTTCATGGCAACGCCCTTTACCAGGAGTGCGACTAGGTAAGCGGAGAAAGTGTCACCAGGAGCGAGGGACTTATGACAAAGCATAGATTATTTGGTTACTGGATGCGAATGGCACATCTCACCACTCGGTCGGTCCTACTTCGTCAACCACAACACTCGGTCCACATCGTGGAAGAAACCAATACCAGAACGTCCAGCAGGGAGCTTGATGCCGGAGTGCATCATCGAGGGTCACTCCAAATGCATATGGAGCCTTGCCTGCTTGGGCACCAGTTGCAATGTACTGAGCGCGTCGGAGGACTGTTCGATTCGCCTGTGGAAAATAGATGGAGAGTCAGTAGGAAAGCCTTTGAATAGCCATTGGGCACATATATGCTCGATGGCTGTATCCCCGGATGAAAAAATGGTTGTGAGTGGAAGTACAGACGGCAGACTACGGCTGTGGAACATGAAGAAGGGCAGTATGGTTGGCGATCCGTGGGAGGGGCACTATGATCAAGTGAGGTGCCTCGATTGGTCTCCCAGTGCCCTGGAGATAGCAAGTGGATCAGGAGACGGCACCATTCGACGCTGGAACCCGGATAGTGGCCGACAAATAGCACCGCCAATAGAAACCAGTCACGGTTGGGTGAATACTGTCAAATACTCTCCACAGAGCGACAAATTCACGAGCGGTGGGGAGGACGACATGAGCAGTGTGTGGTCAAAGGATGGGCAGCTGCTCATCAAGATCAAGGGACATGAAGACGGGGTGATGTCGTTGTGTTGGTCCAAGGACGGCGCATACATCTTCTCCTGCATCATTCGATGACACCATCCGAAAATAGGCGATCGATTGATGGGGAGGAACTCGTCGTTCTTCGGGGATCATACCAACCGTGTCAGATCCATCTTGTCTATCCCCTAATGAAAGCCATCTCGTTAGCGCATCAAATGACTGCTACCTTTCTCATCTGGGCCCTCAAGACGAATCAGCCAGTCGGAGATCCACTCTTGCACTGACGATGAACTCATTGACTGTTGTCCATGTCCCCTGATGGAAAATACATTGCCAGTGCTGGATTTGATGACACAAAGATTATGTGTGGAGGGTGGAGGCAGCATTCAAACATCAGGGTGTGCGCATCTGCATTGTGTTTTGATGTCTTTTCTATTTTCTGAAGGTTTTGGTTGTTTTCAGGGTACTGATGATGCTAATGCCAAAACCCTGATGATGAAGTCCAAGGCAAGTCAGTTCTGTGTCTCTTTCCTACTTGATCTCATCTTTTTCACTAGGGACATCCAGCCCGACCGAACCAACAAGCCAATGCCAGAGGTTCAGCGAGATATGTTGGTGTAATTTTTTCGATCCTTGTATCTTACTCACTTGATTTTGATAGCAGGGCAATGATTTCTTCGGCAACGATACGAACTGTAATGCTTCATCTGGAAGCCCATCATTTTTCATTCGTTGGCGTCATTCTCCTCGGTCCCATTCATTTCGGTACTCGGCCTGCAAATACACTTCAACCAATACCGTGCCAGTCCCGACAATGGAATTTCACCTTATTTCCTAGAGGGACCTCTAGCCGCATCATCAATGTAGCTCCTGGTCGTAAGAAAAATGTGAGTGGCTCCCATCACTCATTTTTGATATATTGAAATCGATACATTTGCAGAGAATTGCCATTGCCCCTCCTACCAAGGCAGAATTGGATGCAGCTATGCAACGTGTAAATGGCAACGAGGCCGACGGTTCAATGCGCCCAGGCCAACCTGCGCTGGGGACACAAGGGTCTCCAGGACGACCAACACAAGTTCAAATTCAAACTCATACTCAAGGCTCGACTGGTGGAACAGGAGATGTTTCCTACGAAGTTAACTGCTGTGGACTCTTATTTAGTTGTCGTCAGTCCCACTCCGCGTCAGTCATGAGCCTGTCGATCGATGGTTTTCTCTCCTTTCTCTCGGGTGCGTTTATGGAATATTTCGCACCCAGCTATCATACCTATGTTATCGTCTCATTTCTTGGATTACAGCTGTACTCATAACCGATGTTTAGAATTACCGTGACTACCAGAGAGATGCTATTGATGTATATCCTACTACCCGACGTGCTAATAAGACAGTAGTTCACCCTGAGTGCATGTCTCTGGTTTTTTCAGGTGCACTTCCACTTGCACATCACACATTTTTCTGACACGCTCAGATACTCTGCTGCTCCGATCAATGGAATGCCTTCCCCCTCGCGATACCCCCTTTTGCAATACCCCTTCTGGCTTTCTGGTTGAAGTGTCTGTCGAGTGTGTGTATACATCTGGTGCGCTCCTTCGACCTTGTAGCTAAAATTATGACTGATTATCATGTCTAACAAAGATCCGTCATAGCTCAATAAGGAGGACAGTGGCACCCCAATCCGCAGCTCATGCTGCGACCTCACCTATGCCACCTGGCGTCAACACCCATCCGCATTGGAAGGCTGGCTCCTGGCAGTATAACCTTGCATATAACATGAATGCAGGTTCCAGTGTTCCCTGGGCACCCGGAATTGGGCGAGCTCAGAACGTCCCCGCTAACTTTAATCCTTACAAGCGCATCCCGTACCAAACCCGAGCTACTGGCAGACACTGGCTCCCTGACAACTGGTCTTGGTTTGGCGAACATGGTCCCTGCGAAGTGCGTGCGTGGTTTGGTCCTCCAGAGATGATCTGGCTTGAAGGACACTGTAGAACAGATTGAGAATCTACCAGAGATGTACGAGGGGACGCAGCGCCACAAACTTCGTGGATACGGAACCCTTCAAGTCTGTTACCGACGGATGGAGCAGACCGCTCTACCCTGAAGAAGGACTTCAACAATCGTGGTAGCTCAGGATAGCATTCGGAGAAACTCGACCCTAACCAGTTATGGGCCCCTACAAAGAGGTTCACAGGACAGCCATAACACTACAAGCATGGGCACACCTGTACGAGACTATTTTTAGTCATCCAGCCTCCCGACACAATTCTGTAGACAGCTTGAGTTCTCGCTCACAAGGGCCTGAGCCAACATTCCATCTCTTCGGCAACTCCGCCACCACCATCGTCGCACGGTCATATAGGTTCAATTTATTCGAAGCGGACATCATGCATCATCATCCAGATCGCAACATGTGCCCCCTTTCCAGCTCTGCCATCCACAACTTCGTGTAGGGGTAATGCAATACCCGTTGTAGTTACAAGTGAGGGTTAGTGCATTAACCTTTGTAACTACAAGACAAACAAATGCATTAACTCACGATAACCACAAGAGCCAGACCAGGCACACTTGACTCTTGAGCCACAAATACATTCTCGATTGATACGAGCCGGCGGCAGTGCATGCTAGGTTACAACGTTGCGTATAAGATTGGATATTAAGGAAGTAACAATTCAGGAAGGTAGAGATCTAAGTCGGCTTCACTATCTGCTGGACACGTAGTATTACAGGCTGCAGTCAGTGGGAGATGCGCTGCCCACTTGATCTCAAAACAGTGGGCGAGTTTGTCTCTGAGCCGAGCCTGACGATAGGCATAGGCGCTTAGACCCTCATTGTCAGTGGTGGATTCCAACTTGAAGTGTGTGTTCCGCAATCTTCTTCTTCCACCATGATGCGTGCCACCTAAGAAAGCAGGACACCCGGCGCATCTCCTCCTGAAGTAGCTCAACTTCTTCTGCCCATCGCATGGATCTTGCACGAGCTTTGCACCATTCGACTCTGAGACCTGCTGGCAAAATTAGCGTCTTTCTGTCGTGACTCACACTCCAGCTTACTATCTTGTACCACTTCATCTTCATCATCCCTGACTCCTTCAACCAGCCATATCCACGATAACTGTCTTCAACTTCGACCTTCACTTTCCCCTCGCTTTGGAACTGACATCCCGCGTATATCGTCCTTCCTCTCAAGAACCCTGTATTTGTTATCCCAGCCAACATGTCCAAGTACGTGCGCAAGAGATGAGAGAGCCATGCGAGCTGCACGATACTTCTCTCCTGCAGCTGTTGCCCTGGCTTCAATGCGATTGAGGGCGTTCTGGGCCCGAGTATTCGCGCTTTGGCCACGTATCCAGTCCCTCTTGAAGGTATACATGTAGTCCCGCAGGCGAAGACTTTGTCTGATTTCCTCGAGGGTGTCTCCGGCCTGAGCATGTCGTAATTCCCATTCGATGGTGAGGAGTTGGGGATTACAAGGTATAGGCTTGCTGCACAGAGCGGATGGGAGCCAGAGCTGGGAATCCTCGGGATTGATCGTGTCTGAGGTGCTGTGGGAAGGCGACTGGACCCTGGATTCCAAGAGCTGTACTGCAGGGGTGTAGAGAGCTTGAATGCGCTTCCAAGTATCAATTTTGTGTTGTAATGCATTCCGCAGTCGTTGGACTGTGCCCATTTGCGTATCCGTGGCATGCAGACCCTGCTTCATGATATCTACTTTCAAACGACGCCTGTTTACAAAGAAATGAATAGAATGAAAATTAAGTCAGATAATACTACATACTGTTCGTTCTCTAGGTCAATCCCCAATGCGATGAATATACTTGGGGACACATCAGCGTGCATCGAGATGTCAGTGCCTTGATGGAGCTCAGATGCCTTGAGTTGGGCAAGTTTGAGCCGGACAGCAGCTTGTGTAACAGCTTGTAACCCAAGTCATTAGTAGCTCCCCATGATTGGATTTAGTGTGTGCTACTCACGAATAACCTTTGCTTCAAATGGATTTGTGACCGATGAATCGTTTGGGTTCTCCTCCCAGGATTTGATTTCAACCTTCCAGGCCTCCGTCGTCTCTGGCACCAGAGCCTCGTCAAGTTCTTGGAATGCTGTTTGATGCGCCTCATGTTCCTCTTTGGCCTCGATCATTTTACGAAGGAGTGTGGCACCTGTCGCAAATACAATATCATACATGTCAGTACCAAGTTGCAGCCAAAACATACCAAGTCCCACAACCTTCTTCCAGTTCCAGTCACCAAAATGGTCGTCGAGTGCGTCTCTCTGTGAGCCTGGCCCCATTTCTTTGGTACTAGAGGCCACAGGGTTGATATTTGACCATCCACGTTCAGGCGCTTCGCCATCAGTGCGTCCAACATACTTCGAAAAATTAAAAGAAAACTTGGTCTGACGTGTCAGAATGTGCGCGGGGAGGTGAAATTTTGGAACGAAAAATCTAACGAATGTCGCCAGATGGTCTAGATGGAGGTCGAGTGGCATTGTTGACATCCTCTGCCATAGGTTCTTGTGCCACTGGCAAGCGATGTCGTACGAGACATTGAGTGTGTCGATGCAGCGTCCACGGAGGGTCGAGAAGAACAAAAAATCCATATTCATGTATCTAAGTTCAGTCAGTATCATCAATAACTGCCAGCTGGTTTAATAGATACCTTTCGCCTTTTTGTAGATCGCCAATGCCATTCGGCAACTTCATGTTGTGTCGTGCACAATCAATGGTCCCAACTCCTGTGGCAGCTAGACCATGAGATACCTTCGTGTCTGCCATGTTCACCGCATTATGGAATGAACATGTACTTTTCTGTGTATATAGCGGTCAGAGTAAAATATGTAGGCGAATACAATAAAAGCTCACCTCCTGCGGGTTGCCACTGTAGGTTTGTAGATATGCCTTGTAAGCGGTCTCCTCGACGAAATAAGCCCATCTGCGACTGAGGCCAGGGTCCATGCTGTCTTTAGATACCATGCGCCTTTTGAGGTGAAAGTTCGCATCAATTGCTAGAAAGAGACCATACAACCAACTAGTCATCAGTCAGCCAAGTGAGTATAGATATGGATGCAACCGCTTGTACCGTTTTCCTTTCAGCGCATCATTCCAATTATCGGGTAGGTTTTTTCCTGGTTGCAGACAAGCTGGGCATATCACAGCACACTCACCATGTCCAGTACCCTCCACACTGGCAGAATCATATCCCCAGCCAGCCCGCTTGAGCATTTTTAGATGTCGCCACTCGTGCACTATCCGCATAAAGGCTTCATAATGATCCTGATGACACGAGTGAGCTGGATATTTGAACAAGAGTAAGGAGGTAGAACACATACCTTTCGTGAGCGAAGTCCTGTGTTGTCTGAGAGTCATGCAACAGCATGATAAAATTCATAGCCTGAACATTTGGATTCAAACGACAGAATGTGATATTGTTCGAGGATTCGGAAAGTGGCAGCGGTACGTGGATCAGTCGTTGTTGCCAGGAACCAAGCTGTACAAAGTAACTGTATTGTATGTGTCTGTGCGGTCTCACAGCCACAGAAATCAAGGCCGATCTCGTGGATTCCATTGGTATCGATGAGAGTGAAATCGTCGTTGTAGGCCCTTTCTGGCATCAGATATCGTTCACCTGTTGGATGACCGAGCTGCACACGCAACCCTAGCGTCTTCAGTGAGATGGTCACAAAGTAAGAGCCCGTCCACTCCTGTTGAGAATCATTCTAAGTACATGTAACATTTATCTGCTTGATAGCCTCTCACCTGGATCCGATGCGAAGGATTTTTAGTATGACTTGCGATAATGCAATCATGGCAGCACAGCTCTGTGCTGAAGCAATCTTTACAGTGGAATTGTGGAGTGTCAGAGTGACAGTTTCTGCAGATAGTGTCATATACATAGTCCCCGTGGCCCTCATGTCATAGTAGTTCCTGTAAAAAAAGGTCCCGGTCCTTGATCCATGTCAAGAGCGGGTGATCCTGGATAGATAGGGCGTCAGTGTTCAACCTACATGTACACATGCAGGCCAAGTCATTGAAAAATACTTACTCCTGCACTGTGGTATAAGTGAGTCTCAGCTCTGCCTAGCTGCTATACTCGCAGAATGCAAGAACGTTCGACCCTAAAGGGGAAGCAAGGAAAGCAAGGATCCACGGAATGATGCTAATCAACCCTGGTGAATGGCGGTGAAATGCGCTGAAGGCGCGCGCGGGAAAGCGAAGTGCGAAAGTGCGCGAAGCGCGGGAAAGTAGTGCAAGCAGTGCACAAGTGTAGAAGATGGATACTGAGACTGATAAGAGGAAAAGCGCGGATCTAGACGGATACTGAAGGTGCCACTAGCTATAGACTGATGCTAGGGCCTCAAAACGATGATGGACACATGCATTGCATGGAACTAACTGGTGATAGATACTGAGTGGTAGGAAGCTGGTGGTATGAAGCTAATGTGGAATAGTTGGGGTGTAAAACGAACATGAGAGTATGTAAGTTCTACCTAAGCGCTCTCCCAGGGCTCGGAGCCGAATAGGGAGCGCTCTAAGTATGTAAGTGAGGTAAAGTGATGTAAAGTAAGGGTCCATGATGAAATAGGAAGTGTAATATGCCAAATATAGTCAGATAATGAAAAGGGACATACCAAGGGACTGGTTGGACGATGGATGGATGCTCCTGGATGATGCGCGATGCAGGGCGCTTAAGTGCGAGAAAGCACGCAAGGCGCGCATGCGGGAATACTGCGCGTTGTGCGGGAAAGTGTCGCGCCTATGGCAGCATTTCGCGGGAAGTGGTGCGCTCCATGGTGGAAGTCATAGTGGATGATGGTGCAAGTTGTGCCATGAAGGCCAGTCATCAGAATTTGTAATATGAGCCCATATGAGCCTGCAGAAACGCGAGTCTCTACACCGGGCTATAGCCTTCCCAGCGCTGGGAAGGCTATGCAGGCGTCCCACTCTTGTCTCAGAGCTTCCAAAATGTATCCCATTCCATCCAATCGAGCAGTCAGTCCTTCCCAGTGCTTGAATCTGGCTATCAATACCGCATAGTATTATAATGCATTTCCGACTCTGCCATATGGACTTTGATGCAATTTCGCAGCTAATGCATTACACCACTTGTGAGTTCCATGGTTACCTGTATTTAAGGCTGAGATATGTTGCTTTCATCCTCTAGCTTCACATCATAACCATCCCGACGATTTACCTACATGGTTCAGATCTGGCTACAGGCTGCACTCAGTCCGGAGGATGATGTCCGAGTCATTCATGAGTCCCTTCTCTATCGCTCAATTGAATCATCTGCCGTCTCACTTTCATTGACTTAGGAATCATTGGGCCACTTGTCCCCATAGCTCTGACTTTGTGTACCACACCTTCTGAGTCCTCCTATGTGCCTGCAGTTTGTCATGGCTTGAATGTCGACCCGAACGACCTGACAGAAGACATCAATGGTGTGTACTATCCTCTATCTTTGTATGAGACTCACTTCGGTTCAGATGTACTATCTAGGCCATGTGTTCCTTGCGATATGTCAACACTAACTTTGTGGGACATAAACAGGATGTACGTATCCTTGGTGCCGTCTTACGCGCCTGCTGAGGACTGTGACGACATTGTTTTCTATGAGGACGAGCGAGGGTATGCAAAAGTCGCTAATACTATTGCAGATGATTGCCACATTTATTTCTATTGTGGCACGCTGTACAATATACCAGCAGATGCTAATGCTCCTCCACCCTTCACCTGTGTCACAAGTGGGCATTACATCGGGGTTTTCAGTGCTGAGTAAGTTGCAGGTTATCGTTATCTTAACGCCTCAACATTAATTAATTTTCTTTTCAGGGATTATGTGCCCATGGTGAAAGGAATTACTGATGCTGTTTTTTTCAAGGTTGAGTCACTTGAGGTTGGGGAGAGAGCGCTGAGGAAGGCAATCGAAAGATCTGACATAGTCAGATTCCTGACACCTTTGTAATAGGAACTGCGATTCATTGGTAACTGTCATGCCTAGTCACTATCATACTCATTGTACTTGACTCTTCGTTCTTTTACATGGCATGCTGTTTACTAACACAACTTCTCTCCAACTCTCACTCCCTTCCTTGAGAAGGCAGTTACTGAGTGAGGGTAGAGCTGCGAGCACCATTCACACCCTCGTGCAATGAACAAAAGGCGTGATGTACAAACACACTGAAAATTAGTGAGGACTGCTTAGAATGAGCCGACTATAAAGAAACATTGTTCGGCAGCGCAGCTATGGAGAGAAATTCTGGATTAAAGACATCTCCAGGAAAGAGGCATCCCAGGTAAGAAGTCGGTGTTGTTTTGAAAAGTTCATGGCCAAGCTCGAGGAATTCTGTATATGCACACATCCGAGTTGTTAGCGAGAATGATTCACAGATGAAACGAATTACCGTTGCTCATACAGAGTAACTCAATATGTTGAAAGCCATGGAGTTTTTAAGTGTTGTGCCTGCACCAGACTTGCCCCTGCCAAGCTGCTGTATCATTTTAGTCACAGCCATCCGATCCTGCCTTGTGCGATTCTTCAGATCTCGAGTTGTTAGCAAGAATGATTCACAGACGAAATGAATTACCATTGCTTATATCTGAAGCAAGGATATTTCTCACAGGAAAACCATCCGCCGCAGCCTTTCTGGCATCAACACCGACTAAAACGGAGTCAAGCTGAACCAACAAAGTAGATCATGATTTGACATACAACAACAGCCAAGGTGGAGTAATATGGCATCGGGGCGCTCATGACCAAGCTTGAGGATGTGTTCATACAGAGTAACTCAATATGTCGAAAGCCATGGAGTTTTTAAGTGTCGTGCCTGCACCAGATTTGCCCCCGCCAAGCTGCTGTATCATTTTAGTCACAGCCATCCGATCCTGCCTTGTGCGATTCTTCAGATCTTGGTGTTCACAATAACCGCCACCTATATCGGAGTTAGACATGCAAATTGGCATGCAAGATCTTGCATGTAGAGATGAGCTGAACGTAGCTTGTGGGAATGAGCATCCATGATAGCTGGTAGTGAAAGGATCAGTATTTACAATTTTAATACAAGAAGGGAGACGGAAACTTGCCATGTGCGATTCTTTAGATCTTGGAGTTCAGAACACTTGTCTTGGGATCATGAATATGCATGATGACAGCTGCAAAACTTACTCACTGGGAGACGGTGACATGATAGAGCACATTCAAAAGGCTCCCTTCAAATAGTGCAGTGCTATAGATATAAGCAATGAACGATGTTAATGTTTGAACTGTGAACGAGTAAGCCAAGTTACCACTTTGGGATGACAATTCTAATTACCGTCATGTAGTACTGGCTCCTGTAGACTCAAGGATTGCTCCTGCGACTCTTGAATGGGTGTCACATACCATTCATGTGGTGCTAAATCGATTATCTCCAACTATTGTTCAAACCATGTAGGCAGCACAGACGCCTGGCAGTGTCAATCATCAGTATGTATTGTCCGGCATCAACTGATATACTTCATTCTGTCACAGTCTCACTGTTCATACTTGCTTCTCAAATAGACTATCATGATTGTCATTGATGTTATTTGAACATGTCTTGACCCAAACACCAGTCTTAATCACGAGTATGTACTGTCTAGTATCAACATATGCTTCATTCTCATCTCATTCATACTTGCTAGCATCGCCAATGATATTTGAACATGTCTTGACCCAAAAGCCGTGCTCAAGATGATCCTTGATACAATGGGTGGCGTACGGTGCGTCTCTCTGCTGTCATTTTCTGCTGTCAATATGTCTGAGTAGTATAGGCTAACAAATAATGGAAACCTGATTCTCCATCAAATCAATACTGCGGCACATCAGAAGAATTTGAACTCAGTCATACTACTCAAGACGAAGAACATGGTGATGGTTATCATCCTTCAAGTTGGTGTGTTCCTATGGGTCCCACCTCTTTCCCACTGATGCACAGTGCACGACCTCTGCTTTATTTCACGGCATTCAGATGTTGAAACCTGTCTTGATCGTGCATTACTTTCCCCTCTAAATGACTATGTTGATAGATTTTCAATGACAAAATTCTGGTGTGTTCCTATGGGTCCCACCTCTTTCCCACTGATGCACAGCACAACGACCTCTGCTTCATTTCACGGTGTTCAGATGCTGAACCCTGTTTTGATCGAGACTCCATTGAATGCGACAGAACACACTCGACTACCTTGCAATGTTTAACCCATCCTGGAGTGTGTAACCTCTTGTTAGAAATGAGATCAGTCAGAGGTGTGCACGTGCGCATCATTGATTTCTCAAAGTCTAACTTTTCAGTACATTTGAATGTGACAGAACACACTCGACTACCTTGCAATGTTAATCCATCCTGGAGTGTGTAACTTCTTGGTTAAAATGGGATCAGTCAGAGGTGCGCGTGTGCGCATCATCGATTTCTCAAAGTCTAACTTCTCAGTACATTTGAAAGCGACTGTATCTCTCATATTATATACAAACTGTTTCATCATGTACAGTGAATCGAAGACAGTTTCCTCTGTGATCCCCATATACAAGTACATTTAATGGATTTTAGTGCACAGCATTGTCAAAAGCGAGAACGCGAAGAACACTGTCTATTTGCACAGACAATGCTAATGTAGTATTTCCTGAGTTGCTACTGTAAATGTCATAGATCTGACCAAAGGGGAGTCATGCTCCTTGTATGTATTAATCAAAACATTCGGCCCAGTCAGCCTAGCCTGGGCCACTGTGTAATTCATCTATTGATGCCATTGAACTTCCGCTAGACAACAGATTGCGAGACTCGCACATTCATTCAGGTTGACTGAAAAAAAGTAACACTGGCATTGGCCACTGAACAGGGAACAGAGTAGTTTCACTGAGAACTGGCCTTTAAGACAAACAATTTATTTTCACCTTCATACTAACTGCGGGTCTACCATCTCCTACGCACCCCCCCTCCATCTACTCATCAATGGGTCATCGTGGGCCTAAGTCTTGGGCTAACACAGAACAATCCAAATTCCTGTTAGACAGACTCGGTCAGTATATTGCCTGTAAAACAGCAAAAGTATACAAGCCATTCATCAATGAAACATGGAGCATGTTCGAGACACGATGGCCAGAGCGTAATTGTACTAATAACAGTGTCCCTGTAGAGGGAGACCTCACAGAGGTCGAGATAAAAAAGCTAACTGCAGTCAAGGATAAGCGTAAGCTAGTAAGTATTCAACACATAAAATACACTGCACAATACTAACCTGCATGGCCTTTCAGATGATCAAAACGTGGTATAGATGGCAGACAAATGTCGCGCGTTTAGCCCGCTCAGGCGGATTGAAAGGGGCACTTGACCTCGGTGAAACTCTGAGCAGAGGAGATGAGGTGTTGGGGTGAGCTCCGCAAGAAGTAGAAATATACTCACAGATTTTCTACAACGAGCGCGTGAAGGGGGAAGCAGATGCGGCAATCAAGGCCGAGGGTATTTCTACACGTGGCAAAAAGCTTGCAAAACGGAAGGACGTCACTCGTGCCAAATATGCCGCTGAAAATGATAGCATCAGGACTGAGGTCCAAGAAAAGCACCAGGAAGCTCTTACGAACTGGAAAGAAAAATGAGAGCTAGCTAGAGCCGGTTTTGTTCAAGATGTTGAACAAGAGGAGAAGATTAGGTACGTCCTGATTCATATTGGAAACTTGTTCTCACCTACAAATGCAGGGCCTTCAATGAACTCGGGGCACATCTTGATTGTGTCTTCCGCCACCTGTCCCACAAGACGGGTGGACTTAAGTTCACCTGTATTGCTGGAGGACGGAACCCAACCACAGGTGAAATTGTAGTTCTTGAGTAAGTATTGAATTTGCACATGCTGGACACTATCAACTCACTATATAATGCAGCTACCATCTCAGAGAGACGGAGGTGGGGAGCGAGTTTTCGGCTGAATATGCTGGGTTCAGCTGAAGTCCAGACAGCCTATGCTAATTTCAGTCAAATTGGTGCTGGGTAAGCATCTATTAATTATTACACAATGCGATGCTTACCTTGTTCAATCAGCTCACGATGAAAAGATGCTAGCTTCAGCACTGGATGCAGGTACCATTGCGGATGAGGCGGCCAATGAGTTGGATGAGATTTTTGGGGAGGATAGTGAAGAAGATGAGGAAGAGGCTGCTGAGGAGGAGGAAAATGTTAGGGAGAATGAAGAGCTTGGGGATATGGATGATATTGGGCTGGGGCTGAACGGGCTTTATCAATTCGACCAAGTCATGGTAAGCAATGCATTAATCATCTGTTGAATTCTCACCGCTAATGCATCACACGTTCTAACAATGCTGTAATGCATTTTTGGTAATGCATTACCTTCAAACTCGTGTAGGATGACCAAGGGTCTATGGCTGACTTATCACCAGCACCTACAGCCACTTGGACCACTGCAGCTGTAGTCCCTGACAATAACATCGACTCCCTTCCTTTCAACCAGTTTGACATCTCCAGCTTGGATATGATTCATCTCAACAGTTTTCTCGCAAGCCTACCGCAGGTGCCTTACAACCCATTCACAGCCATTGGCCCAACATATGGTCTTGTGGATCAGGATCTCGACTTCAGCTTCATGCACGACTCCTCAAATTCATTCGACTATCAATATTCCCCACCGGTTATTCATGAACCAACAGGTCATCTTTTACCTGCATTCCCAGGTGATACTACCATGCCTAGTAACTTACCGCTCTCTCATTCCAATCATCTACCACCTACTACACCCCTCGCAAGCACTTCCAGCATCAACATGACAGATTCCAACACATTTGACCGTCTTGCCGGTCTAGAAGAGGAAGGTCCACGTTGAACAACACACCGCCATGTTCCATCCACACGCGAGCATATTCTCAATGCAATTGGGACGTCAAGTGCGCGTGTGCGCCCACCTATTTCTGTCAATAAAGAAAATAACAAGCGACGGAAGGCCAATACCACTGGCGCAGGCCAGCAGCCCAGGAAGTAAGACTGTTTCTATATGTTCTCCTCATTACTCACTGGACTTTTGCAACAGGAAACAGAAACACATTTGAAGAGATATTTGCTGGCGCTCAATAAAGGCTAGTGCATGAGTCTGACAGGGAATGTGTTTCGAATCGAGTAGATTAGATTTAGTTAGTGTAGAAAGCCATGGAATGATGAGATGGTTGGGGACATTTTGCTTCTGTTGGCTTCAGGGTAGAAACACGCTGGATTGAATGACCTCCGACTACACAAATACAGGCAGTCTTGTTATAAGTATGAGTATGAAAGGGAGGTGAGTGATAAGACATGCATATGCCGGCGAGAGGAGGGAGCAAAACGATTGAGATAAAGGAGTGTTGACAGGGAACTTTAAGAATAAGATAATAAGTGTCAACGATGATGAAAGGGAGAAGCTGAGGACAGAGGAATAAGGGATGTCATCATCATTTGAGAAGTTTGCGCCCTGCACAATGTAACTGTATCAAGAGATAAGGAAAAAAAACAAGGCATCTAGAGGTGTCAGACAAACGCAATTGTCTGCAAGGCCAGGATGTCTTGGTCACTGGCAGGTACAATGATGATATTTGAGCTGCCTCCACTTGAAATCTTGACTGCGATGCCTCCCAGGATGCCAGTGCACGACTGGAACAAGGGTGAATAAAATAGCTGTTTCATCAGGTCATCAGTCATGTACTCTTCTCTTTGCTTCACAATCTGTGATTCTAATTCAGCTTTTCTTGATCAGCTTGTCGGCGCATTCCATAATCATCGAAGTCTTTGAATTTGACTGAGTAGAACACCACACCCCAACTTCTGCATCACAAACCCGATCCAATTACAAGTCCCTGGCAGGATGAGCGGCAAGTGTGAAGGACCTTGAGTTGAAGGGCGGTCAAGTTGAAGTGCAGGTATATTATGGGAGGGCGGTTTGCACTAGTAATATGAGTGGGCAGGGCGTGGGCATGAACGAACCTGTTGAAGGACCAATGCCATCAAGCTATATAGCAAGCAGGCATAGCGTCGCATGCGCAGGTCATGATCACGTACAGAATCTGAGATATAATGCATTAGGTCAAACTAATGCATTAAGGTGCCTCGAAAAAGATGCGTGAAAAATGCATTACATTGTCCATCGTTGTTAATACATTACACCTGTCTGCTAACTATCATACATTATTGCATTATAATGACATGGTAGCCTGTGGCATCTTCATATTCATCTACATCAATGGCCATATCGTCATTGACAACCTGTACAACAGCTTTTTCACACACCCATGTTCACAAGAGAGCCAGAGTCATTTATGACCAGGTCAGACCTTTAAACGACATTGTCATCCAATGTTGTGCGGACCCTACACACTATCAAAGGACACACGGACACATGGATGAGGCTGTCGACCATCTGTCACACTCGTTTTCAGCGCCTCAAGCGAGCGCGAGCACATCAGTGTCCACTTCCCATGGCATCTCAGTGGCAGAACCCCTTTAGCAGCATCATTCACTCCCAATCACTTCTTCACTGTCCTCGATGGGTTCACTGTCCACATTTATGGAGGATATGGGTAGTGTACTGATCATCCTCAATAATTCTGTGTAAAAATATGCTGCTACTTGTTCGTTATCACGGAGTAGGACACAGCCTGTAATTCTGCTGGCCCACTTATCGACCATTCGGGCCAGAGTCTATATTGTCGTCTACCCATCCGAGTGCATATGAGGTACTCGGTTTTAATGGTGTGGCCAATCCAGTGAGTGCACCAGTGGCTAGTTAGAGGGATATGTACAAAGAGAGACGCACTAAGACATGTCGATTTTCAGAAGTGGAGGAAGAGGTTCAAGCATAAGTTGATCGGGTTTTCCCGGATTGAGCCACTAAGTTGAAAGCTGTTGAAAGTTCTTAGATGAAATATCTAAGACGAGGGAATACGATTTGACAAACATCATTCACACTAAAGTACTTGAGCTATTGTGTAAAGAGCATATTATCTATAGCATTCGAGAAACAGCCCAATGACGTCAAGAATGTTTCTCGATGCCGCTTAAACGCGTGCGTGGCAAATCTGACGTGCTGGGCTGGTGGTGGTTTCCCCTTAGCTCAGATTCCCAGTCTACCTTGAGTCTACCCCAATCACACCTCTCCATACAGACATACACATCCTTTCGCGATGTAAAGAGGAGAAGAAGAAGTTTTCGTCAAACTACGTCTGCGAGATGGAAGGCATATGACATATGCACACTCAAGATAGCTCCTCTTCCGAATCATCTATATGCGTGTCTGAAATGAGTACAGTGGCGCTCCTCCTTTCAGAGTCAAAATTCACCACCGCAACCCTCACCCACACTCGGATCCAACGTCCCCTTTCTCCTTGTGCATCTCCCTCCCCCGCCAATTTCTTCAGATCCAAGCATTGAAAACACGCTCGGAGAAGTCGGTTCTGCTTTCTGGAACCCCGTTCATTGTGATGTGCACAATGGGAGCATGATCTGGGAGGTAGTGGGCGGCCTGGGTTGTGGTGCCGTGAAGAGTGCAGAACTGGACGCCGGATACACTTGTGGAGTATGTCAATGCCCTTCAGGACATTGATTGTTAACTCGGATGGTTATTCATCTTTGGGTGACTCAACTCGGAGTTGAGTGCCATGTATTCATATCTACTTTGATTACACTTCTCAGAGGCGCCGACCGGGCGTGTAAACTCATTCATATGTCCATCTCTTACAATCAAAATTGACTCTCACAGTTGGTCAAGGTGTCTGGGTATATGTTGAGGTCCAGGCTCAAGCGAACTCCATATTTTAGTGCTCGCCGACGGATTTGAAATTTTGGTGTTGGTGATATGTGAGGCGGAATAAACCGGGGTGCATTGAAATTCGAATAGAAGTCACCTCACTGCCACTAACTCAGCAAGGTGCCTGCAACCACAGCATGCAAATCTGAACATTTAGCAGGTCCGTTCATCACCTCCACCATCTCCTCTCCTTAACTCTTATCTTGCACATCATCTCAAGACTCATTGTCTATTTGTTTGTAAAGCACGTCATCCTTTCTCTATCAAGGTCATGCCCTGTGAACAGACTGAGTCAAGCACGTCAGCCAGAGGGAGAAAAGTGCCGTTGAACTCATTGGCACGTATGAGACCTCTAGCAGGAGAGAAGGATCCACCACCATATGGTGCACAGCACCGCCAGGATACTCTTTGGGAAGGTGTGCAAACCGCACTGTGATGCCTACTGGCTTGCTCATCGAGAAGCAGGCAGGAATGAGATGCTCCCTCCGCTGTGGCAAGAGTTTAAGGCGTGGGACGGTAGGACACTTTATCAAGACGACAAATTGCTCATGCCTTCATGGAATCGACCTCTACCAGGGGTGCGACTAGGTGAGCAGAGAAAATGTCACTAGAAGCGAGGGACTCATCGGGAAGCATAGATGAACCTGGATATCTGGTTGTTCCTGGATGCGAGTGGCACATCTCACCGCTTGGCCGGTCCTACTTTGTCAACCACAACACTAGGACCACATCATGGAAAAAACCAGCACCAGAACGTCCGGCAGCAAGCTTGATGCCGGAGTGCATCATCGAAAGTCACTCCGAATGCATATGGAGCCTTGCCTGCGTGGGCACCAGTTGCAGCATACTGAGCGCGTCGCAGGACTGTTCGATTTGCCAGTGGAAAATAGATGGAGAGCCAGTAGGAAAGCCTTTGGATAGTTATGGGGCACCGATATGGTCAATAGCTGTATCTCCGGATGAAACAATGGTCGTGAGCGGAAGTTCAGACAGCAGACTACGGCTGTGGAACATAAAGAAGGGCAATATGGTTGGCTATCCATGGAAGGGGCACAACGGTGCAGTGAGGTGCCTCGATTGGTCTCCCAATGCCCTGGAGATAGCAAGTGGATCGACCGACGGCACCATTCAACGCTGGAACCCGGATACTGGCCGACGAATAGCACCACCGATAGAGACCAGTCACGGCTGGGTGAATGCTGTCAAATACTCTTCGCAATGCGACAAATTTATGAGCAGCGGAATGGACAAGATGATCTGTGTGTGGTCAAGGCACGGGCAGCTGCCTATAAAGATCAAGGGACATGAAGACATGGTGACATCATTGTGTTGGTCCAAGGATGGCGCATATATATTCTCCACATCATTCGATAACACCATCCGAAAATGGTGGCCGATTGATGGGGAGGAACTCATTGTTCTTCGGGGTCACACAAATACCGTCAGATCCCTCTGTCTATCTCCCGATGAAAGCCATATCGTTAGCACATCAAGTGACTACTCTGTTCGCATCTGGGACCTCAAGACGAACCAGCAAGTCGGAGATCCACTCTTACATGATGACGAACTCTTCACTGTTGCCATGTCCCCCGATGGGAAATACATTGCCAGCGCTGGAAAAGATGCAAAAATTTGTGTATGGAGCATGGAAGCAGTGCTCAAACAGCAAGGTGTGCGTATCTACATTGTGTTTCGACGTCTTTCTATTTTCTAATTGTTTGATTGTTGTTTAGGGTATGGATCATGCTAATGCAAAGCCCGATGCAAAGTCCAAGGCAAGTCAGTCCTGCGTCTCTTTCCTACTTGATGTCACCTTTTACTAGAGATGTCCAATCCAACTGAGAGATGTACGCTAATCAATTATGAATAACTTTATCCTTCGCTGATTTGTGTCGTTAGGACTTTGCCTCCCGTCTGATCGTCGCCAAACAGCTTGCGAATAATCGAGGCGTTAGGAGATATGTTGGTATAATCTTTCAATCCTCAGCTTTGGCCAATGTTCCTTTGATACAGGGCAATTATTTCTTTGGGAGCGATACAAACAGTGCACCAGCTCCACCTACAAGCCCGTTGTCTCTCCTTCGTAGTTTGTTCGGTTCCGTACATGTCGGCACACGACCTCCAAATTCACTTCGATCAATGCCGCGTGAGCCCCGACACTGGAATTTCAACACATTTCCTGTAGGGATTTCCAGACGGACCATTTTTGTAGCTCCTGCTCGTGATGAAGACGTGAGTAGCTTGCCGTTGCTCCTATTTCATTCCATTGAAACACGATGCAGAGATACGGTATTACCCCTGAATCTGACGCTGAAGCTACCGCCGCCATGCAACGTACAGATAGCAATGAGACTAACAGTTGCAGCACAACAAGCTCAACCTGCAGCAGGCATACAAGGATCTCAAGGATGACCAACGCAAACACAAGGCTCAAGTGATGGGACTGGAGAAGTTTCATATGAAGTTAGCTGCTGTGGATTCTATATTGGTTGTCGTCCCACTTCGCATCGGTCGTGAGGACATCTATTCGAACTCTGACATTCGATAATTTTGCCTTTTCCATTTAGTGTACGTTTATGCTCATTCACTTAGCTCGAGCCATCCTATATCACACGCCTGCATGGTATGTATCGTATCTTTATGTACTAGTAGATCATGTCATATTATCATTGCATGCCTATTGCATCGCTGGCTACTCTATTGAGGGGGCTCGTTCAGATTATATATTCCAAAATGCTGATTTCTCTGGTCTGCTTCAACTTCCATGGAACTCTGTCCACAACATAAATCCCAATGCAACATATTGCGAATGTCTAACAACGCACAGTACGGCTTTAGACGTCCGATTTCACTCAAGGGCAGGCTTCAACACACGGAGGATGGAGTGTTGTTAACGCGAGGGAACTTGGCAAAGAGGTACTTGAATTGCAAAGTAACATAAGAAACGGGATGCAAGACACCCGCAGGCCCAAGGCTCAGAACCAAAATATGCTGGCGCAAAGAGTTCATTATGTCCCTCCCGGCATATGACATACTCCTCGTCATCATCTTCCAGCCAACTTCTTGTGCACGAGCAGTATTGCAGATACGTCGAGCGTGTCATCGGTGGGTTCGTGTTTGATGATAGCATAAGTAAAGAAGTAGTGCTGGGTGGAGAACCGAGGTGGTGCTGGATGGGTGCGTGTTTGGTTCTCGGGGAAGCTGGGGTAATAGGTGTGAATCCTTCAACAACAGCCAGGCATCAGCTCGAACTCACTCTCAACAGAGGCAATCACGTGTATGAGGTCGATGAGCACGAGATTAGATTCTATTAGGACCAACTTGAGAGGTGTCAAGACAAGTAGGTGAAAGCTGGAACATACTTCTCAGGGAGGGGAGTCGGGGCAAATCTCCCTACACTTATCGGCACTCCCAATGATCACACATGCGAGGGATTCAGGTCATTGTGCCGGTATGCCGATACACTGCCCCATCCTACTTCTCCGCCTCTGCTATGAAGTTCCTGATACTGGGCATCCTGTTCAGTCCACAAGTCAATTAGTGCTGATAGAACACGTATAATTCTTATTCTTCGCTATATATTCTAGAAGCAAACACCACACGATCCGTCTGTGTCTGCAGATGAGTGTTAGTAAGCTTAAAATAAACACATCTGGGCCCAGCATGTATAGGCATGGCCACTTTTGCCTGGAGGTGCGAACTCCTTTCCGCCAAGGGTCATGAAGAGTGTTCTTAACGTGAGGTATTCGGTTTTAATGGCACGGCCAAAGATGACGCTACCAACCCAGTGGGTCGGTAGCTAGTAGTGGGATATGTACATAAACAAAGAAAGGCGCACTACAGTAATCCACCGCCACTTGAGTTTCCACCATCACTTGCGTCGATGCACAACAACATTGTCAAATCACATTATTTAGACACAATTCTTGCTGATGTATTTTCATGGCATGTAGAGCTATGTATGGCTAGTATAATATCTCAAATCTGCCAGGAGGAAAGGTCACGATGTTGCAATTTATAGCTGAAATTTCACTTTTCTGTACATAGCACCTTTGAATGATTTTTGTGGTGCACTCAAACTTCATATATCAATGAAGATTACCTTAACCTGACATCTGACATGTGTTGTTTGTAAGGATCGTAGCATTCCTGATGTGCCAGTTCAATGCCAGTGAAGGGTTACACGAAACTTCACAATCAACGAGTTATCATATCTAAGTACGTTATGCATGACAAATATTAGCTAAATCAGGGTGGGCACATTACAATCTGGCGCGTCGCGTACTAACAAAAATCTTTCCTACAAAATGCCTGGTATTGCCCGCTCCGTAGCAAAGAAGAAACAGATGGCTCGTGCTGAGCAAGAAAAGCTTATGCAGAGGCGATGAAGGAATACCGTAATGAGCAGAAGAAGCCTGAAAGCGAGAGGAAGAGCAGAAAGGCCATTTGCAGAGACGTTGCAGAGAAGTGGAAAGCGATGAAAAAACCTGTTACTGTCGGTGCTGATACACTTCGACTGAAGGCTCGAGGGAGGACAGACCTGTGGTCAGTTCAATGCAGAACAAAATTCGTGGCTTTCACCTGAGGAGGAAGAGAGTGTTGTTGCATACTGTATTGAACTCAGAAACCGAGGATTCCCTCTCAATCACTCTTGACTCAAGTTTCACATCGACACGCTCCTAGAAGCTCGCCTTCAGTCCAACTTCCCAAAAGGTGGGGTGGGAAAGAACTGGACCGAGCGATTCATTCTGTGCCATTCTGCACGTCTCAGTCAGTACTGGAGCAAACCTTTGGATACTGCTCATGGATGGGCCGTTAATCCATCTACCAACAAAGCATGGTATGACATTCTGGGCAGGACCATCGAAACTAAAGGTATTGAAGATGACTGCCTTTGGGCAGCTGATGAGACAGGCTTTCAGCCAGGCGGAGGACTCAAGGAGCAGGTAATCGGAGCTGCAAATAGGAAGACTCAGCATCAACAGCGAGACAGAAACTGAGAAAATATCACAGTAATGGTTACCATCTGCGCAGATGGTGAAGAGATTCCTCCAACCATTATCTACAAGGGTCAGACTTTAATGATGAACTGGCACCAGGATAATACTTTGAATGCATTGTGAGTGATTCAACACACAAACGAAAGTGTTTGCTTACCTCTGTCAAGTGTTGCACATTCCCTGAAAGGATGGACTGATGGGGTCATCGGCTGTCTGTGGATTGAGGATTTTGACAAGAAGACTCGTGAGAAGGCAAACGGGTGAGCACGGCTTCTTATTGTAGATGGCCATAATTCCCACTACACGAAGGAATTCCTTGACTATGCTAGGGAGAATAAGATTCACGTCCTATGCTATCCGGCACATGCAACTCATGTGTACCAAGGTCTTGATGTTGTTGTTTTCGGACCACTGAAACGGTACTGGACACAGGAGAGAGATGCATTCGAAACTGAAAAACGACAGAAGGTTACCAAGGCCAACTTCGTGTCCATCTATGAAAGAGCTCATCATAAAGCACTCACCCCCGAAACAATTCGCGCTGCCTTTCGCAAGACAGGTGTCTGGCCCCTTAACCCTAATGTTGTCACCAGCGACATGATGGCACAGAGCCTCGAAACGTCCTCAGTTGGGTTGTTACCACTGCCACAACCAAGTCCTGTCCGCATCATTGCCAAGGTCATCTGTCAGTACCAAAGAGATTCAGTCTCCGTTAACAAGATCCTGCCTACCGACAAGGACCCATTATTATCACCTGTTCAGGCATCAGCAGACTCTCCAAGATTGTCAAGTGCAGCTCACAAAGCTGTGACTGAATTGTCAGTGACATCAGCAGCATTCTTGGTTGCAGAGACACCCGTACATTCATCACACCGACTTCCAGCATTCATTCCGACTCCGCTAACACCAACATGTAAAAGGAAACATGATCTGTTGGACCGTGATCCTGAATCGGAGAAGGAACAGATGTACCAAGAGGCACTAAGGGATGCATACGGACGTGAGTCCAAATACAAAAGTGCGCTCCTCGGGATGCAGTCAACAGTAGTCCTACAATCAATGTTCTGCAACCGCTTATCTAATCAGCTTGCGGCACAAGAGGAGAAGAAAAACGGCAAGAAAAACGCACCATTGGTGGGTGATGGGATGCCAAGGTTACTCACTGGTGACGAGTTCTACAATTAAGTATCTGAGCATCGAAGAGCAGCAGAGGAGGAAGCAGCGGCAAAGGAAGTTCATTGGATCGAAAGGGAGGGGAGAGCAGCAGCCATGGCGGTATGGAAGGAAGTGGAGGCAGCGCAGCTGAAGAGAAACAAGGAATGTCGATGTAGAGACTCGATCCTGAGTAGCCTCACAATGGCATATATTGCAACATAGGTCGAGTCTACAGTAATATGCATGCAACGCGACACTTGCGCGATAAACGCGACGCACGCGACATAGGCGACACTTCCGTGACTTGCGCGCGCTTTAGGTGAACTTTCCCGCGCCTAAGCGCTATAGGGCGCCTGACTTCCCACTGTGTTTTCCCATGTCCAACCAAGTTCCCAGGTATGCATTTCTCCATTTATCATTTATTTCAACATCGTACCATGTTTATTTTCACTTGGTACACATTTTTCATGACACATTTTTTTACTTAACACAACACACATTACCACGGACCACCATCATCATAGACAGTCACCATCTCCGAGTTTTTATTATGTTTTGAATAAATCATCGCAAGCCCTAGTAGCAGTTAGCTCTAGTGGCCATATCCGCATCAGTTGTCTTATCAGCATCTCAGTACACGTCTTAACATCTCACTATCGCTCGCATACCGCTTTCACCCAGTTCCGCTTTTCGACGCGCGACTTTCCCGCGCTTCGCGCGCCTATAGCGCCTTTGTTCCCGCGCTTTCGCCTTATCATGCGCTTTGCGCATTCCCCCTAGAGTTGACCAGTGGATATTTGCTTTCTCTGCTTCCCCTAAGGGACGAACATATCGCACTCATATTTTCCTCCCTTCAACAATTATATCAGCTGCACCCTCAGCTGAGTTGAAGATCCTTCATCGAGCCACATACAAAGAAGAAGTGAGGTTGTGGGAGGAGGAGAGAGATTGTGCCAAGCTTGAGAAGCGTCAACCAAGGTGGACAAAACCAAAACAGGGCAAATTAGAGTTGCCGATACCTAAACCGACTCTTGATGATGTTGAAGAAGATGACGAACGTGGTGTGAACGAAGACGAGGACATTGACAGCAATGATTCTGATGGTGGGAGCTCAGAGGTTTGATCGGCTGATCGCTTATCAGCAATAATTAATCACGTACAATTAGTTCTTATCGTTGAGTAATACCATTTTTGGGACCAACACAAGTGACAGTGGAGGGTTGATAAAGGCCTTATTCTTGATTCATTCACCACTCTACAACACATGTTCTGATGCTCTCAATATTCTATCATACACAATACATAGTTCATGTATTAGAAAGTAATTGTCAATCACGATTTTTTTTTAAATGTGTTGTTGTGTTGTGAGACATTCTCAAAGTTTTACCGACGTAAGTGACAGTGCATTACTGTAATTTTCGGAAATGGAGGAAGCAGAAGTGAAGTAACCCGGGGTTTCCCGGACCATATTGAGCTATGAAATTCTCTCTATAATGGGTTTCAAAGTTTGGCGCATATGCTGCAAACAACATCGCGAATAATCGATGAATGCAAATAATTTAAACTCCGACGGCACTGCATGCCAGCCGTGATCACTAATGTCGTCGTCGCTGTCCATCACAGGCATCTCTGACCTCTATGGCCACACAAGGCACCATCCGTGGACGTGGAGCTAGTAGCTCCAGTAGAGCTCGAGGTGGGGGCAGTCGTGGATTGGCTCCTACTTCCTCCCAACAACCCAGTGGGAGAAACAGCACTCCTCACGCACTGCTCACCTGATTGAGTGGTGCAAGGCCAATGATGAAGGTTGGATCAAGCTTTTCTCCGATTCAGCAAAAGATGCAAAGGATGAGGGACGACCACGACAGCAGATGTCCACCCAGAAAAAGAACTACATCCAGCAGCTGGCTACTGCAATTTTTGCCAATGATGAAGACCCACAAATTCATGCATTATATCAAGAGCACCCTCTCAGCTTTATCAAACCTGTTCAAAGTTGGTTTACCTCATATGTTTGCTATGATTTTGTTCATCTCTACTGGTGGCGTGATTGACTAGATATGTTAAGCTTCGAAAAAAATACAACACCTTCAACAAGGAGCTTGGTCAAATGGGGGCTGGACTCAAGTCTATTGAGGAGCTGAATGCAGATCCTTGCACTAAAACTCTTGTTGGTACAAACATGCTTTTCTTTTTCTACTTGTTATATTCTGAGATTGAGCACCAGCTCAACTTCTTCAGCAATTCCCGTAGTGGTCTGACCTCCATGGATGGTGGAGGACAAACCCAGCATATAATACAGCGTTCTCAACTGCAGATCCAGGTCAAGACTTTGCCAATGAGGCACTCAATTTTTTTACAGAGACCCCCAAGTCTGGGCTGCAGGCTGCTGATGAGATGGATCTCGATGACGAGGAGCTCGAGCCAGGAGAAAATTTTAATCAGCCACTTGGCCAGTCGGAATATTCTCCAGTGGCTGCTGGAGCTTCTCATTCACTTATTGACAGTGATAATGACCTCTACAACAACCTCAGCTCTTCCAACAAACCCTCGTTTTTGCAGCATCGTGACCCTTCTTCCATCCCCTCTTCATCGCCACAAATTTCAGGCACTGATTCTCCAAGTTCAATGACATCACCACTGCTCCCTTTAAATCCTCCCCTCGACTACCACACACGTTCAACTCCAGGTCCTGCAGCTCCCCCAAGCAACATCAATCAGCCTCCGGATATCTCACTTGACTCTCCACCAAGAAATTCTGCACTGGCTCGTTCACGCACATTTATCTCACGGGAGTCTCCACCACAAGATGTCGATGACGATAATGGCTTTGGTCACATGGACCTTCAGCCAGAGTCATCTGGTAGTGAGAGCATTGAGGGTGTGATGAAATCCTTGACAGTGCACTCTCATAAAGTGAGTGGTAGTGCTCTGCGTGGTTGAAGCCCAGCCACCTCTACTCACCGCCATCAGGAAATCACCGAGGCGACGGTTTTCGTAGTTGTAGTTGGTAAGATCAGATCAAAAATTCATGTGATTATATGTAATGACAAAAGTAGACAAAATAATATATAAGATAAGCGCATTGGTAGCAAAGGATAAGATATGGCAAAAAATGTATAATTCTGATGAAAATAGGCAAGTGTACCAGCATTTCTCGACTGCATGGTCACCTATGGTCACTGGTGACCACTTGGGATCAAGAGACTCGGCCCTATAGGATGCTTATGTAAGTCCGAATTTTTTCAAAGTTCAACGTTACAGTCTTCTTACTAGTTCCTTCTCTCAATGCTACCACCACCACTTAATTACTCTCTGAATCTCGAACTCTCACTCTCTTTGGCCTTCCCTCTTGGTCCTCCTCTTGGTCCCTCCCTTATGGTTCCTCCTCCTTGGTTCCTCCTCCTTCATGGTCCCTCCTCCGCGGTTCCTCCTTGGTTCCTCCTTCGTGGACCCTCCTTCGCGGACCCTCCTTCCTGGACCCTCCTTTGTGGACCCTACTTTGTGGACCCTCCTTTGTGGACCCTCCTTTGTGGACCCTCCTCCCTCTTATACTCGTTTTCTGTCTTTTGTCGTGTTATATATGTATATATGTACTTACATCTTGTTTGTTTAATTACAAAATGAATTTTTTTTGGAATAAAATGTGTGTATAACGGTCAAAAAATTAGCTTTTGTTTGAAGCCACCCAACATTATCAAACTTTGTCATGGCTGCCAAGTGTTGGCAACATTTGCTGGTTTGATGAGAAATGGCAAGTAATTGCAGGTAGATTATCATGATTGTGCTTTTGGCAGTTTTCATCCAACTTACTCTGGGTATATAAAGCATTTTCTAGTGAACTATCATTTTGATAGATATTATACAAATTTTAAATCAGGTAGAGCTTGACAAAACTTTACCATTTTCACGTCACTTCCCTGATGGCAGTATGGGCCCATCACCATCTAGTTCTCATTCAACATCAGAGTCTCATAAGCGGCCGCACGATATCGGGGCAGATGTTACAAAGAAGTTGGCTGATGCCTCTGACTCCCTCCTACTCCATGTGCAGAATAAATCAGATGTTAAAGCCTCGAGCAAGCGGATGAAGTTCAAATATGCTAGGTTTTACAAGGAGTTGAAGGCTCGTGAGGCTCATGCTGAGCATGAACATGACTCACATCAGGTCATGGCTAATCACAATCATGAATGTGCCATGTCCGAAGACAAGACAAGGCAACTTGAGTTGGAAATCTGACTTGAAGAAGCTAAATATCGTTGTCTTGCAATGGAGCGTGGCTTGGGTTTAGGTGATGGGGCTAATTGATATTATGCTTGCTTTTGTGTGTCTGTCGCCATCTGTTTACATTCAAGTTCGTGCTTATATTTGTCTTCAGTGCTTGTTGTTTTTGCTAATCATGCTCTTGATACTCATCATGTTGCTGTACTACTACTACATGTCATCTTTCAGACTTGTTCTTAATGTATACTGCACCTAAACTCTGCGGCTATGAAGCAAACGACCCATTAATGTGTTCCGGAAAATTTGTCCATCTGTTCCAATAAATCCTTCATCACCATTGCCATCCTCATCCTCATCATCTACATCTCTGGCCCCTCACACCTGTGATTGTTTCCGAAAGTGATGATTAGAGCTTTTCTTTCCCATATTCTCCTCAATCTCGATAATGAAATTGTGAAGAATGAGGCAACAGCAAGTCCACATATTCGCATAGCTGAGGTCTTTCTGCGACTGTATCTGGATTCTTAGGTCGCACAGGGACTGGAACCGTCCTTTAAGAGACCCATAGCAGTGTTCGGATCGAACTCGGACCTTCAATTGTGGTATGAGTGCATATACCCGTCTCAAAATACTCAATGGCTTACTTTCAATAGGTGTGTATTGATTTTTTTTTGATCGTGCCTCAGACCACCAGCCACTGGACACTTGAAAGGAACAACACACCACGTTCACGATGCATATGCTGAATCTGCCTAGATCCACTCATTTGCTCCCAGAAAGTTCTCGGGGTGTCGTGCAATTCGTGTCTTCGAGAACACATTAGCGTTGTGCAGACTTCCTGGGACCCCGATCACGTAGTCGACAATACAGAGGTTGTGGGGCATGATCACAATCTAACATAACGGTCAGGATGAATTTTTGATTTATTCTAGATGACTTACCTGCGCAGACAGGGAGTAATTTGATTTTCGGTCGAAAAAACCTTCTCCATGCCATCCCGGTTTCTGGTACACATTGAAAGGTGTGCCGTCAACACACAAAAATCCACCACACCACTCCCGACATGTATGTTCCTCAACCCAGTCTTTCGCTCGATCTATCTCAATCTGGTCTTTAGCCTCCAGTGGGTCAAAGTGGATGACATCGTCATGGTGCTGCAAAATTGCAACCATAACACGCCGATAGCAGTTGTATACTGTTCCAACCGAAACCCCTGCCCAGTCAGCCATGTCTTCCGCGGTCGCTGCATTTCCGTAGTGGCCAGTGGCATTCAAAAATATTGCCAGCTGAATGGGAACAGGTAGTTGAGGATTGTTAGAATTGTTGTAAAAAATCGGATGATGGATGATTTTATTGACAAGTTCTACAAACACATCAGGATTGACTCGGAGCTTGCAACGGAACCTCCGAGGATTTTCCAATGTCCACTCTTCAAGTAGATGGAGCTGTGGTGCGTGGGTGGCTGTAGGACACGAAATGAGCGTACGTGCTTTCGCGACTTCATCTTGAAGTGCTTGATGGTATTACTAAATTCGAGAAAGACTCAGCTACTGAACATGGGTCCAGAGGCTTCTGTAGAATCTGAATTGGAGGATACCGGCATGTCATTCCAGACAGAGTCAAGCGACATCCAGGTATCAAAAGAACTTATGGAATCCATGCTGATATTTGATGATAGATCAGAATCAATAGAGCCAGAGTCCAAGTCCAAGTCCGACTCATCTGAGCTAGACTCATCGGATGACTCAGAGTCAGATGAGTCGTCATCCATTAACATGTTTACTAGCTCGAGGTACCGAGCAAGTTGAAGAGTCTTGTTTGTTTCTCGGAGGGCCTCTAGTACCTTTTTACGCTCTGAAATGTGCATCAGGAGGGATGGTGGAGAATAGTAGCTTATTGATTATCTCTTCCGTGATACTGGATACTTTCCATGATAGGATTGATTAGTAACATGACTGTTTTACGCAGAGCTTGAATATCAATATACATTCTTGTTTTTGTGAAGTTCGAACACATGCACACCATGTACTTTGAAACCCATTATATATAAGGCAAAGGAATACAATTTGACAAACGTCGTTCATTAACTTGAAGCTATTATATGCAGAGCATACTATCTACAGTCACACATGGAACAGCATCCGAGCAATGGACCTTACTCCAGCTTCTTTAAGAATGTTTCTCGATGTTACTCGAATGCGTCGGTGACAAATCTGATGGCGGCGTCGACTTGGTGGTGGCGGTTCCCCCTTTGCTCATATTCCCAGTCTACCCTGGCCAATCACACCTCCCCATAGACACATACGTGTCCTTGCATAATGTGAAGCAGAAAAGAAGAAATTCTCGCAAAACTATGTTCACAAGATAAAAGGCGTATGGCATATGCACGCTCGAGCGCTCAAACCTGCTCCCATTCCGAATATTCCATACACGTTTCTGAACTAGGTACAGTAGCGCTCCTCCTTTCAGAATCAAAATTTACCACCGCAACCCTCACTCGTGCACTTGGATCCAGCATCCCCTTTCTTCTCATGCACCTCCCTTCCCCTCTACCAGTTTTTTCACATTCATGCATTGAAGAGAAGTTGGCTCTACTTCTAGAACCCCTCTCTTGTGGTGCGCAAGGTCTTCTTCATGGGGAACTTGATGCTCAATGGGAAGACAATTTGGGAGGTGGTGGGTGGCCCGGGTTATGGTGCCATGACAAAAGAGTGCAGAGCTCGACGCTAGATCCGCTTGGGGAGTGTGTTGACGCCCTTGAAGACATTGATCGTGGTTATCCATCTATGGATGACTCGACTCGGGCGTTGAATGCCATTGTATGTATGTATACATACCACATATTTCTCTCTACGTTGGTCACACTTCGCAGAGGCGTCGACTGGGCATGCAACTGCATTTGCATTTCATTTCATTCAAATTTGACTATCACTGGTGGTTCGGATGTCTCGATACAAACTCCATATCTTAGCGCTCGCCGACGGATTTGGCGCAAGTAGTTACCATGCGGAGTACAATGTTGCGTGACGCGCAGATTCAAAACAACACCAAAGAAATCTGACTCGTTATGGTATCAAAGGCAACCTGACACAGTGAGAAAACAGACGTCATAATGAAATCCGGAATATACCATTCTCACGGCTCCCTTCACATCACGACCAGCACCCAGTCCCTACACTATCGAAAAGGTCAAGTCGCTATCCGCATACTATTATTCGTAGGGTCCCCAATAAAAAGGCAATCGCTCCGCACGGTCACAAGCCGGCACCGCCGACCCCTAGTGATATGTAAGACGGAACAAACCGAGGTGCATTGAAATTCGAACAGAAGTCACCTCGCTGCCACTAACAGCAAGACGGATCAATCAAATATAGGTGTCAGCTGCTAGGTCTAGTCATCACCCCCACTATCTCCTATCCTCGACTCTTATTTGCGCATTATCTCAAGGCTTATCGTCTACCCATCTGTGAAACACATCGTCCTTTCTCAATCAGGGACATCCCCCGCGAAGAGGCTGAGTCAAGCACGTCAGCCAGAAAGAGAGAAGCGCTGTTTGACTCATCGGCACGTATGAGACCTCTAGTGGGAGAGAAGGACCCACCACCATATGGTGCACAGCACCGCCAGGATGCTCTTTGGGAAGGTGAGTAGATCGTATTGAGATACCCACTGACTTACTCAACAAGAAGCAGGCGGGAATGAAGCGCTCCCTCCTCAATGGCAACAGTATATCGTGTCGAATGATAGAACACAATATCAAGACGACACCCTCATCATATCTTCATTGAACCAACCTTTACCAGGGGTACGACTAGGTGGGCAGAGAAATTGTCACCAGGAACGAGGGACTCATGAAGAAGCATAGATGCACTCGGACAACTCGTTGTTGCTGGATGCGAATGGCACATCTCACCACTTGGTCGGTCCTATTTCGTCAATCACAACACTCGGACCACATCGTGGAAGAAACCAGCACCAGAACGTCCAGTAGGGTGCTTGACACCGGAGTGCATCATCGAGGGTCACTCTGATTGCATATGGAGTCTGGTCTGTGTGGGCACCAGTTGCAATGTACTGAGCGCGTCAGAGGACTGTTCGATTCGCCAGTGGACAATAGACGGAGAGCCAGTGGGAAAGCCTTTGGATAGCCATGGGGCACAGGTAGGCCCGATGGCAGTATCGCCGGATGAAACAATGGTCGTAAGCGGAAGTCCAGATGGCAGATTATGGCTATGGAACATAGAGAAGGGCGGTATGGTTGGCGATCCATGGGAGGGGCACAATGGCCAAGTGAGGTGCCTCGATTGGTCTCCCAATGCCCTGGAGATAGCAAGTGGATCGGCCGACGGCACCATTCAACGCTGGAACCCGGATACTGGCCGACAAATAGCACCACCGATAGAGACCGGTCACGGCTGGGTGAATGCTGTCAAATATTCTTCGCAATGCGATAAATTTATGAGCGGCGGAGCGGACAAGATGATTCGTGTGTGGTCAAAGCACGGGCAGCTGCTTATGAAGATCAAGGGACATGAAGACATGGTGACGTCGTTGTGTTGGTCCAAGGATGGCGCATACATCTTCTCCACATCATTTGATCACACTATCCGAAAATGGCGATTGATTGACAGGGAGGAGCTCGTCGTTTATCGGGGTCATACCAACGCTGTTAGATCCCTCTGTCTGTCCCCTAATGAAGGCCATCTTGTTAGTGCGGCAAGGGACTACTCTGTTCGTATCTGGGATCTCAGGACGAATCAGCAAGTCGGAGATCTACTCTTGCATGACGACGAACCCTTGACTGTTGTCATGTCTCCCGATGGAAAATACATTGCCAGTGCTGGAAAAGACGCAAAAATTTATGTATGGAGCATAGAGACAGCGCTCAAACAGCAGGGTGTGCGTCTGCATAATGTTTCGACGTCTTTTCTATTTTCTAAAGGTATTGGTTGTTGCTCAGGGTGCGGATGATACTAATGAGAAGCTCGACACGAAGTCCAAGGCATGTCAGTTCCGTGTCTCTTTCCCACTCGTTCTCACCTTTTTACTAGAGACGTTCAATCCGACTGAGAGATGTGCGCCAATCGGTCATGAATAGTCTTATGTTTCACTGATCTGTGTTGTTAGAACCTTGCTTCCCGTCCAATCGTCTCCAAACTGTACGCGAACAACAGAGGCGTTGGTGCAGAAGTTGCTGCAGCCATGCAACGTACAGATGGCAATGAGACTGATAGCTCAGCGCAACCAGCTCAACCTGCAGCAGGGATACAAGGATCTGAAGGACGACCAACGGAAACAAGTGGTGGGACCGGAGAAGTTTCCTGTGAGGTTACCTGCTGTGGATTTTTCTTCGGTCATCGTCGTTCTACCCCGCGTTAGTCATGAGATTGGTAATGACTGTCTGTCATTCGACAATTTTGTCTCTTCCCTTACACATTTGGGATCTTACTTACACCTAGCTCGTACCGTCCGATGCACATCGCATGGTGTGTATCAAACCTTTAGATCATGCTCTGCTATCTATCATCCCATCTGTTACATCGCTGATTTCTTTGATCCGCTTCCACTTCCAGCGAACCACAATGAACCTGTCGATACAAGATAAATTACAACACAACACAACGCGAGTGTTTATCAACACACAATACTACTCTAGGTGTCCGCTCGAGGGCAGGCTGCAACACACGGAGAATGTAATTTCGTCGACAGGAAGGAACCTAGCAAAGAGGACTCTGAGTTGTCAAGTATAATACCCATTGCTCCGGGCCTCCAGCAACCATTTGGCAAGCAATCTGACGCCACGCAGTCATGAGGTCATTTGCTAAAACCCTCTATCGTTCGATGATATTCTCTCGTCCCTTTCGTGTGCATTTAGAACTGTCTCATACGCAGCTCGTGGCATCCGATGTATGGACATGACTGTTCAGTATTTTATTCTGTCTAGATGACTCCACGCCATTGTCTCATAATTTTCAGATCATGACTACTCGTCAGTAGTACTTACTACTTGGTGTTTAGAATCTACTAGAGAGCCGTCGTTGCTCCAATTGATGAGAATATAGACAGTCACTTTCGCAGCTGGTGGAGAGGTGGAGGAAGAGTTTTCGGAAGTGAAGTGAGCCCGGGGTTTCCCGCGGCATCGGTTTTGTATATTGGATGTTCGAGTAGTGCCTTCCTTCAAGCTCTAAAGTAATATGCAAGCCAAGCGGCTGTTTAAGCAGTGCGTGTCGATGCGAAGCGCATTCAACAACCAACGTTTCCTTCAACTTTTCCAAGGCTGATTCTCGACGCTCTCTCGAACGTGGCTGGGCGGTAAGTCTGACTTACTTACTTATCGACTTAAGTCTCTAATCCACCCCAATCATACTTGCCCAAGTGGCTGCAGCTATGAGACATACTACGACTTGCGACGAGGCCAACGGTTCAACGTCACTAGGCCAGGCTGCAGTGGGGGGTACAAGGCTCAACTGGTGGAACGAGAGAAGTCTCCTACGAAATTAACTGCTGTGGATTTTCATTTACGCGCCATTCTTCCTCGTCGGGTCAGTCATGAGGTCATTTTTGTTGAATTTCTATTGCTCTATGATTTTTCCTGTTTCCCTCCGTGTGTTTACGATCATCTCTTATCCCGGACATGCTGAATCTTCCATCGTCTTATTTCTGGATTTTTATACTTATTATTCACCTGTTGTATCACTGGCCATCGACCCCGGGCCGATACCGGGACTGTTTAGAAATCGCTCCAGCCCCAGCCTCCTACGTCCCGCATGATTTTGGGTACGTGGAAGGAGAAAAGGTAGAGAAAGACTTGGACACGTCATCGAAGCTTGTCGCTGTCCTTGCATTGACAGACATGAAGAAAGTGAGCGCTTTGCCTACATACACAAGAGATGGTTCAAGACAAAGGTCCATGATGTCGCATTCTGCGCATTCAAATGCCGTGTGTCAGTTTATGTCTGTATGCAAGTAGAGCAAAACTAAACGCACATCAATCCAGCATCAATTGGAACGCCTTCCTTTAGGCGCTCTACATGAGGTTTGCCTGAAGATGTGGAATCCCTGTTTCCACAACGGTTGCATCGTGTAAAGAGAGACGGACTAAGACATGTCGATTTTTAGTCTCCCCTAATCAGACCATATGGAAGGAAGACAGTCGTTCAGTCGACTTTTGGTGGTGGAAGAGTCGGAATCGAGTTAGGGAACTAGGCTGGTGTGAGTCAAATTTACGTCAATTTACCTTCTACTCTATCATCCTATAGCTCGTTACACTTCTTTGCACGTCAGCCTTCATCACATCTTATCGTCCCATCGTCATTCACATGTTCACACTAATTTCACGTCAAACCGAGATTCCCCCTCCGAGTCTAGTTCTCATGGAAACTTATGATCCATGCGTTAAGAAGTGTTGCAGATTGAATTTGCACCTTGCCTTGACGATCTGGATCACGATGAAGGGAAACAACGGACCGCATTACCCTGACCTATACTATATTCGAGTTCTTTCGAACAGCTTTTCAACTCGCTTCGAGCAGGGTGGTGTCTTTTAGATCCTGGCGTGTGTGAGCTAACATAAATGTTTCCTCCGGTTGAGATATTTTTCCCGCGGTACAGCGTACAGGTGCCGTGACCAATTCATCCACCAAACACTAACTTAAAGTGGGCGTCGGGGATGATGATATCTCAATATGTTCATTGGTTCAAGAATGTACGGCAATCGAGAGAACTGTCAATGACTCGCGGTCGCAAAGGGCGCATAAAAATACAGCATGCCCAACTGACTATTTAGCAGATCTATTCATCTCATCATCACTTCTACCATCTCTCCTCGCCTTCGACAATTCACTGTCCGGATCATTGAGCTCTGTCAACGTGTCTGCAAAGACAGCGGTATTTAAAAACTTTCTTCGCCAGCGTCATGGCCAAGTCAAGCGCATCAGCACAACGGAGAGATGGAGAACGAGTGATGTCGAACTCGCCGATTGTTAGGGCACCTCATCGGACGAAGGAGAGGGATCCGCCACGCTATGGTGCACAATATCGCCAGGATGCACTTTGGGAAGGTGAGTAACCACATTTTGATACCTATTGCCTTGCCTTACTCAACGAGAAGCAGGCGGGAATGAAGCGGTTCCTCCTCAATGGCATCGGTATAAGTTGTTGAATGATAGAATAGCATATCGAGATGACACGCTCGGAATAGCTTCATTGAACCGACCTTTACCGGGGTGCGACTAGGTTAGCGAAGAATCTGCCACTGACAACGAGATACTTATGATGAAACATAGACTATCCCGGACGACTCATTCCCGGATGTGAATGGCATATCTCACCATTCGGTCGGTCCTACTTCGTTAATCATAATACCAGGACCACATTGTGGAAGAAACCGACGCCAGAACGTCCACCAGGGAGCCTGGTGCCGGAGTGCGTCAACGAGAGTCATTCCAGAGTCATTTGGGGCCTTGCCTGCTTGAGTACCAGTTGCAATATACTGAGTGCGTCATGCGATGGTTCAATTCGTCAGTGTACAATAGACGGAAAACCAGTGGGGGGGCCTTGTAATAGTGACGGAAGAGCAGTGCGTTCAATTGCAATGTGTCGAGATGAATCAATGGTCGTGAGCGGAAGCGCAGATGGCAGGCTACGGCTATGGAACATCAGGAAGTGCAGCGTGGTCGGTGACCCGTGGGAGGGGCACGGCGGTCTGGTGATATGCATTGATTGGTCTCCTGATGCTCAGGAGATAGCAAGTGGATCGCAATACGGCACCATACGACGCTGGGACCCGGATACTGGCCGACAAATAGCAGCACCTATAGAGACCGGCCATGGGATGGTTTGCACTCTCAAATACTCTCCACAAGGAGACAAATTTGCGAGCAGCGGAGAGGACAGGTTGATCCGCGTGTGGTCAAAGGACGGCGAGCTGCTTATGGAGATTGAGGGCCATGAAAACGCAGTGACGTCGTTGTGTTGGTTCAAGGACGGTGCACACATTTTCTCCGCATCGTATGATGGCACCATCCGAAAATGGGGGTCGATTGATGGGAGAGAGCTCGTTATTTTTCATGGTCATACCGATGCCGTCTACTCCCTGTGTTTTTCCCCTGATGAAAGCTATCTTGTTAGTGCAGCAAGGGACTACTCAGTTCGCATCTGGGACCTCAAGGCCAATCAGCCGGTCGGAAACCCGCTCTTGCACGACGATGAAGTCTGGGTTGTTGTCATTTCCCCTGATGGAAAATATATCGTCAGTGGTGGATCGGATGCAAAGATATATGTATGGAGCCTGGAGGCAGCACTCAAACATACAGGCAATGATCATGTGAGTGTGTCTATGTGATATCAGCGTCTTTTCTGAGTGGGGTTTAATTGTCGTTCAGAGTGCGGGTGAGGGCGATGCAAAATCAGATGCAAAGCTCAAGGCAAGTCGTCTGTGCTTCCTTTTCGCGCTGTTTCTCACTGCTTTACCAGGGACGCCCAGCTCGACCGAGAGATGCTGTACGCCAATCATTTGTGAACACTCATATTCTTTGCTTATTCGTCTCGTTAGATCTTGCATGCTAGTCAGGTCTCCAAGCAGCAGCCCAACAACAGACTAGGAGGCTTGGCGAAATACGTCAGTATAATCTTTCGTTTTTTTTTTGGCTCTTTCAAGTCTAATACTGGTATAGGGCAAGGACTTCTGGGACGCTGATACCAACCCCATGGCTCGTCCCGGAGCTCCTCCTGCGAGCCCATGGTCTACCCTTCGTTGGCGCAGCCTGTTCAGTTCACTGCGTTTCAACACTCGACCTCCAAATGCGCCACAATCAATACAGCTGCCGCACCGGCGTTGGAATGTTAGGCCATTTCCTATAGGAGGCTCTATACGCAGCATTGAAGTAGCTCCCTGTCGTGAGGAAGATGTGAGTGTTTGACAATGCCAATATCCGACTCTCTTTAACAATTTTACAGAGATATGGTATTACCCCTGAGACTGATGCTGAAGCGGCCGCAGCTATGCAACGTACAAACAGCAACGAGGCTGACCGTTCAACGCAACCAGGTCAGCCTGAGGCTGTGCCGGGGACACAAGTATCTCAAGGACGACTGACGGACACACAAGGCTCGAGTGGTGGGATGGGAGAGGTTTCCTGTGAAGTTAGTTGTTGCGGATTGTTTTTTAGTTGTGGTCGTCCTACCTCGCATCAGTCATGAGGTTGTCTACTAAACTCTCTTTGTTGCCCCTTCGTCACCACAGGACATGTGGAAGCTTTGACGCACATAATCACACCCTTCAAATGTGAGAACCGGAGTTCTGTACCCAAGCTCGACACGGATTCTCACTCACAAGCATTGCGTTTAATAGTTTGCCTTGGACAGCCTTTGGTGCATTTTGCTATGTAGCGCGGTGGTGCGATGTCAAATTTAAGGGAATCACGTCAGATCATAATATCATTGCACAAGTTAAAGACATAACTGCTGTTGGCAACATGATAGACTCATCTGGACACTAGTTGTCAGGCCTGTAGCTGTTCAGAGTCTTCTCAAGATCTATAAGCGATTTTTGTTTGTACCTTGACGATCAAATTTGTACAGACGCATTGGGATTGGTAATGTGTGCAGTGTAAGATAGCTCGGATTCGAAGTCGTTTGCGAGAGACGTTGACAATTTGATGACATGTGTTTTTCTTTGGCGGCGACTGAACAGTGGATAGTAAAGCAGCAACCTGCAGCAACGTTGCACGCATATGCATCAGACTCACACCTTTCCACAAAAGTCTGATGGTCTACAACGATACTCGCCTGTCCCATGACAGCGCTTACCCACACATTCATCGTGCACTTTCCATGAGATTGGTAGCACGAGCAGTGCTGTTAAAGGCCAACAATTCTAATGAAAGCGCGATTTTTAATGAGTTCCGGGGACCGGCTCTGCGCGTGATTCCGATGAAGATGAATTTGGTAGAGGATTGTTAAATGAGAAAACCGAAACCAGTAGGGCCCCGGGGAGCCCGCGAAGTTGAGGATGAGATGGGCGGAGCGCTCGAAGCAAGGCTGTCAATACCTTTGGAAAGGATCATAAGAAACGCGCCTTCGAAGTGGAAATGCCCCCACTGCAGAGTTAGTAGTGTTTTGAGACTCGAGGATAGAGAGATTCGGCTGCATTGCGGAACACACAGAACTTGGGAGTCTGTAAGGAGCTACTGTCCTTTACACGCCGACCATTCCAACACACAGCTACGTCTTCAACAAACAGGAAGACTAAAGTAATAGAGTGAAAGTAGCAGTCCGGGTTTTTCCGGATTGGAGACGACGCGTCGCGTCATGGAACAGCGTTCGAGTAACATACGCACTCGAGCTGCTTGATCAAGAACACCTATAAATTGACCTTGAGATGCGTCAATGACGTCGACTTCCCCTCTCCGATGTGCGCACACTGAACCTGGCACAATACTTGGCCCTCCTCTCTCAATCGCTCTTCACCACCGCGACCCTTGCCCGTGTACTTGGATCAGCGTCCCTTCTCCTCATACACTTTTCTCTCTATATATTTCCTGTCCCCGTATCCCACGTACTGACAGCACCCTCGGGGAAGTTAGATCCGCTTTCTGAAACACAGCTCTTCCAAGATTGTTGGATTGCTCTTACTCACTATTTACAGTGCACGGAGTCGAATCTCGATGGATGCACCGTGATTCAAGGAATCTTCATTGATAATATATATATAACGAATTGATATGCATTGAAGTGCTCCAAAATTCCGAACCGAGGTCATCCAGGGTCATCCGTTTCAACGGTAACACTCAGGTCGCTAATGACATCGCGGCGGTGTAAGGAAAGGTGCCTGGAAATACAGCACGCAGAACTGAGCGTCTTGCGGGTCTCTTCATCACCTCCACCCTCTCGCCCTTGGCTGTTGATTTTACGCAGTATCAGGCTTGCATAACTGTCCACTTCGTCTGGAGAAACACGTCCTTTCTCGATCAACGTCATGCTCTGCGAAGAGGCCGAGACGAGAGCGACAGAGCCACCACCATATGGTGCACAACACCGTCAGGACGCACTTTGGGATGGTGAGTAACCCTGTTGTGATACCCACTAAGTTACCCATGAAGAACCAGGCGGGAACGAGGCGCTTCCTCCTCTGTGGCAACAGTTTGAGGTGTTGGATGGTACAACACAATATCAAGACAACACGCTCATTATAGTTTCATTCAACCGGCCTTTGCCAGGAGTGCGACTAGGTGAGCAAAGAATGTGCCACTAGGAGCGACGAACTCACGGTTGAGCATAGATTATCTTGAACAACTCGTTCCCGGATGCGAATGGCATATCTCACCCCTCGGTTGATCTTACTTTGTCAACCACAACACTCGGACCACATCATGGAAGAAACCAACGACAAAACGTCCAGCAGAGAGCTTGATGCCGGAGTGCATCATCGAAGGTCATTCCGAATGCATATGGAGTCTTGCTTGCATGGGCAACAATGGCAATATATTCAGCACATCGAATGATGGTTCCATTCGTCAGTGGAAAAGAGATGGAGAGCCAGTAGGAAAGCCTTTGAATAGCCACGGGGCACGGATAGGCTCAATGGCACTATCTCCGGATGAAACAATGGTCGTGAGCGGAAGTGCAGATGGCAGACTACGACTGTGGAACATAACGAAGGGCAGCATAGTTGGCGAACCATGGGAGGGGCACAATGATGCAGTGAGGTGCCTCGATTGGTCTCCCACTGCTCTGGAGATAGCAAGTGGATCGGAAGATGGCACCATACGACGCTGGAACCCGCATACTGGCCGGCAAATAGCACCACCGATAGAGGCTGGTGACAGTTGGGTTTATGTTGTCAAGTACTCTTCACAAGGCGATAAATTCACGAGCGGCGGGGGGGGACAAGAAGATCCGCGTGTGGTCAAAGGATGGACAGCTGCTCATCGAGATCAAGGGACATGAGCACCCGGTGATGTCATTGTGTTGGTCAAAGGACGGCGCACACATATTCTCCGGGTCAGTCGATAACACCATCCGAAAATGGCGGTCGACTGATGGAGAGGAACTCGTTGTTATTCGGGGTCATACCAACACCATCGAGTGCATTTGTCTTTCCCCCAATGACACGCATCTCGTTAGCGCATCAATGGACTACTCAGTTCGCATCTGGGACCTTGAGACCAATCAGCCAGTCGGAAATCCACTCTTGCATGATGACGAAGTCTTGTCTGTTGCCATATCCCCTGATGGAACATGCATTGCCAGTGCTGGAAAAGAGGCAAAAATTTATGTATGGAACATGGAAGCGGTGCTCAAACAGAGTGATGACCAAGTTGCCGTGCGTATGCCATCTCGTTATCGGCGCTGTTTCTAAACACATTGTGGATATCATTCAGAGTGCAGATGATGCTAATGTAAAGCCCAACGCGAAGTTCAAGGCAAGTCAGTTCTGTTTCTCTTTCACACTTGATCTCACTTCTTTACTAGGGACGTCCACCCCGATCGAAACAACAAATCAATATCAGAGGTTCGGCGAGATATGTTCGTGTGATTTTTTCGATCTTTGGGTCTTATTAACTTGATTTTGATACAGGGCAATGACTTCTTCGGCAACGATGCAAACCCCAACGCCCCATCTGGGAGCCCATCGTCTCTTATTCGTTGGCGTCATTTTCTCGATCCCATTCATTTCGGTACTCGGCCTGCAAATGCACTTCGACCAATACCGCGCCAGCCCCGACAATGGAATTTCACCTTATTTCCTGTAGGTGCCTCCAGCCGCATCGTCGATGTGGCTCCTGGTCGCAAGAAAAATGTGAGTAGTTCCCATCACTCCTTTTTGATGCATTGAAATTGATCCATGTGCAGAGAATTGCAATCGCCCCTCCCGCCAAGGCAGAATTGGATGCAGCTATGCAACGTGCGAATGGCAACGAGGCCGGCGGTTCAATGCGACCAGGCCAACCTGCGCCGGGGACACAAGGGTCTCAAGAACAACCGACACAAATTCAAACTCAATTTCAAGGCTCGACCGGCGGAACGGGAGATGTTTCCTATGAAGTTAACTGCTGTGGACTCTTATTTAGTTGTCGCCGTCCCACTCCACGTCAGTCATGAGCCTGTCGTTTGCTGAAACACTCCCTGTCAATCGAAGATTTCCTCTCCTCCCTCTCGGGTACGTCTATGGAATATTTTGCACCCAGCTATCACACCCATGTTATCGTATTATTTCTTGGATTACAACTGTACTCGTGACCGATGTTCAGACTTACAGTGACTACTAGAGAGGTGCCATTGATTTAAATCTCACTACCCCTTAAAGCACCCTTACAAGCGAATCACTCTTTCCAAGTCCCTGCATATCTACCTTCCTGATGGCTTCAGCAATACCGTCAACAACAAAGTGTCTCGCCCCCTCTTTTTTTCTGAAATGTCATAAGCGACATCAACGCCGACAAAATCTACGTTCCTCGTAAGGGTCCTACCACGCTTTCTGGAAGGACCTTGTTCGCACTTGCACTTACGTGTCGTGCGTTCTCGGAGCAAGCATTGGATGTTCTCTGGCAGTCAATTAAACGAATCATTCCCCTCATGCGATGTGGTGGAATCATCAGTGTACCACCCAAGACAACACAGAGAGGCGACAAAGACTATCACATCGTTAGTGTTTCTTTTCGGCTTTCAAGGCAAAAATGCATAAATATTAACAGAGGCATAGATTCTAACAGAGTCTCAGCTTGTCATCACCAATCGCCACGCAACTCGCATCCGATATTTGAGCATGACGTGGCATGATTGGCCTGTCTAATCCTTTTCATAAAACCTAGCATACTCCTCGAAGATTTTGAGGCCAACTTGCGAGGCTTGGATATCGTCTGTTTTGTCATACAGTCATTCAACATGAAACTTCACGAGCTCGTCCACTTTCTCCACCATCATCGCTTACATGTAATCACTCATTCTAATTCGTCCGATGAAAATCGAAAGGCAAGATCGTTTGATTAATTATGAGCGGTGGGGCTTGGAGCAATGGCATGGTGTATTTCGAAATCCGGTACACGGTCTTTCCAAGGTCCCCATGTACGATGTTGGGTCGGCGACGCGGAACCAAATTTCTCCCTGCTTTCTATTCAGGCTTGTCCTTCGACATTCGTGAAACTCGGGAGTTTTAACCGATCTAGCAATGACGAAAGGTTGCAACGTTGAGTCGGTAGTCGTGAAATTTTCATGGGGCGCGCTTGAATATCCTGAATGGGACAATAGACATATCACTTCCGCAGAGCCACGGAATACCATTACAATTCTGCAGAGTGGAGGTGCCAGTGTAATTTGATTCTCGGTTGGTACAACGACCTACTGTGTGTTATCATATTCCAGTAACAATTGATGGCTTAGATAGTAGCATACTGAGTGCATCAGTGCGCCGCAGACACGCATTGTCAACACTATGGTGGTGAGGTGTTCGAGGTTAGTAAGTGCCACTGTTGGCGAAATACTTATTTGCCGTGCTCGTCAGTTTTCAGACCATTGAGAATCTGCTGGAAGTTGGGTGAAAAAAGGACCCAGTATAATGCCCGTTCTCGTGGGCCAGTAAGTCGTACCCAGATCAACTACAAGTCGAGTGTTCAGAGTGAGGGAAGGGATTGAGAGCAAGCGGGAAATGCCGTCGGCGCCAAGTCGGCATTACTGACCATTATTAGCTTGGCTGAAAAAGTCCATGCTACCTTCCATCTTGACAACGTTAATATTGTAAAGCTGGTCGAATGACACATTAGATGTCGCCCTCTTGGTATCCCATTGCAAATCTCGCACACTTATCCGGCATCGATCAGGAGGTAACCCTTCAATGAAACCTGTCCACTGACTCGTATAGCAGCCCTGCTTCTCAAGTCGATGGACAGGTTTCGCAACGGGTCAGTGCAGACAGAGATAGGAGCGGTGGCAAGACCTCTAGATGTTGAGGATTTGCATGCTATGGCACTCTAGGCGATTGCTCTGGCCTTCTTCCCACTGTTCTCGCAAACGGTAAGGTGCCTACAGTTCCCATCGGGTACAAGGGGGTCGCATGAAATACTCGCACTTCCATCCTTCTGCGTCCACCATGACTGTGAGTAGATTGGAGGGAAAGAGGTCGATGGATCACTGGCATGTCTGTCCAATCTGGGTGCGCTTCTAGAACACTTGGAATTTGAAACATCTATTGATTATTTCGTTAGAAAACCTAAGTAACCTTTTTCAAGGCATCACGCCAGGTGCTGCGGACCAATAATCTAAAATGATGGTGCATAGTGACGGTGCGATGAATTCGACTGAGAGACAATGAGAGGCCAAAGGTTCTCAGGGGGACTCACAGCCAGTTGTGTCAGTCATCAGCAACTGCAGTGCCGGCATTATGCTGCCCGAGATCGGCTACAACTTGGATAAACGTTCAGCCTACGACTGCTCCGATCGTTATTGGTTTGGCACGACTGGTAGAGTGAATGATCTCAGGCCTGAACTATGACAACCCACCTCAAAGGGAGGCAGCTGGGAGTGATATCATGATCGATCGATGGCCCATGGCACGGAGTATTTTGAAACCCGGTCCGCTATGACCGGATTGAACCTGATTTACTTCCGCTGACCAACGCTTCCAACTTTCTATCTATAGGGTTCATCGTCCTTTGATGTTACCATATCCTAGTAATTGCAATGTGAAGCACCTGCAATCACCCCAATGCATGAATGTTAGTAGATAAGTTACCAGGTTTCTTAAAGGGATATATGGTGGGATGAAATTAAGCTGTGCAAATTTGAACTTTGAAGTTTCCGAGTCGTGCATCTTACGCCGTGTCACAGTTTCTGCCGCAGGCCCGCCAGTGCTAGTGCTCCGTGTTGGCCTCGTTCCATCATATAAAATTAGCGATACCCAGTACAATTTCCGTTATAAGTTCGTTCTTCACTGGATTGCCGGTGACTAGTTATACTGTCGAATCACCATCACTCAACGAGTGAAGCTGTAGAAACTAGTCAAACTCACATCCCCCTTGCGACGCCCCTCCTCGTTTTCTGGTTGAAGTGTCCGTCACGGGTGTATGTATAAATCTGGTGCGCTCCTTCGATCTTGTAATTAAAATCTTGACTGACTATCATGTCTATCAAAGGCCCGTCATGGCTCAACCAGGAGGACATTGGCACCCCAATCCACAGCTCATGCACCAACATTCTATTCCACAGGGTTGGCAAGGCACCTGGCCCCCACCAGCCGGCGTTGCTCTTCCTCCAAACTTCCCTGGTCCACCACCTATGCCACCTGGCGCCAACACCCACCCCCATTGGAAGGCTGGCTTCTGGCAGTATAACCCTGCCCATAACATGAATGCAGGTCCTGGTGTTTCCCTGGGCACCCGGAATGGGGTGGGCTCAGAATGTCCCTGCTAACTTTAACCCTTACAAGCGCGTCCCCGCGTCCAGCAAGCCCGAGCTATTGGAGGACACAGCTCACCGAAAATGGTCTTGGTTTGGAGAACATGGTCCGTGCGAGGTGCGTGCGTGGTTTGGCCTTCAGAAATGATCTAGCTTGAAGGACACTGTAGAACAGATCGAGATCGAGAATCTACCAGAGATGCACAAGGGGATGCTGCGCCACAAACTCCGTGGATATGGAATCCTCCGAGTCTGTTACCGACAGATGGAGCAGACCGTGCTACCCCGACAAAGGCCTTCAGAGATGGTCGGAGCTCGCAGGATAGTATTCGGAGTAATTCGACCCCGACCAGTTATGGGCCCCCACAACAAAGAGGTTCACAGGATAGCCATAACGCTACAAGCACGGGCACACCTGTACGAGACTATTTTTATAGTCATCCAGCCTCAAGACATGGTTCTCTAGACAGCCTCAGCTCCCGCTCACAGGGGCTGAGCCAACATTCCATCTCTTCGGCAACTCCGCCACCACCATCACTCGCACGGTCGTATAGGTTCGATTTATTCAAATCGGACATCATCCGGACCGCAATATGTGCCCCCCTTTCCAGCACCGCCATCTTCATCTTCGTCTACATCAACGGCTATGTCGTCATTGGCAACTCGCTCACAACAGCCTCTTCATGCGCCCATGTTCACGAGAGAGCCAGAGTCATTTACGACCAGACCAGACCTTCAAACGACATCCTCATCCAATGTTGTGCGGACCCCCTACACACTATCAAGTGACACGCAGACATACGGATGAAGCTCTCGACCATCCGTCACGCTCGTTTTCAGCGCCTAGCGCGAGCGCGAACACTTCAGCGTCTGCTTCCCGTGGGCTTTCAGTGCCGGAAACCCGTTTCGCGGCATCATTCACTCCCAACCACGTCCTCACCGTCCTCTATTGGTTCGCTGTCCACATTTACGGAGGATATGGGTAGTGTACTGAGCCCCCTCATTAATTCCGTACAAAGATCTGCTACTGGTTCGTTATCACGGAGTAGGACAGAACCTGTAATTCCGCAGGCCCATCTATCAACCATTCCAGAGTCTATGTCGTCATCTTCCCATTCGAGCTCAGATGACTTCTTTTATCCTCTACTTGTACCTCCAGATTCTGATGAGGAATCGCCAGAATCATCGCCTTCGCGTCAGCGTGTTCGCACGCGAGAGATCGAACGTGAACGGGAGAGAGATCGCGAGCGACGCAGGGACAGGAGCCAATCGTACGAAAGAGCGAGTCGGCTGACGCCATACAACAATAACTCGCGGTCCTCGAATCCTCTCCCGCCACCGCCAATGGAGCGCCCTAACCCTGCTGCGTCTGCACCGCCTCATCAGTCCCCAGAGCCTGCGCACTATACGCGACGCGTACGGAAGGGGTTCTGGAACCGACGCGGGGACCACCTCACGTCGAATATGTGTGTCGTCTATGTACCAGAGGACAGGGCGTATCCTGCGGAATTGCAGCATTACCCCAGCGAGACGGAAGGATATAAAGATCAGTATGGTGCCTTTGTGCCGTATCTGGCTGAGAGGCCAGAGTTACCTACGAGTTTGCCGTATCATGGACGGCCTCCAACACAGCCGTATGACAGCGTGAGTGTTGTGCATTTTTATTCGTCGATAACATAGCTTACGTGACTTAGTTTGTCATCTACAGTTATCATTGAGGATGAGAGGGATAATTTACTCATAGTTGTTGCAACCGATGCGTGGGATACCAAAGCATACATACAACAGATCTATTACATTGTATAATAAGTAGATTCATAAATTCCAGACAAGGCAAAACACTACAGAGGATATTGACACTAGTACAAGTCGCAGTGCACAGATGGTGGAACAAATGGAAAGAAGCAAGCCTTGAGAGCAGGCATAAAATAAGATGAAAGAACATATCAACGAATGGGTGATCACAGAAATTCTAGCCCAATGCTACCATGCTGTTCTCGCATGTGGTCATAGATACCATCTCCCTTCGGGAACGTTGCTAGACATACCCAGCAGATATGCGTTTGGCATCTAACGCAGGTCATGTGGTTACAACCTTCGCTGCGTTCTATAGGAGTCTTGCAGCCAGGGCAATTTTTGACATCATGAGTGGCTGCCCATTCATGGTACAGCTTGTCCTCTGCATGGTCCCGCTCTTCGCAGGTGAACCCATCGTGAGCCTCCGTATTGCAACCAGAACAGATGCGAACTAAACAAGATGGGCATTGGAGAATTGAGCCGCCGGAAACTGCACGATATACCTGAGCGCAGTCTGGTGTTGGGCAGTGGTGGAACTCGTCCGTCCGCGCGTGAACGTACGACCAGAATGACGCATCACACAGGGACGCGAAATCCTCACCAGATAGGATCTTTTGGGCAAGGGCGATAGAGATGCGTTCGGTACATGAGGCGTCATCACCGAGGCAGGTGAGAGGGAATGCCTTGTTTTCGACTGCAGACACGAGGTAACTCTCGAGGCAAGACGTGCACCAAGTATGCCCGCAGGTGAGAATGGTTGGAACTGATGCTTCAGTGAAGCAAACGGGACAGACAGAGCGTGGGGATGGGATGGAGGTGTCTGTATAACGGCTTTGTATCTTCTCTACTGCTTCACAGGCAATGCGGTAAGCCTGCTCGTTACCTCGCACGACAAGATTGCGCTGATCTGAGACGTGATGTACGTAGCAGTTCTCAGGACCAAGTGTTTTCTGGAGGGTTACGAGGTGTGTGCCGACAAATGGACCAACTACCCTGCCTGATAGAGGGATGCGCCACCGTTGTCGCGCCTGTAATTCTTGGAACCGCGTCATAATATCTCGTCGAGCAAGCTGACGCTGTTTTATTGGGCCCAAAAGCAGGATTTTGCCCATCCGAGTTCGTAATCCAATTCCAGGATATCGGCTCTCTAGCTCACGAAGGAATAAGTAGCCGGATGGATCAGAAAAGAATCTGTCCCATATGGGTTTCCTTTGGAGAGTCACGACTTCACCATGTTGAAGTTGTTCAAATTCTGCTTTGGCAATCCCAAGATTGCTCAAGTTTTCAGCCGAGATCCTGATGTGAACAGGTCCATCAGGCGACATGAGGCGGTCAACAAGAGTTACGTCATGGTTGAACCTTGTCCGCCACGTCCACCGAAGGCGAGCAATGTCTCCTTCCAGCATCTTAAACTTGCTCAACGGTAACGAGAAGTTGAGCGACTGCACGTGCCGAGCGGATATAAAAGTTTTTCCTCCAATTGCACGAGGACGTTGGCCATCCAGATGATCCTTGGCATTGCTGGCGTCAGCGTGAGTCTCAAAGATTGCCCAAACGAGAACGGTGCCGTTCCAGATAGGAAGAACTAGATCGAAATTTGACACATTGCCGCATGAGTGCAATATCCGAAGTACTGCATGGCGAGCGCTGTCGAGTGACTCGTAATTGGGGCGTTCGAGCAAGATCGACTCTGCGTTGCCGAACTGCTCCAGATCCTTTCTCTCTGCATCGGGGGGAAGATGAGAAAACATAACGCTATAAACACCAACTGCGGGTAGGCCCTCGTACAAAGCGGCTGAGAGAACGTTGTCCTTCATCACAAATCCAGTGGCGGCTGCAATCGCAGCTTTGGCTTCATTAAGGGTTACGTACCCTGCGTAACCAACCCGCTGGGGCGCATTCCAGGTAATACGGACAGCGGTGTCCCTGAGCACTGTGGTACCGCGCACGGTAGTGTTCAAAGACGGCTTCGCAGTGAGTTTTCTTCCCTGAAATTGGCGTCCATGAAGGGCCATCGAAGCCTCCATAGCTTGCGCTGCGGTGGAAAATTGCACTCTGACGGTCAACCGCTTGGCACCCTTTCCGTCCGGAATACATAATTCATCAATTTGGTATGCTTCCAAAGGGAGCGAAGTTGGGATTCTTTGACGTGCGGTGACACGTCTCCAAGGTGTACCCACCGTGTTTCAAACCCAGTGGTCACGTCCTGTATATCGAAACCGTCACGTAGTTTCACTGTGATATGATCCGCAATTGTCACTGGTAGGACAAAAACCTCATTTCGACGTGTGGTAGGGGGCGGCACGCTGGACGGCGAGTGTCGTGATAGGGAGTTGCCAGACGCTGGTGCGTTATCGGCATGAGTATTCCGAACTGGTGACGGAGCATTCGTTTGCGACATGTTCTAGTAGTATATGTTAGAGAGTTGAGTGTATTACCAAGCTTGCACAACTCACATCATTGGCACGTTTGTGGAGGTAACGACAAGGGTGACGCATGCACCGACCTTCCAACCAATCATAACAAACTTTCGGCTGGCGACCATCGGGCTTCACAGGATAAGTGCCAGAAATGAGGCATGAGAGGAATAACATACATTATTGAATGTCTGATCCTGCGTGGTTTCTGGTGTGCTATTAGTCGAATCTGCCTGAGAAGGTTGTTTTGAACTGGGGGATTTCGTTTGAGAGGGTAGAACTTGTGTCATAACGGAGCTGGATGTGCCAGAAGACGGGGAGTGAGTTGAGTCTGCGGGTACCGAAATGAGTTTGTTACATTCGGCTAGCTAAGCTAAAATACCTTGATGTGTGCCTCGAGCAGCACCGTTTCGAACAGGTGCTTGATTCTTAACAGAACCTTCGGGCGCTTGGACGTCCTCTGGAGTTTTGCCATTTCGTTTGAGTGGTTGATCATTCATGGGATGGTCTGGAACTTGAGCACGAGTGTTGCCGTTTCGAACAGGTAGTTGATGTTTAACAGGATGGGCAGGAACTTGCACGCCGTCTCGGGCATTGCCGGTTCGAACAAGTGCTTTATCTTTAAGGGGACGGTCAGGACCTTGCATGCTGTCTCGAGTGTTGCCATTGGAAACAGGTGGTTGGTCTTTAGCGGGACCTTGGATGCTGCCTTGAGTGTTGTCATTGGGAATTTGCGAAATGTTCTGATACCATATGTTAGGGAGTGTGTATTACCAAACTTAAAGAACTCACATCATTGGGACGTTCGTGTGGATAATGGCAGGCGGGACGCTGGCATCGACCCGCGCAACCAGTCAGGACAAACTTCCTTCGGTTGGCGACCATCGGGCTTCACGAGATGAGCGCCAGAAATGAGACAGGAGAAGAATACACATACGTTGCTGGATGTCGAGTGCCCCATGGATTTTTGTGTGGTATTAGTCGAAGCCGCCTGAGAATGTCGTCCTGACCCACGGGATTTTGTTTCCGAGGGTGGAACTTGTGTCATGGAGCGCTGAGCACTGCCGGACGTGCTAGAAGATATAGGCCGAGTTGAGTCTGCGGGTATTGGGATGAGTTCGCTACAGTCGGCTAATTATGCTAAGGTAAGCAGGTAGAATACCTTGATCTATTGCGCCTCGAGCGCCGCCGTTTCGAACAGATGCTTGACTCTTAACAGAACCGTCGGCAACTCGAACGTCCTCTGGAGTTTTGCCGTTTCGACTAGGCGGTTGGTCGTTCATGGGGCGGTCGGGAACTTGGGCACAAGTGTTGCTATTTCGAACAGGTGGTTGATCCTTAACAGGACCAGCGGGAACTTGCACGCCGTCTCGAGTTGTGCAGGTTCGGACAGGTGGTTTATCTTTAATGGGACGCTCGGGAACTTGCACGCCGTCTCGAGTGTTGCTATTTCCAATAGGAGGTTGATCTTTAATGGGACCGTCGGCAACTTGCACGATGTCTCGAGTGTCACTGTTTCGAACAGGTGGTTGATTACTGACGGGACCGTCGGAACTCTGAGCAGTAGGTCATCATTACGCTCAAATTATGACGATGTCGAACTTGCCTGATGCTCATGGGCGAAAGGACACGGCCACCGAGTACATTCCCCATTCAGCCAACGGTTTGCAGGTGAGATTGGTCGGTATTTGTTATGAGCATAGGGACACCATCTGCCACGGTCACAGAAACCAGCGAACCATTTCCTGCACATTTCATCCTTCTTCGAAGTTGACGAACTTCTCGTATCCTGCTGGCCGAGAGAATCAATACAGCCGTCAGTACTAGAGACAAACCAACGCCTACCGTAGCAAAATTCGACGGCATTGGCGCAGTCGATTCTCCGAAGGACAGATTCGGACTCGACGGTCGTGATCCCCCACGAACGGATGGCAGCTTGACGCTGTTCAAAGAAATTGGTGAGATTGGAGGTTGGGGGGTTTCTTCGTCTCGAGTGTTGCCATTTCGAATAGGAGGTTGATCTTTAATGGGACCGTCGGCAACTTGCACGACGTCTCCAGTGTCACCGTTTCGAACAGGTGGTTGATTACTGACGGAACCGTCGGAACTCTGAGCAGTAGGTCATCATTACGCTCAAATCGTGACAATGTCGAACTTGCCTGATGCTCATGGGTGAAAAGACACCTCCGCCGAGTGCACTCCCCTGTCAGCCAAAGCTTGCAGGTGACATTGAGCGGTATTATTTTATGAGCATAGTGGCACCGCCTGCCGTAGTCACAGTTACCAAAGAACCATTTCCTGCACATTTCATTCTTGCTCGAAGTTGACGAACTTCTCGTATCCTGCTAGCCGAGAGAATCAATACAGCCGTCAGAACTGGAAACAAACTAACACCCACCATAGCAGAATTCGACGGCATTGGCGCAGTCGATTCTCCGAGGGACGGATTCGGACTCGACGGTCGTGATCCCCCACGAACGGATGGTAGCTTGACGCTATTCAAAGAAATTGGTGAGACTGGAGGTTGGGGGGTTTCTGGTTTATTTGTGACGGGTTCAAGATCTGCGACTAAGATCTCAGGTCTGGATGCTTCACGAGAGTTTTCTTTACGAGTCTTTTCCTATAGCATCGATGACTAAATCAACTTTTCGGAAGCCCGAAATGATTGGCTACTACTTACATCCGCCTTGGAAGGTGGAGGAAGGCTGGCGTGAATTGATGCTACAGGTAATGCGACACATCGGCCAGCAGGTGACTGCAAACCTGGGGGTCGCTTGGGTGGTTCAGCTGGTGCTTTCAGTGTTTGCATATGGTCACCCGACGTGACTCCAAGCGGTCGGAGGGTGTCACGATGAGACATAGGTGCTGCCGCAGTTGGTGGTGTTTGCAATGTGTGCTTAATAAGTACTAATGAGTGTTTTCGTACAAAGGAATAATTGAATCGTACTTGATCAATGTGAGGATGAGGTTCAGTAGGAGGTTGCGGGTGCGAGGTACTTGGTAGGATGCCAATGTTAATGCCCTCGGCAGACAGCGCAGCTTTTATATCTAGCATCTAGCGCCCATGAAAAACTGCGGCTCTTAGGCACGTGTAATGTTGACTCACAGGTCCCGGTGAATGTGGATTCTGGTAAGTCAACGATGGCGAGTCAACAATGAAAGGACTCGTGTCGGGTCTTCGTCCACAGGTGGAAGTCACAGGATTACACAATTGTTTGGGGAAAGCTGAATAGTCAAGGCTTGGATTTGGCTTACCCATCCTGTGCCACACAAATGAAGACACTTTCGAAGAGGGGTAATAGCATGACTCACGATGCTGCCTGTTGCTTCAGAAATCGAGGCGGCATCACGTAAGGAGGTGGTTTATCACTTTGGGGATGGGCCATAGATGTACGACAACTAGACGGGTGGACCTGAGGTTGTCCACAAGAGTCCTGAATCTAGTTAGTGGAGTACGATGCAATGAATATGCCAGACGATGTACCTCGTTACCTTTGGGTGCTACATATAGTTGTGATCCTTTATTATGATCAGAGACTGTGATGGGTGTAATTGAGGGCTGTTCTTGTCCGCAAGACTGTAGATGTCTTTGATGCTTGGATGCATAGGTGTCCGTTGTCTTGTTGTGTGGGACAACACGGCGAGGATTGCGCCTGGGTGGTGGAAAGATTTTGGAGTCCCTACGGACATCGTGTGCAAGCATGACAGCTCACAACATACGACAAAGAACAGAAGCTTAGTTGGTGGACCTTAGACGCTGATGCAGACTAGGGATTAGCGGACCCGGTTAACATCAATGACAAATATTGACACAGAGGGGCATGGTAAATAATTTTATTTATTTATTTTACCATACACGTATCAAAGATGAAAGCCAGCTTCAGCTTTGCTGGTCGAGTGTATCAGGTCCAGCCTTAGGCCTCACACGCACGACCAGTGTGACTCGTTGGGACTACTGCCAAGTAAAATAAAACTAGCTTAACAGAACAGACATGAAATCAATTGGGCGACCCATCAACTAGCATCTGCGAAAGTTCACACCCTTGAGGGAGGTTTCCCGCAACATCCTTAACCTCAGGGACGCATGGAAACCATTTTGTTTTCTGAATTAACGCAAAGAGTATACAAAGACAGAAAAGGTTAAAAGAGAATTGCAACGATTTTCAATAAGGGGTGGCTCGACGACAGATCCTATCGGGTATGCGAGATACGCGAGGTCCAGTAAGTCGCCGAATGATCCGCGGGTCCAAACAGTCATTCCGTTGCAGATGCCTGACATTCGACACAGGTGACACATTCTCCTCCACTTGAGAGTCGAGACGCCATGAACTTTCTTGCGGCTGTACCTGTTTTGAACTGCGGAACTTGGGTAACAGTTGACTTCTGATGCTAGAAACTGCGACGCTAGTCTACGATAGTCACATCAGAAAGATAAAATAAAAATTTCAAGCCTTGAGTTACCATAAGAAGTGATAGTACCACTTCCAGAAGACGCCAGAGGAATACCAAGAGACTGGTCGCGGCTTGAAAAGTCTTGAAGCCGAGCAATGACGCTAACATTGGGATGTCAGAAAAAAAGAGCGCAGTTGATAGCAACACAAACTGGGTTCGACAAAACGTAAAAGCCACTGCAGGTTAATTAGCCAAGATTCGTGTTTTGACTTGCGCTGAAAGGTATCAATGAGAGCAAGGGCTGTCTGATTGATTGTTTCAAGTTCACGGTGGGTCACCTCCGTGAGCTGGGAAATTCTGTTATCAAGAAGTGAAACAGACTCTGCGACCTCTCGCTGGATCTCTTGCACATGCACGACTTGGGAAAGAGAGGAATCCAAAGAGAATGTAAGCCCTGTGATCACACTCTGCAGGTCGTGGAAGGACTAAATTACAGATGTTGTCAACTTGCGACCAAAATGGAAGAAACCTGGTCACATTTTGCATAGCAATGAAAGTTGCGTCAAGCGCGGACCATTTTTGCTGAACTTGATCCTGAGAACTCGATTAGAAGAATGTTAGGGAAAGTATTCAGACGACCGCACCGCGACTGCCCGAGATTGAAAACTCTGCTCTAACATCAAAGATGCGATTGCTTCAATTTCAGCGGTTAAACGCGATTCGACAAGTGATAGTAGCGATGACATGGATTTTGAATGCTGTGCATTCCTTCAGGAACGCTTTGAAAGCCCAGAGAACGAGAACAATACGCTTAATGTCAGGTCATCAATCCTCCGATCAACCTGGGAATGTTAGCTTTTTCATTGATAAGCTGGAGATAGGTTACCTTGTCCAATGAACGAATATGATCGTCAAAGCCGCGCTGGTTGATGACTGATAAAGTGGTTTCCATCTTTGTGAACAGCTGCAAGTGCTTCCTAAAAACGTGGCTAAGAGATCAGAAGGCCACCTACTGATTGCGCATTTTGAATGATGGAAGTGGACGCCACATCTGCAACATCGCGTATATTACCGCTAGTCGACTTCAACACACTGATGAGATCGCGTAGGTCCTGTGAGAAATAATCAGCTGCGCAGTTGTGCCCATTAGAGAATTCCACTAACTGTAGATGATTGCTCCCAGTTCTGATGCGCAGCTGTGAATCCCTCCTGCTGTTCGAGGAAAAATCGAATCAGAGCAAGTTTCTCCAACGTTATGTTTCTATAGATATCTTTTGCGGTGTCTAAGGGGTGAAACGTGAGAGAAATAGCTACCGTCTCCGCTGGAACGCACCAATTTCCATCCATCGACGAAACGCAAAGCACAGCTGGGCTGATCGCGACTATTAACAAAACAGCTAAGAAGTGATGCAGCCTCACGGATTTCTCGCAGGTACCCAGAATAGCTAGACCAAAATTGAGCGCTCCGAGAGAGTGCACTAGGTATAAATGAGCATCCGCCTAAACCTTGTCAACAGTGACGTACTCGACACAATCACCTACTGCATGATGTGAAATGTGTGGTCCGACATTGTTAATAAATGGAGAACACTCGAGAGGTGGTGTATGGTGGCGGGCTGTAGCAAGTTCACAGAGAGTGAGCCTGATAGCGACTAAAAATATAAGGAAGGTCTCAAATCGTGCACATCAGACAGAGAAAACCTTGTATGCGTTCGTCCTCGCTCATATGAGATACCTCGCAACGACCTTGGGCGTGCCTTGCGGCCTCTTGAAAGCAGTCATTTTTACGCATATATCCATCAAATGCACCTGCAAATTGTGAGATTCATGTCCCCCATTGAATGCCAAAGATCGTGATCACCAGTGTGTTTAGAAATCAGGTCGATCTCTTCGTGGGATAGCTCAGCTGGGGAAGAGAGCATTATACATACGATAATAAAAGAGCCACAAAAACTACCGTGCATCTGAGATGAAAAGGCTTGAGTATCATGCTTGACAGATTGAACTGATTCGTAGTTGATCCGGAGATTGACGCGACCATGACCAGGCGATGCAGCACCTGACGAGGAATGTGAATGTCATCAGCTTGGAAGCCTTTGCCATCGGTATGCTGGTATATAATTTTTTGCGAGTAACAAAAATGTTGGCCTTGCTTGCAATTGAGGGCTCCCGAGGGAGTAGAGGCGAAAGACAAGCTTGTAAAGCCTTGGTATCCTGAGTATTGAAGGCAGAGGGCTTAGTCAGCGCTTCACCCAAGGAGCACACAATCTGTCATAGACATCAGATGCATCATATCCAATCTCAGAGTCACTCGAGCATTCTGCTTGATGTTCTTGACAAAAGGGAGCACAGCTCTGCCAGTGAATTAAGTACATATATAAATAATTTAGATGCTTATGCCCATTGAAGTTTGAAAGTTTAAACAAAGCCGGTGCTGCCCTCATGGTGCAGGCTGAGGTGTGCACATGGCAAAATATAGTGCGTACAGTGCATGCAGGCACGATCTGCACCGGAAAACTACTAAATGGCTGGCTGTGCGCTCGCGCGCTGATCGTCGGTGAAACTCGAATTAGTACCTAGGCTGTACAGTTGGAGATTTAAATGCATCCGCATGCTGATATTAATTAAATCTGATCTAAGTCCAAAAGAAGCAACATAGCTAGTGTACGGTAAGCAATCATGATGGACATTGGACAGTGAGTAGCATTAATGGAGCACATGAGTATGTATGTACTAGTTGACGATCATTTGCAGCACAATGCACAGTCATTGATTCATTGATAAATCTTGCAGACTGCTTTCGTGGTGATTCATGATGATCCTAGTACTGCTCTCGGTTCAGAGTCTTTGTTCCAACTGTCCTTCTACTACTCTGGTGTAACTAGTAGGGAAAGACCAACTTCAATATCAATCGTGAAACAATACGTGATGAATTATCTGTCAATTCTAATACAGTCTCGAGTCAATGTAATCTACATAATTATAAGTTGTCTACGGGTACAGCATTCGATATATAAGACCATAATTATGTGTATGAGTGTCAATGAATGAGCATGCCAAATCAGCAATTGTAGACAAGACTGAAAGGCGAGACGCAAGAAAATGCAATACAGTATGCAATCTAAAAGAAAAGTCGTCGCACAGTAATGCGGGAAGATGTAGATAACTTAAATATTTACAATGACCAAGGCTTACCGACGATCGTCGCCTCTTTTCCTAGAGTTAGAAGCACCTGCGAGCAGCTTCTGCTCCCATGAGGCGCTTCCCTCACCCTCTTTCCAATTCCCCGTAGCCGGATCTCTTTCGAAGTCACCATCCCTGTATGCATATCGCTCCTGCAGTAATTTGAGGAGAGGGTTACGAAGGGCAGGGTCCATACGGACGGCCTCTCCAGGATGGTAGCTGCCAACATCATGACGAGACAAACTTTCTTCAAAAAGCGCCTCTTCATGTGTGCAACCACAGTTTAAATAGCCAGGAGGAGCCATACGGGGTGGGTGTATCCGACGCTCCCGACGCGAATCGTGCCAGGAGCATAACGCGTTTCCAGCACGATTCAACGAACAGAAAAGCCGTACGCGAGCGTCTGTCCGAGCTTTCCAGGATGCCTGCACAGCCGGAGGAGTGGGCATTCTACTAGACACTGTACTCATGGACGGCTCAGTGTGTCTGATTGAAGGGCCAGCGATGCTGCGGTCAGCTAATTCTGCTTCAAGCTCCCTGATACGCTGACGGCCTTTCTCATTAGCTAGCTCAAGGTCTTTCACCCTCTTTCGAAGGAATTTGTTTTCTTCTTCTGGGGCATCCTGTGAAGGGCGGCGAGTCTGATCAAATGACATCCGAGATCCTGGGCGGCCCAGCATCATGGCAGGAGAGTTTTGAGGAGAACGGTCTTGTTGGAATGACATTTGACTTGAGTAGGCGTGCGTAAATGGCGGGGACCTTGGTGTGGCTGATGGATGGTTATGGTGTGGTGCAGTATTAAGATCCGTGGTAGGTGTGGTATTGTAAGGGACGGTAGAATGAATATGGGATTGCATGTTTGGCGGAATATTGGGCATACTGTGAGCACCGGGCACCCAAGATGTCGGTGCATTTGAGTAAGGAGGTCTGGTTGCAGCATTCCATAAGTGCGGGGGAATATTCATATCCCCAACGGCACCAGACAGGCTTGATGTCGGCGCCAAGCTGGAACCGGACGCTTGTGGGCCTATATCCATGCTTCCATGAGACTACGAGAGCGAGAAGTACGTTCTGTGAATATGGCAGTGAGGTTGGAGAGAGGGGACTCACCTGGACAAAAGCGCTTGGCAGTGCGTAAGGCGGTGACTGCATGACGCGTTGCCCACTGTCCGCAGACCTCCGCCCAGGGGCGTCCGATTGAGAGTATAGCATCCGACTAGGCGTTCCCCTCGAAGAAAAAGGATGGGACATGATCGCGCGGCGATCAGACACTTTGCGAGAATCCCTTTTTGAGTGAGCCTGTCGAAGACTTGAGGATTGAAAGTGTGTTCGTCTTGAGGGAGCACTAGGAGAAGAATGACGCCGGAGGGCAACAGGCGAGGACGGAACAGTGCAATTTTGAGTATTTCGAGAAGGTGCAGGTAGAATTTGAAGGGGAACGCCGGTTCAATGGCGTGTCTTCTATAGCCTCGCACTTGATATCCACGGGATGACCACCCTGGACGCCTTCGAACCGATTAAATGTATGGAACATATCTACAAGGGCTAGGCAGTGTTGATCACGCGACCTTTAGCTGGCAAGGCAAAGATTGGAGGAGGAGTAGAGCCTCAGTAAGTTAAGCAACGGACAGAGCCTCCAGGACAAGGGAACGATTAAAGACCTCAGGATGAGTATCCCGACGGAATTGTTAGCAGTTGTGAAGCAATGTGTGATACGACCATAAACTCACAGCATGACATGTCTTGGCGACTTGAAGCACAACACCTGCGACGGGCTGTACGGGAGCATTGATCACACCTCCGAAGACTACCATTGCTAGGCTAAGCGCTTTGTCAAACATTTTTTGATGGCGGCCAGTTATAAACACCGGACCAGCTGAAGGTCACGGCATATGATCATCTACAAATTAATGAATTACGGTGACACTGCCCGCTGCATAGATCGCGGGAGTTCTGCATCGTCCTAGCAGATGGTAGGTTTGAGGTGGAATTTATTTATAAACTATATGCGCGGAAGTAGTCGATGGTGGCAATGGTGATTGCTAACTGGGAAAGCGGTATAAAACTGTCCTGATTCCTGAACTTGAAAGTCCAATCAACACAACCGACGCTGTGTGACCTTGGATTTATGTACTCAACATCCGACAGTGCGGACAAGCTCTCTTGGAGGACCAGAACAATACAACCAGATTCAGCTGTGTCGTGTAGATCACACGATGCCATGGACTGCATCAGACCGGCAACCCCGCCGAGTCGACCCCGATCTTCGAACATTGGTTTGACGTTTGGAACAATTGAATGGCACGCGTTTGTCGTCCAACTACAGTTTACACAATTAAAGGACATTGACTGGATCACTTGTTTATAACTTGGGAAGGGAAAAAATCTAAGGTATTATTACTACCAACAATGCCATGAAAAGCTCCACAGGCAGTGCCAATATTACATGCAGAATTTGTGACCTATACGTTTATATGCTGTAACGTATCACCAACTATTATGGCCGGTTAGTCGGAGTGTGGCTAAGAGTGAACAGAAACGATGATGGACAATAATACACACCAGAAACTGAAACATGGGAAACATTAATATTGATGACCTGAGGTATCCATAGAAGCAAAAATGAGGCTGCTGGCAGTAAATCAATTATAGCCGCAGCTGGAATTCATATAATACTGAATGCAAAAAGTCAACCCATTCGGAGAACTGCAGTCCCGAAGTCAGCGACATATGCTAGAAATGAATCGCAAGGTGTTGAGTCTTGGGGGTGGAGCCTCCGTGGGGGATCGTATGAAACCCCGTGGATTAGGTCCTGCGTGGTTTCAAAGACTTGAAATCGATCAATCACTCGGTCCAGCTTCGGCTTCAAGGTCGTATCGACGTATGTCTCGCCAGTGCTTGCCCTTTGGAAGAAGGGAACTGTATTGGATGGACTAAATAGATGGCCACGATGCATCATCCGATAACAAACCTTGACTCGTCCGGCATTTCAATCTCTCCTGTCTTGAGGTCGATCTTGATAAGTTTCGTGAGTTCCACGGCCGGTCGGTCAGGGCATCTGAAAATATAGCCACGTCAACATCATGTCAACTTCCTGAGGCGTATTGTTCACACGAACATCCTAAAGATGCGAGGGATAGGAAAGCATCGAGGACGAACTTCTCCACTAGGGAGCTCTTCTGGTTCACATGTATATTGCACTTGAAGACACACGTCGCTAGTTATTCAAGAAGGATGACTCTGTAGGGCATTTATCATACCTATTTCCATTAGTCGACACTTCTTTCTCTGAGTCTCCGTCACCTTATCAGATTCTTCATGGAAGGCCATGTGCATGAACTCCAGAAACTGTGAGAGAAGATTTGAAGGACGCGTCGGGTAGAGTGGGACTTTGTCAAGACTGGAACGATGAACTCCCACGCACCTTGTATGGAAACTCCTTGATTAGCGCACGTGCACGGTTTTCGAGATAAAAAGTCGATTTCTTATCTTGTTTCACTCATTTTCTTTCTCCCATCATCGTTCATATCATCTCCTCAGAAATACCCTAACATGGTCTTCAAAGTAGCAGGTATGATGATCATTTTGGCTCACGTTGATCGATCCGAACGAGTATTCCTGTAGATGTCTCTCTCGCAGCGTTCGGTCGCAAGGAGATCGAGATCGCTGAGGTATAAGTTTTCCCTTGCTTTTCGCGATCGTTTGTCAACCGATTTCGCGTCTTTTAGCATGAAATGCCAGGATTGATGTTCATGAGATCAAAGGTACTTTGTGCGAGATCGTTAACGAATTTTTTTTTGATCCTCTTCTTTTAGTACGGACCTTCTAAACCTCTTTCTGGCGCTCGTGTTGCTGGATGCTTGCATATGTGAGTTCGAACGACGATTAATTGCTGCGGAAAGTCCTTATACTCTGCAGGACCATTCAAACCGCCGTCTTGATCGAGACATTGACTGCTCTCGGTGCTGAAGTCACCTGGTCGTCTTGTGTAGGTGTCCATGGTTACGTGATCATCGCGAGACACTCACTTCCATTGGTAGAATATTTTCTCGACCCAGGACCATGCTGCCGCTGCGTAAGTATATCTTGTTCCATGATATCGGTATCCTAATCACGACTTTATAGTATCGCTGCAACTGGAGTCCCTGTTTTCGCTTGGAAGGGCGAGACTGAGGAGGAGTACCAATGGTGTATTGAACAGAGTCTTGCTGCCTTCCCTGGCGGCAAGCCATTGAACATGATTCTTGACGATGGTGGTGATCTTACCACCCTTGTCCACGAAAAATACCCCCAATACTTGAAGAGTAAGGATTTTTGTGTTGATCTATGTGACAACATACCTCTGACTTTGTCGGAATAAAGACATCAAGGGTCTTTCTGAGGAGACTACTACGGGTGTCCACCACCTGTACAAGGCTTTCCGTGAAGGCAGACTGAAGGTCCCAGCCATCAACGTGAACGACTCCGTCACGAAGTCCAAGTTCGACAACTACTATGGATGTCGGGAATCCCTTGTCGATGGTATCAAGCGTGCCACTGATGTCATGCTTGCCGGCAAGGTCGCTGTCGTCGCCGGTTACGGTGATGTCGGCAAGGGAGTGAGTAGTATTTTCTTCGTTGTCGCCGAGCTTTCATTGATGGTTGATCGTTTTAGTGTGCCGAATCTCTGCGCACATACGGTGCACGCGTTCTCGTCACGGAAATTGACCCCATCAACGCGCTGCAAGCTGCGATGGCTGGTTATGAGGTAACAACCATGGAGGATGCTGCTCCGCGTTCAAATCTCTTCGTCACTACCACTGGTAACCGTGATATCATCACTGCCAAGCACTTCTTGGTCATGCCCGAGGATGCTATCGTGTGCAAGTGCGTACAACATCCATTACCTTGATGATGATGAGAACTCACTCTTGGATAGCATTGGTCACTTCGATGTCGAGATCGATGTTGCATGGTTGAAGGCCACCGCCAAGCAGGCTGTCAATGTAAAGCCTCAAGTTGACCGCTTCACAATGCCTTCTGGCCGTCACATCATCCTCCTCGCTGAGGGTCGTCTCGTAAACTTGGGGTTGGTTATTCCATGTTTAATTTTCTAGTTCGTAATTAACCTATGGTGAATTACCAGTTGTGCCACCGGCCACCCGTCCTTCGTCATGTCCTGCTCATTCGCAAACCAGGTGTTGGCCCAGATTGCTCTTTGGACCACCCCAGAGAAATTCCCCCTCGGTGTTCACATGCTGCCCAAGGAGCTGGATGAGGAGGTCGCTCGTGCTCACCTTGCTCAGCTCAACGTCAAGTTGACTGAGCTCAGTCCCGAGCAATCCAGTTACCTTGACATCCCTGTCCAAGGCCCATACAAAGCTTCGCACTACAGGTTAGACAAATGCACTCTGTCGTCGTACATTGACCAACCCCTTCAATAGGTACTAAACGTATCGACTGCTGCATGATGGCCTCAACGTGCCCTCGCTAGTTAAGAGGAGACGGGACCTTCAACGTCCTTGTGGGTTGGATGTTAATTATGGAAGAGTCTCAACGCTCTTTGTCGAGGTTGACAAAAAGGCTGGCTCCTTGCGGGGTCATTGCTGGAGATCGCCTATACTTAAAAGTCTTGGCTTCTTGTAGTGCACTGTGGGATTGGGGCAGGGCAAGCCATATGGGCCTCAACGTGCCCTGTCTTACATAGTGTAGCGTATCTATGCAATCGAGATGCACATGAGGATGATGATTTGCGCAGATATCGGCTAGCTAAGCGATATTGGTGTCAGCTTCTGCCCACCAATTTTGAGCGTCGGACTACGTAACGTTGGACTTGCCTTAGCAGTGAGACTTTCGGGGATCGCCTCGGTGCCGATCTGTCCAATGCAATACCCAAGTTGAGCGCGGCCATCATTTCCACTGCCACATCCAGATCCAATCTTAGTGCCACACTGGCACTGCTCTAAGCAAGTTTTGGCCATCGCATGTAATCTTAATTGGATCACGATACTTTAGCATCATTGAGCGCTGAGCGCTCCGCGATTCAGAAAACAAAATGGTTTTAAATATTACTTGCCTGCAGTGTGGGAGGACCCGGAAGAGACCTGCATAATCCCAGAAACACCTTCGACACGTAGAGCTATTTTTCAGAAAATCTAGCAAAGAATGCATCGAAAACCATGAATTTGGCGCACAACCTTGGGGATTGTGCTGGTATCAAAGACGAATAATTCATAATCTGGCCTTGTTACGCTTGAGCGTCCCAAACGACGATCTCCTTGATGCGTCCCGAACAACGAGCTCCTTGATACGTCCCTCAGCGAGGTCGTACATCCATCCATACACAGTAACTTTCTTCGCATCCGGGTCTGCCCACGCAGTGGTAATAGGCTCCGACTTGCAGATATTGTCGACCTGCTTGATGATATTGGCTTCGACGACCTTGTTCAGCGCCTCACTCGCAGAGCACGCGGAAAGGTCGAGGGATCGAACGAGTGCAGTGAGAGGGCTCAGCCAGCGCGTGAGTGGGGTGGACGGGCCAGGGTTAGCGGCTGGGTCTTTGGCTGCTTCTACGCAAGCCATGGCACCTCCGCAGTTGGTGTGACCGACGAGAACGACTGTTGAAGGCGTATAGACGTTAGAGGAAGGATCGACCTCATCATGAGAGTAGTAAGAAACTCGCCGTGTTCAACGCCGATTTCTTTGATAGCAAATGTGAGAACTGAGAGCGCGCTGTCGTCATGGAGGTGGAATTGGCTGTAGGGACGGGTTATCAGTATAACACGTATTTTGATTTTTTTTGTTTATACGTACTTGGCAACGTTTCTGTGCACGAAGATATCGCCAGGCTTAGATGCTGTGATGATTGATTCCGGTACTCGCGAGTCAGAGCAGCCAATCCAAAGGATCTGAAATGAACTTTGAAAGACGTGGCAAAAAACAGAGCGATGGGTATACCTTGGGCTTCTGGCCAATGGCTGACCGAGCAAAAAAATCGGGTGTGTCCTTTATTACGCTCTGTGCCCACTCCTCGTTGGCGTTAAGCAAGGTTCGGATGGGCTTGTGGGACATGTTGCGGAGGGGTGGGAGGCGCACTGGATGTAAGACGAAGAGGTTTCCGAAGATGGTTGGGCCATAAGTGTATGTGGCCCTAAACATTTATTGCCTTTGTATCTTGCAGCACGGTAATTGACACTAAGTGCAGATCGGCTCAAGTACGAATAGTAGGAAGTAAGTGGAAGCGCATGAATGACGGGATGTGACACTAGTCTCGTGCAATCAAGATTTAATAATCAAGCTAAGCTATGATCAAGTGCTTAGCGCTCGAAGCTCATGCAAGTTGTCATTCTAATCGCCTGGCTATTAAGGCCTAAGGCCTAAGGCATTTGAGTTTCCCAAACCTACGGAAGAATTTCTTCTTCACTGCTATAGCTAGCAGTGCTCTCTCACGGAACACATTTTCAAACGATACACATGACCATGACTGCCACAAGTCAAATCGTCCTAGTACCTTTTATTAAACGGAGCAACCAAGGTCACCGCCTGTCACTAGCCCCCTTACTAGAGTATCGATGACAGCAAGCCTTATTGATGCATCCATTTATCCATAGCCTTAATACCCTTCTACTTCACAAGTAAGTTGTCAAGGTATGTAACGCCGGTACATTTGCACTCAGATTTCACGGGGAGTATATGATTTGAAATCCAGATCTTTCAGCTCTCACACCAAGAAATCAGTGCAGGCTTGCAATACGGTCTCGTGCCTCGCGACTGCACACGTTGGTTATCGGACACGAAGAGATACGACCTCTCAAACGCCTTGTGCTCGTCAGATGAGGCTCCGAGTTTCTGGATCACGCGCCCAAACACCACAGTGACTAATATATGTGGACTAATTACGTCGGCTCGAAACCTGACGTACACATTCGCACCTATGGGGTGTGTGACCGTTAACACGCCTAGTCATCGTTACGCCTAGGAATCGCCTCTGAATCTTGACGGAGATTTTGTGGAAGGTTTGCACCGAAAATCAGTTGTCCTTAAGTCTAGGTCTGTACTTTGATGACATCTTCTGTCAATTGTTCCATGTTGCTCGTGTCACAGCGATACAGATGGGACATACAACCTAGGCTATTCGGTGATTTGGGGCAGAGCTAAACTTTGCTAACCTCCTCGAACTGTCCACAGTATCCCGTACTCCAACAGTTGTACGATTCCCCTCAGGCACCGTGGTGTTTTCGTGGTGTGTTTGATTCAGAGCGTCCTGTCTTCCAAATGGCCCCTTTCGCCGAACATAGCAAACTGGCTGAAAGACACAAGTAACAGCAGGTAACAGCTGGGTATATAATATGTCAAGCGAGATCAATTCCTGCCGGCTATCCGGCCTCTATCACTAAGACACGCTCGATGGCGTGGAGCTGTCGGGCTCCACAAGCTAATATCGTTTGTCGCAGATGTAGCTTAGAACGGCAACCCCAAGGCAAGTAATCATCATGTGTACTGCGGATATGATGCTCGTTGCTCACAACCGTGCAGATCCGCGTTTACTATATCTCATACGAACCTTCAGTGGAAGAGCTGATGGAAACCGATGGTGCTTGGAGTGACTCTGGATACCAAGCCCAGCAGCCTGGAATCCCTGGATAGACGTAGGTAGACGAAGGTAGGCGACTGCGAACATCCGTTTGAAACTCGAATGTTCCACATCCGCCATTCGTAGGTAGTGGCAAGAGGACTATGAGGCAACGGCTATCCATTCGAGGATGCTGCTTGTACATCTTCAGAAGCACTGTGTGAGTGAGGCGTGCACGCGCGAGGGTGTTATTTGCATCCGCCAAGAATGAACGGATAGTTGTTCGTGCGAGCGGCAGCCAGACAATATTGGCAACTGGTTGTCCAACCAAGCGTCCACGGGCCGTTCCTCTCTGGTAAGGCTTTCCTTGTGCGCAGTATATTTATCCTAACATTCCAAAGGCGATTGCAATAATAGAGAAACCATTCTAGTTGTGTCGGCAATACATACAGATTGCCACCATCGTCTGGAACAAGAAAGTCCTTGACAGAGATTTATTTTCTGTGCTAAACACAGTTGATTTGCTGATTAGAAGACTGGGACGTAAAGATCCGACCCGAAGTTTGCGAATTCGAGTACAGGAGCCTATGCGTACGGTGGGCGTAATACAATTACAGGATAGAAAAGCATCAGCTGTCCAAGATGTGGCGGCCGTGATGGTAATGAGGCGGATATGGTGAGGAGGTTGAGAGAGATTAACGGATTATCAATGTCTGGACAAGAAGCATAATATGTAAAAGATGATCGTGATTGATGGGACGAATCAGGATTCAGATGCGTAGCCTCAGGTTCGATCGGCGGTTCAGTCGAGGCTCGGTTATAGCCGACGCCATTGAACGGGAAGTGCCGGTATGGGTGTAGGGGCCATTGTCAAATTATTATGTAGACAAGCGCGTGCTTGAACCCCTTCGAAATCGCCTCCCCCTACTACTTTCCATATCCCTAGTTTACATCAAACACGACCAACCTGTTTTAGCCCCCATCTCTTACCATTCCCAAAGGCCAAGCATCTCTCGAACAACCATTGACTTCCGCAGCTAGTCAATTAGTTGACTGTAAATCATCGATTTCGCGTCAGTCACTTCAGGAACGTTTGCAAGCAAGCAGATGGTTTCGTCAGCACCTGCACCATTGACAAACCTTCCAGTTTCTTATGCTGAAAGTGTAAAAAAGGCTCACTCTCCTCGTTCTAACGCTGTTCGGAACTCTCTTGGAGACTTCCCAACCGTCTCTGGCGCGTCTGGGATATCTTCCTCTTCTTCACCACCTTCGAATGCCACGTCCCAATTACCCAAATTGCTTAGTTCGATCGAAGCGATAGGCGGATCTCAGGCCGGCGCTTCTGATTTTCCAGAACTCCCTACCGAAACATCTTCGCAGAACATCGTAGAGGACCACAACGGACTAACGAACTATGTGCATCTGAATGCCAATACTGTACCAAAGGCGGCGCCTGTTGTGAACGTATGGACCGAACGTTTGAAAGAGCAGATGGCGCTTGCACATCTACACGTACACCAACCTCATCGCCAACCTCGGGCAATAGTCACATCTTCTGTCGGAACGCCTTCAGTCCCTCACAGGCTAAGACCCACTGGCATGGGTACTTCCCCTGTGCCATCGACTTCCACATCTCGTTCGAGTCCATCACAGACGATGTCGCTCAATGGAGACGATAATGACCATGATCCTTTTATCGTGCGCATGCCTTCACACCTTTCTCGACACTCGTCTTCCAAGTCCATCCGTCTAGTTAATGACACTGACAATTGGCAAGATGTCGCGAAACCTCCTTCTATTGACCTTGGCGGAAATGACGGTGGCGAGAAGCCGCGAAGTTCGGAAAGTCACGCGGGTGCATATAGTTCCTCAAATTCAGCTGATCTATCCAGAAAGAGTACGTTATTTGCCTTATCGACTCCTTGCCCTTCGGCCTTTTTAAACCCTACTTTTACGATTCTATGGTTTTTTCGATTTGTTCAGACCATGCTGATTGTATGACGGTGCTCGTCACATTTATGTTCGGCAGATAGCATTGATTCCACCCGACATCAAAGTGATTCAGTTCAAATGTTTCGGCTGAACAGCAGAAGCGTGTTCGAGGGGAACTCTACAGGTTCGCACTCGGCGCCCTATTCCCGAGTAGAAAGTCGAGCTGGGAGTTCGGCTTCGAGTCCTCGGTTACAAGTCCGAGGAAGGCGACTGCCGGACGACGAATTGACTGTAGTATATGACCTTCGTCATGAGGCTCCGAAGGCTCCCTATAATCCACCGCGCATGAATTCAAGGGTCCCAGAGAGGACTACATACCATCATCACACCTTTTCTCATCCTCCCGATTTTGCATCGCATTATTTCAGATCTCCGCCCATACCACCCACTATTGACGCACCACTGCATTCTGCACGGCTGTCGCCGCTACTTTCGGCCATTCGACATCCGTACTACGCAAGTTCCGTTTCAGGACACACCTCTCCTACGTACGCGGGCTCACGCCCTCCCTCTGGAGCTGGTACCCCGCCATACCCTGTATATCCTCCATACACGACGACATGCGGGTACTGTCATTCGCGCATTCCGTGGGATGGATTCGTTTCCCCAATCCACCCTCGCCCCGTTCCGGGTTTTTCCACCCCATTACTGCAGGACGAATATATTGTACCTCCGCCGATGCATCTATCATTCTTCAATCCACCGTTTCCAGACACAACGGAGCCATTACCAAAACCCCGTTTGACGCAGAGTGAGCGTTCGTATGAAAGCTCGCAGGATTCACATTTGCCTCCTGCTATTATTTCACGAAATATGGTCTTCGGGAGTATCGACCTGACTCATGATCGCATCCATCAGACGCCGAACGCAAAGGAGGCTACAATGAAAGAAGGCAAGAAATCCAAGAAATCCATTGAGCGAATGGCGGAACAGTTCTCTGGCTTTTATATTGGTTTTCCACCTGGCGAACCAGTGCCACCTCGTCAAGGACATAAAAAACATTCGACCAAGAGTCTTTCAAGGCCTTCTGCGAGTCCCGTAGCGGATGCTACAGACAATGCGAAGGCAGTCGATGGTGCACCCGAGGAAGGGTGTAAGGTGGTTGACGAACAACCGAATACTACTGTCGGGGAAGATGTTTCAGCACCTGGTAAGAAGTGGGTGTTTGGAACGACAGTGAAGTTTGACAGGCCGAACGAGGCTAGTCCACTGGAGGATTCGCGGAGCACGTCATCTGAGCACTCACCTCCACCCGTTGAACCTGCGCAACCAGTCGCTGACCAACACCCGCCCGCCGCAACATCCGTGGTGCAGCCCTCTAGTAGTGAGAAACCTGTCACGTCGCCAATTAGTGAAACTCAGAATGGACCTTCAACGATGAAGTCTGAGGACGGTTCTACGACGAGCGACGTCTGGGAAGTCAAGGACTATGGATATGGATTCGGCGACGTGAGTGGCACAGATAACGCCACCGACGTCATTCGCCGCGCCAAGGAGGTTCGGGAGCGGCAACGACAGGTCGAGTGGCAGAAGGAGCAGGCACAGATACAGCTGCAGAAGGAACAGGAAGTACAGCTTGGAGTACAGGATATCCACACCCAGCACACGTGGCAGGAGGCACATGAAGAGCGAGAACTGTGGGACCAAGTCAAAGAGTCCGGACGTGGGCGACCCCGTCGAGGCTCTTGGGCTGGTTCGTATGGGCCGCACGAACGGGGCGCTTATGGTGGTCGAAGAGCCCGAGGATTTGGTGGTCGCTACCAAGGGCGACATCCTGGTCGTGGGGGTTACCATCACCAACAACGATCTTCCATATCTTCTCTCACGCCACCTCCACAGTTTAACCCCTTGCCGCTACCTGGTGCTGGTTATATGAACGGTTACGTCCAGATACCATCTTATACACCTCCCGATTACGAATTATACCACCCCGTTCCAGTCACCATACCTGTGAATGGCGCACCTCCTATCCCTTTGCCACAGTTGGCATTGCCGTTGCCTTTGGACACGACACGGTCATGTCTTCTTAGCCAGTTGGAATATTATCTGAGCTCTCAGAACATGGCACAGGACTTCTTCCTCCGGCAGCGGGTGAGTTTAATAGTCGATGGGAATCTTATGTTTCTGACAAGTACCGCCATGTTACACAGATGGATGATCAGGGATGGATACCCATTTCACTGATCGCTTCATTCAACAGAGTAAAAAAGCTTACCACAGATGTCAATCTCGTGCGCGATGTGCTCGACCTGTCTAGCTTGATTGAGGTCAAGGGTGAATATGTTCGGATGGCCAGGGAGCAGTGGAAACAGTTCATCTTGCCCAATGCTCCAAGGAGCATTGTGTGCCATCCGATCGAATCTGAGGCAATAGAGCCTCAGGACGATCAGGTCGCTTATGCTCAGGTTCAGGATGGTGAAATAGAAGAAGAAGGTGATACATATGGGGAGGATGACGACGACGAAGACATTGTCTTTGTCATTGGCGAAGAAGCAGAAGGCTCATGGGCGCCAGAACGACGACCAGTAGCATCGGAAAGCACTTGATCGCTGAAATTGCGTTCAGTGACTCTTTAAAAAGCATTCTAGAACGAAGTTGATACCCTTACTCGTGTGCACATTTCAGTGCGTTCGTGGACAGGTGATCCTCTTGATTTTTACCTCTTTGTTATGTTCTTTATGTGGTTAGTTTGTATCCTCGTGTTCTCCATCGCTAACATTTTGCTTCATATGCATCCTTACACAGTAATAACGTTTTCTTCACGGCAGTATCATCCTCGCATATCGTATCATGGTTCATTCGTCCTTCACATTTCCCTGGCTGGCTTTCATACAATGTTGTTCGTTTTCCTGCAGTTATCGTTCTATTAGTACACGAGCTATCCCGTCTATAAACTAAATGATCATTGGGCTCTCTGGATAGAGCATTCGCAGAACTCGCTCTTAATGGACACTGTCCTCAGATTTGTGGTATAAAGAGCTTACATTTTGGTCCAAAAGTCACTGTTGCTATTTAGAACCCAGTGAGGTCACACTGTGGGGCTGGGGTCCTCGCGTTCTGGCCGCAGCCGCGGCTGCGCTTCGCATCCATATAATAAGCCTACCCCACTTGCTAACTGCCGTCAGTATAACCTCTCACTTGCGCGCCATGGTCAAAGCCTCTGACGTCCTTTTGATCCTTGTTCGTACCTACAAAATTTGCTTAAGCACATGGAACTGAGTCACTAAACAGGTTGCTATCATCTTTCCGCCAGCAGCCGCTGCTTTTATTACCGGCTGTAGCTGTGATTTGCTCATTAACATATGTTTGACTATGTGAGCTTCCCATGATTACCGTAATCATGACACAGGCTGATCACCGGCATAGCTTGGGATATTTCCCCGGACATATTGTGCGTTGGCCAGTCGTCTACTTGAAGAGACAGACTCTGACTTGTAGTTCCTTATCATAGCACGCATTTTGGCTCATCTACAAGAAGATGCAGGCTGAAGAGAAATATGGGTACGGGGGTTTCCATTGTACGTTTTTTGCTTGCCGTTCTGTGCACTGCGGCTGAGACTATGATGTAACAGACACTGGCAACGGGCATTACCAGGCTCTCAATCAAGGTTCTGCTGCTCCTGTAAACTATGGCACAGCAGGGCCTTAGATTATTTGTCACTCGGATGATATCCACTTGTAGAACTTTGTAACTAGGCTTTGTTTACTATTGCCCATACCTTATGAGTTTTGTCGCTACCATCATTCTTTCAAAATCTTGAAGATTCATGGATTTATCTGGTGAAGTGGAGAACGCCTCCAGCATTGCAATAATCTGAAGGGCAATTCTGTCGACAAGGGACACCGATAGAGAATGAGAATGCTTACTTCCTCAGCCTTTATCTTCTCCTTAAGTAGATTAGCAACGCGCGTAACGTCCTTGATCATGATTTTCTGACGGTCCAGCTCAGCATCAGGCACATCAGGGAAGAACCTTGCGAACTCCTCCCGACATTCAGCCTTTTGTTTCGCGCTCAATTGACTAGCATCAGGCCTCGCGTCGGTAGGCAATGACTTGGATATCTTTTGGGGTTTGCGCGATCCGGAAACAGCGGCAGGCTTATCATCTTGATATTCCTCGTCAGATGCTTCTGGTTCACTCGAGTCCCCATCGACGGACATGCGATATTCATCACTGTCCGGGCCACTATCGTCCTCCTGGTCACTGTGTGCTATCATCTCGGAGTGAGCAGCAGAAGGCCCGCCATCGTCACTCCCTTCCCTGTCTTCTCCCTCTAGAAGGGCAGCACACACAGATCGCCAGTCCTTCCGGCTGACTTCGCTCGATCCCTCCAAGCTTGCTCCCCAGCCTGACGCAGCATTTCGAAACACAGAAAGAACCTCTTCGTCATCTGAAGGGAGTCCAAGAAATTGAAGTGCAGCTGGGACAGATGAAAGTGATAGGGAGATAGGGTCTGGAGACGGAGACGGAGTGTGGTCTTCGTATCCATCAAGTAGAAACCCTCCAGCGTCCTCTATCAAGAATCCTCCTGGTGATACATCTTCTACAGCGGCGAATCCGCCAGACTGAGCTGAGCCAAGTTTACGCTTCTTTCGAGGCGGCTTTGATGACTTTGGGATGTTTCCAGCAGCTCTATCGAATGCATCATCTATGCGTCGGCGCAGACGAGCAGACAGACCAACGAAGTCGGTATCATCCATGATTTCTTCAGGGATGGTGGAAGTCTGGAAGAGGCCAAGACAATTATGTCACGTGGAATCGACCTCGGAGCTGTAAATCTATTAGCACTTTGGTAACACCTTGCTGAACTGGCAATTCAGGAATTTACCCTTGCTATCTCCAGAACATTTGGATTATGCATGGGACCTAGTGTTGCGCCGGACTTATATCCAAAATAATCATTTAACTTTGCATGTGCATTGTGAACCTTGATTACAATATACAGGATATAAACCCCTCGGGCGGTTATCATGTGGCATCCGTAGTCCCACCTCCCTGACTCTGAGCCACGATGCCCCAGCTAGAAGAACACTCGGATAAGATTGTCATCGAGGTCGCAGAAAAATTCGACCCCGCCTCTTACTACGAGCAGGCTGCCGGTCGTTTGGTGATTGATCCTCAGTATGTGACCCAGTCGCAGTCTTGGACGAGTTAAGGACTAAGATCACATCTACTTTTAACTTTAGGCAGGCGAAGATCGAGTTTGGCGAGGCACTGGCTTCGATGCTTAAACTGAGCCCTGACGGCTCTACGATTCTCTGGCCACAACCTGCCGACGACCCGAATGACCCACAGAATGTGAGAATTGTTTGCTATTTTGCTCTGAGATGAACTAACTTTTGAAGTAGTGGAGTGATTGGCGTAAAGCACTGCACCTTCTTGTTATCACTCTGGCAGCCTGCATACCCGATTTTGATTCAGGAATTGGTGCGTCCACGTTACGATGCTTGTTGTAGTGTCTGACGACATCGCTAGGAATTGCTTCAATCTTTGGATTGGCACAGACATATAGCACAACAACAGGTGTTATCAACAACCTCACATCCAAGTGCGCAGCTTTACATTCTTTAGTGAAGGGAAACCTTAATAATAGAATAGCTGGAGCATTTTCCTGCTAGGTAATTTCGGTTATTCAAGAGATGAAATCCCACAGTTAACTGATTCTTCCTCCCACAAGGATGGGGCGGGATCTTTTGGGTAATGCTCATAAGACGTTACGGTCGCCTTCCTGTGCTATTTTGGACACAGGTACGTATCTTTTTGCGATTATTTTGTAGTGCTGGATTCACATAGTCTGTATTTAGGTTTTTGCCCTCGCCTTCCTCGTCGGCGCTACCTTTTCACCGGATCTGGCGACCTTCACAGGTAATATTTCATATGCGGTGAATAACCTGAATGCCGACGTATTTCGTTTGACAGCAATGCGCTGTTTGACAGCATTTTTTGGGTGTGCACCTGATCTAAGTTTCTCAGTTAACAACGATGATACTCATGGATAAGTAGGACATGTCCCCAGGTCACAGTACGTCCTACATGTCCTCATCCATGGTACCTTCACCTGAACTTGATTCAAGGGCCTGTATGTTGTCACTGACATATTTCCATTCCATCTACAAGCTCGAAAGTTGAATATTTGGACCTTTGGATTCATCATGCATGTTATTAATGTGTTCATCAGCATTTAACACAACTCATTACTTAGTATAGATCCCCATTTTTATCGCCATTCGCTTTTGGCTTTCTCGTAGCACGTACGAGGCAAGTCTACCCTTCCCTAGATAAACAGTTGCTGATGCGTGCACAGCTGGCGATGGGCCTATGGGATTGGATCGCTCTACAGCGCCTTCGTTGTACTCCTAATCGGTCTGTTCATGGAAGAGACGTAAGTTTATGTTTCACAACTCATCTTACAAAATGCTACATTATGATTAGGATGTACGACCGCCATCTGGATCCCGACCAACAACGAATATTGCCAGGCATGCGATATCGACTCGAGACCCTGATTGGCATCACGGGGTATAAGATGGCCAAGTATCGGTCACGCTGGTCTGACATTGTGTGGGCATGTTTAAACGTTGTATGGAGGCCTCAATTTTTCTTGGTTGTATTTTTTGAAGTGAGTTCGCAAATAAAGTACTTGGAAATGTCTCAACCTCACTGGTATTTATTCAAGACTTTTGTTTTCGGATTCTCAATTGGTATCAACGTGAGCTGCTTTTTGTTGCTCAAGCGTTCTTTGATAATTAAGGATACTAGGTGACGAATGTTGTTTTTATGGGCTCCCCTCCTCCAGTCGGTTTTGGATTCAGCCAATTTGGGGTTGCTGGTGCATACGCGACTCCGATCGTGAGCCTTGCTGTTACCAGCAGATGCTAATGTGTTCATGTCGTGCTAGCTAGCGGTGATTCTAGGAGAGTTGGGCGGGCGATTCCTGAACGACCGAATTATGAACTTCACTGTTCGGAAGAATAAGGGTATATTTGAGGCTGAGAGTCGATTATGGTAGGTGCAACATGTTGGTTATCCCATAGCAGCTGCTGATAGGGCATGCAGGGCGTGTTATGCAGCAATGCCACTGTTCATCTGCGGCTTCTTGACATTGGGAGCTGGTATTCAGCATTTGAATAAAGCTGCATTGATTTTAGGGTGGGGAATAGCAGAAGTAGCGGTCATGGTGAATACAGTTGCCGTTTGTGAGCCGCGCTATCAATTGCGAATGTTGGTTAAGTTGCTAACTCGTTTCAGATGCGTATTGCAGTGATTGCTTCCCGCAGCGTCAGGGTGAAATCAGTGCTCTGCTCAACCTGGCGCGCACGCTCGGTGGTAGGCACTCTCATTGCTTCTCTACTTTTGACCACACGTCATGTCTATTCACAGGCTTCAGCGTAGCATACTTCCAAGTCCCATGGGCGACGAAATCTGGTGGAATTCAGGTATTTGGTGTTGAAGCAGCGTATGTACACACCAGAGCAGCTCAGAACAGATTCTAACCAGTTCTAACCACATGCCAGGATTGTGATGGGATTGTTTCTACTTGCCGTGCCAACAGTGCAACTGAGAGGGAGATATTTCCGGGTACGTGACAATATTATGATCTGATGTCACCCTTCAACTTCCCGCTGGCGTTGTAGGAGCACTTCGCCTTATAACGCGATGCTGCTATTTGATAACTCCGAGGCAAGTGCAAATATGAGAACTGTATTCTGTGGAGACGTTTGCACCATTACACGGCAGGTCATACATTTTGTAATTCTGATGTCTAAATTCAGCCCAATGTTCATATCACATAATATGTATGGTTTTCGCGTTATATATGGATGATATCTGGGTTTTTACATCGTACATACATTGTAGGTACATCATATGTACATCCGTGGGTATGAAAGAAAACCGAGAAAAATTGGACAAGTACGGAATCCAACTTAGAGCCCCTGTGTGTCTTGAATTAAGCGATTATATCACAATACTACATGGTCTTTGATCGGGGCTTCTGTACATAATAAAATAACTATGCCCATTATGTCTATACGATGTCTTTGGCTATTGATGTGTATATAATCTGTATGTCTAAATTCAGATGAGCCTTAGCCCAATGTTCATATCACATAATATGTATGCACTTTTCGCGCTATATCAGGATTACAAAATCAAGGGTTTGCCGTGTAGTTACCGCTGGAGGCATTAGAAGCCTTAGATTACAAGAAATAATTGCACGGAATCTCCACCAGACCTAACAAACCTTGAAGAAACCTACAATTATCCAGAATGAAGAAAGAGCATGTCAGACAACATAAAGAGCGCACTATGCCGGGAAATAAACTTCAAACTGCAAGGTCACGTAAAATATGAGCGAACTATGCCAGTAAATAAACTTCAAACTGCAAGGTTACGAAGAAGTCAAACTTCCAAAAAAACAGTCCTATGCTGGACCACAGTGGGGAATCGATTCCAGCTATGTATGTAAAGGGTTCGTAGGAAGATGTGGTATCATTATTCGGAAAAAGGATTGTGTTCACACCACGAACGCAGCGAGACACAGAACACCAGTGACGAGTATGCTGTATTGTACGCTTGCACCCAAAGTTGCTCCAGATGCAGTGGTGCTGCTTGGACTGGTCGCACTGTGTGTGCCGGAGGTATTGCCACTCGACCCGCTGGAATTCGAAGAGGATGATGATGGTGGGGCAGCTGCCGCGAGGTTGCTCACAGAGGCCCAAGTTGCAGCGATGTTCGTACTCGTGTTACCCTCAAGGTAAGGGAGGTAAGACACGGTGCCATTGCTTGTGAGCTGTACGAGAGCTGTGACGCCGGCGAAGTATGTCGCTTTGGAGTCTTTGGTAGTGGGCGCTGCTAGGGACTGAGTGGTATTCGTCTGGAGATTCATTAGTAGTGAGAATGAGTTAGTCAAATGAAGGACCGTACCTCAACATTAATTATGTACGTGGCGGAAGAATCTGCGGGAATGAAGGCGAACTCTTGCTGGACCTATTAACTACATGAGGATGTATCTCAGGTAGAAAAAAGTACAGGACTTACTGTGTTGTCTGCCTGGAAGAACGAGGCGACTTGCCCGTAAGTGGCGGGGAATGCGCTCCCATCTGAGAGCGGGTAAGCCTGGGCCTGCGGTTGGAAGTAGGAGTCTGGTGCCACTGTCGGTGTGTCTTCCCCTGGTGATAAGAGTACATTACGCACAGTGAATGACGAAAATGTCTGCGCTCCCAGCAGAGACGTTGGGGACGTCTAGGAAATGAATGTGATTTTGCGCAAGAGCCATGACTGGAACGTAGCCCGAGGGGTACGGCACCTGTTCATCGTTGACCCAGTTTAATGCTGTACTATTGGCTGCACTGAGTAAACCCATGTCTAGGGAGAAGAGGTTTCCCTGTGACAACGCATCTGTGGTGGCATGTCAACAAAACGAGGTACATGGAAACGACATCAACTTACAGAAGACGTTTGTGTCATGGTCCAGAATAGCACCGAAAGATGTATAGTCGAAAGAACCAGCATCGACTGCCTGCATGGACCATGATTTTGCAGCCGCGTTGTAGATGTAAACAGAAGAAGGATTTTTGGAGTCGGCATTAATTGCGTATATCGCGTTGGCATACTATCAACGGAAAATTAGCCCGCCGGCAAAAGCTACAATCGTGCTCAGACTTGCCTGCGAGAGATAGCATGTAGTGTTAGTTGCATCAAATGGCCTACGAGAGAGGAGTATAAGCGCAATACACGGGTGAAGAAAATTACTAACGGTCGGTTGGACGCTGTGATGTCTGTGGCCGCGGTGCCTGCATAAACAGAATGTTAGGACTCTAGATCCCATAACGACAGAAAACTGACTGCTGGACCAGGTGTCTTGGGTGCCCGCGTTCCAGTCTTTGCCGTTCAGGCCGAAAGCAAGGAGGTTCCAGTTGGCGTCAAAAGAAATGCATGGAGATGCTCGGACTGTTGCTGAAGTTAAGAAAAAAAGAGAGGCGAGGGTAGGCAAGAACATTATAGTGAAGTATGGAGGAAAAGCTGAAGAAAATATGAAATTGAACGAGCTACCGAGCTGACTTACTCCGACCTCATTAGGTAAGGTCTTAGCTAAGTCACAATGCGGAATTCATTACATATACACAAAAACATCGACCATAACGCGGTAGCGGGTGATACTTAGATGCGCAACCAAGTAACCAAGATTGTTACATAAGGATGTCTAAATCTAATAACCCTCCCTGGTTTTTGCCAGCGAGAAGTTGATTATAAAGCAAAGCGTGCCTAGTATTCGATACACAGATTAAATGCTGTAAGTCAAATGAAAAGAATCACACTCACTCGGAAGTAGCTTCCTTTCAGTTGTGTCATAGGAACGGCAATTAAAAATAAAGCGATCACAAGTCTATAAAAAAGTCAGGCACTTCAAGTGTGTCGAGCAATATCACTTGCGCTGCTTCAGCACCAAACACCGTCAATGCTCCAGATTTTGTAGCCCATGGGACTTGGAAATATGCCACCGCAAAACCTAGGCCACAAGCGTGAATGTTGGGGTAATCATGCGTCGTTGCAACTCACCGCCCACTGATCTTGCAAAGTTTAAGAGAGCACTGACTTCGCCCTAGAAGTGGGAGGACATGTTACTGAAACGCAAAAAAATATGTATGCATCACTCACCGCCCTACGAGGGAAGCAGTCACTGCAGTATGCATCTAATAATATTCCTTGAGTTATCCCTTGACACTCAAAGAATATGAGATCCCAGACTTACACACCGCAACAGTGTTGAGGGTGATTGCAACAAATGCAATGCCCCAGCCCATGATGAGAGCGGCTGCGTTGAGGTTTTGTATCCCAGCACCCAGTGTCAAAAAGCCACAGATATAAAGGGGCATGGCTAAGTAACAGGTCCTACACAAACTCTCAGCTCTAATCTTCTGTGAAAAACCATCAGTTGGATTTGCATACCACAAGCGGCTCTCGGCCTCGAAGAAACCACCATTTTTGCGAATATTCAGATTCATGATGAAGTCATTCACATGACGTCCAATGAACTCGCCAAAAAAGACGGCAACCTAAACGTTCCAAGCTGAGTACAGTACTCATGCACACTTCATAGATGAAAAACACTTGCAATTGGAGTCGCATATGCTCCAGCAACGGCATATTGACTGAAGCCAAATCCAACGGGAGGAGAAGATCCCATGAAGACAACGTTCGTCGTCTACAAAAGTTGTTAAGTCCATTACCGCAGGTCAAAACGGAGATGCTCACATTCACACCGATCGAGAACCCGAAAACCAATGCCTTTCGAAAAGGTCAGCAGATATAGTAAGTATGGTCAGCAAATTACTTCATCTCACCTCAAAGAGAACTACGAAGAAAAACTGAGGACGCCAAGCGACATCCAAAGATGCGAATAGAACTTCCGGCCATCGTGGTCTGTATTTCGCCATCTTGTACCCAGTGACACCTATCAAAGTTTCAAATCGATATCGCAGTCCCGTGGAAGTTCGTGGTGGCTTCAATACGAGGCGACGATCATACATACTGGTTCAGTAAAGTCAATGTCATTGCCCCAAAGGAAACAGTATATCAGAACGTACGTTTCTTCCATGAAAAACGCAATGAGACATAATACGATGGCGCTGTAGATAGATCCTATAGCATAGGCCCACCTCCAGCTATCCAATGATTGATGAATATTCTGAATCAAGGACAGCATAAGACGTACCTCGCACGTGCCACAAGAAAGCCAAATACAAATGGTGATAGGAAAGGAGATCTATGAGATAGTGAGAAATGTCTTTCCCACTAAAATAATTCATTTTCTGACATGACAAAACCCGAAGTCCAGATGTTCAGCTTCCGTGCTTGAAGATGGAAGGGAAAGATATCCGTCACGACATAAAGACCCTTGGAGGTTGGTAAATGCTGAGGCCATCACAAGAATTGCTACTAATCATACCGTCACCTGGGGACACGTTCTGAAACCGCAGTCAGCTCAATCCAGGCATAACGAACGTGAGGACTTGCCCAAAGAATGCAGTCAGACAGCGCATCCCTTCATCAACAGTTAACAGTGTCCGACAAATACCACACTAAGGTGTGAATACCTGCAAAGGTGGCTAGATTCGGTGCCAATGTGGCGCCAACCAAGAATGCAAGCGCAAAAAGCTGTGCTCGGGAGTTTTAGGGTTCATATCGGCCAAATCACGGGAAATATATACCTGACTCCAGAAGAGCACTGGCAGCCGACCATAGCGTCTCATGAGCATGACCCAGAAGATGCCTCCCCATCCTAGACTACAGATGAGAAGAAGCTATTCCCATGTAATGGTGTGATCTCACCCAGAAGGAAGATGCTCCAGCTTCAACGAGTTGTCATTGAATGTGAGCAACGAACAATGCATTACGCACTTTGACGTCAGATCGTTGATGACACCCGAGGTCGTGTCATAAGTTTGAGCGAGCCCAAATATTGACGCGATTCCTGCCAATAAATATATTTCACAATGACACCACTACGGATATTGAGCGAGGGCGAAATACATACCAATTCCAGAGTCGAAGTCAGGTATCACTGCAGACATTGTAATGATCATCAAGTGCATATTCTTGCGGAAATCAGTCCACTATGAATGAATAACTCAGTGTGAGTCGACATGATAATGAGAAGTGACGAGCGTTTTGCGGGTCGTTCGGGTCGTTGGCGGGCTGAGGCCAGAGAACCTTCAACCCATCAGGGCTGAGCTTGAGCCTAGATGCCATTACCTCCCCAAACTCGATCTTCGCTTGTCTAGTAAGTTACGAATGAGTAACGATCGACTCAGGATAGCGAGCAACAACCACATACTCGGGGTCAACTACTAAACGGCCAGTAGCCTGCTCATAATAAGCAACAAAGTCCACCTCATCGGTAACATCGACTTCGACTGAGTCATCTGCCTTCGTTTCTGACTGCTGCTGCTGGGAGTCAACATCCTCTAGAGCCATTGGTAGAGGTGAGAGATGGGAAGCGAACAGTCAGGTGTCGCCATTCGGTACCCATGATCAAATTAGAGTGCAGTACTCACAATGACGGTATATCTTTTAATCTCAGGGAGGCGCAGATTGTGAGGGATAAATCGATAACCAGCGATACGGGAGGGATCCGGGTAATTGGAAACGGCTATTGACAAACCAAGCTTGACGATGAAAGTGTTTACTATGTAACAGGTTAGCAGTACTACACATGTAGCACCGATATACATGATGCATGAATAAATACGTTTTATCGACAGGCCTAAAGTCACGTGATCTCGATCGCGGCGCGCGTTGGTCGAGTTCACACCTGCGGCTGGCCCTGAACAAACACTTAACTTGACGAGCACCCATCACTCCGTGCGGCATAGACCTACGGGAAATAGGCAAGTGGGAGGTTGGACGCGAGCCTGATGTAGCACTGAACAGAAATCTTATTAGGGTTCCCAGTCATTTATCCCAGCAGAAAGGGTTTGATCTTGAAAGGTTGATACGTCATCTCTCCCAGGCTATCCCAGAATGGATGTGGTCGAAAGAGTTACCTGCTGCGCAGCGCCTCGACATTTACTGTTCATTAAACTCTCTCCTACTCCGTCTACCCCTGCCTCCCGGCCGTGCCACTAAGAACTGGGGCTGTAATTAAACTATGTCATCAAAGGAGAGTTTCACGACGAGCAGCCTCTCGCTGAACCTGAATGAGGACTGGGACCGCTCAAGTGATATTATCGTGCCTCAGACGCAGGTACCACGAAATTCTGTGCTGTTTCCGGGGGAAGTGGCGCAGGACAACTGCAGCACACCTAGGGCAAATGGGAGTAGGAAAAGCAGGTCACTAAGTGAGCTCATGCGGCTCCATGCCGAGAAGGGGACCGATGTGACCTTTAACATTGAGGAAGCGAGTCGTGTAGCAGATGTTCTCAAGCAGTGGGTGAGTCTTTTGGAATCATAGGGTACTGTCTCCCGGCTCATCAAATGTCGTGGCACAGATAAATTCGGGAACTTCTCCATATGAGGGCGAGGATGACTTCTTTTCTCGTGCAAACGATGATCTGTCACTTGGAGCAAAACGTTCATTGCAATTGGGTCCGGGAGACTTCAGTGGCCGAACGAGAGGGCAGAGCGAAAGCGTTGTCTCGCGTTAGTCTTCGCTGAGATCACTTTCAGTTTCGCTTTCCAATGTCCATCTCTGTCATAGCCATTTAGATGACAATTTACGACCTCTGACGATACTGATGACTTCATGACCATATACTCTACTCTGCGAGATCAGTCATACTACTTAGTTACTTAGTAGTCCTTTCGATTTGCAACTCACGGCTGTGAGCATGTACATCGGTATATCTGGAATACACTCAATCAAAAAGCAAACAATCGAAACCAAAAAGTAAGGTAGGACAAAAAGCGAATGGGATACTCAAACCATCTTCTTATCTTCTTCCGCGGATTTCCTCCGCTCGAGAACCTCAACCCACCTCTTCGGGAACCAACCTTCACGACCCTCGCGCGTCCGACCTTTCCACCACTCACTCTCCACCTCTAACCGTGGATCCACTTCCACACCGGTGCTAGGATCCAACTTGCCCGTGATAGCGACGATTTCATTCTCCCTGAGCGCAAGCTCAGATGGAGATGAAGGTGTGAATGGATATACTGCGCGGGCAAAAGTAAGCGTAGACGGATCAAGGGAACCAGGACCAATTTGCATCGCGCGTTCAGTGAGTATTTTTATGAGTTTCATCATGGCGTATGAAACGCCGAAAATAGCGAGTAAAAATATAATGGGTTTTCGGCTGGGCTTGATAGGAGGAGCACCCATTGGGCCCTGGATGGGCTTGCCTCTAATGAACTCTCTAAATTCGTTCTGGATGCTTGTGGAGCTGGGGCGGCCCGCGATGAACTCCTTCATCCACCGTAAAAGACCGAAGATGCTTAATACACTACCCAAGGCATTGCGGAGGTGGCTGAAATGCTCAACGACACCGACCATTGCCGAACATGAGCTGTGCGTCGCCATGATTGTGGACTCGAGCATTTGTGCCACACCCGAGAATGTCTGGACCATGGAGTGGAGAAGGGAAAAGGTGTGTTGGGTTGTGGCTTCGAGCGTCTGCGAAAAGGAAGGATTGTTGGGATCGATACCAGGGTACGTGCCCATTCCGGGCATTCCTGGCATGGTGCCGTACATGCCATTCATGCCATATCCACCATAGGAGGTACCGTAACCGCTGCTCATTCCACCATAGCCATAAGGCGAGTACGTCGACCCAAAGCGAGAGTACGGCGAATTATATGATGGCTGCTAAGAACTCAAGGGTGCAAAGGTAGATACAGATGAGTTGGAGAGAGCTGGGGGACGTGGAGGCACTGAAGGTAGTTCTGAAGATAAGCTCGTCGGAGTTAGCGATGATGCGACGGCAATGGTTGCTGTTCCCCGCTCCCAAGGCTTGAGTGGTGCTGCCATTGGCCGTTGCCGACTACGAGGAAGCGTGAATCTGACATGGGCCGGCTAACGCCGGCTTTCATCCACAAACCGACTTTGTATAGTCACGTGCGATGCGAACCTTGGACAAACTACTTCCAGACTTCGAATGTGAAACTTACTATTAGACGGATGCTGAAGAGTCCGAGAAAGAAGAGTGTGACGGTAAGTGTTTTGAGGTGTAACAAGTACATGATTGCTTACGAATGAATAGCCATCACGCCCGCCGCGGAGGAATGGATCGAGGCAGACCAGTGTAAAGAGGGAGCCACCGGAGATTGACTTGAGTGCAATAAGACCCCCCAGCCCAACAGAGGACCCGCTTCTGCTGAGTGCAAGACGTTCGACATCAGCACCAGGGTCTAGATTGACCCCTGTCTTCTCAAGCTCTCCACCGCATGGGTATACCGATGTTCGTGACACCCAGTCAGGCGAATGGTCGGACACCGAATCAGAAGGCGAGGGAGAGTACACAGGGCGTTTCAAGATGTTTCAAGTGCCCACGAAGGCGGACCCGCCGACGAGTGGGACAAAGGCGCGCATGGAGGAGTGGGGTCGGCCAGTCAGCCCATTTCCGTACGAGGCACGACTAGACAGGAGCTTGCCTGATCCAGAGGATATGGAAGTTGCAGATAGTGAGAATGAGGTCATGGAAGGAAATATCTTGGATGCATTGGATTTTGAGAGCGTGTTCGAGGACATCGTGGAGGTGCCGCCTGCGTCAGATCTATCCAGCGATTCACCAACCAGTGATCGTGTCAGAGTAGAAGAGAGCGAGGATTCAGATGTGGACGTTGAAAGCAATGTAGTATGCATCACGGGTAGCGATCCAAAGGCCGCAGCAAGAGCCGCCGCGATTTTGAAATTAGTGAGTATCTCTCGCTTCAATGTCCAGAAGCTGAAGTTTTTGATCTACCAGCATGACTACGATTGCGTACTGGCTTCTTCTAAGCACGGTGCTGCCCGTAAGTCGCGCACAACGTTCCTTGGCGCAGGCGTCGGGAAACACCGCAGCTCGATACAGAGCCGGCGTGCGATCCACAGGGGAGATGATTCGACGCCGTGGTGCGATGTCGAAGATATCATGCAGGACATCACCTTCATTGAGCAACATACACCTGTAAAACTGCCCCCTCGGGTCAGTATTGAGAACACTGAAGAACAAGTGTCTCGTCCTTCGAGTGCGACATGCGCCCAACCTCCGTATAGACCCAAGGCGGGCGAGTGGAGGCGTGAAGACTGGAAGCTTTTGGATAAATGTTTTTTTGAGGAGTGCTATGTCAACGGAGTTGTCACTGCGCCGAAGGAGGTTAACAGGGAGGCGGTGGTGATGCGATTCCAATGTCTTGCTGGAGGTCACGATATTGTAACGGGGCTGGGTCCCCCCTGGAGTTGGTTTGTACTTCCTCGCTGTTTTTTTGCAGTCCCAGCTGAGCTAACACATACTCAGGGAGAACTTGCTGGCGAGAGTAGATGTGCTCATCAAAAAGCGGGCTGCGCGAGCCGATCTCTCAACACTATCTTTTACCAGCTTCGCATCGCCAAATGTGTCCACGCTGGCGAATTTCACCTCCACGCCGATCTCGCACACGCCACGGTACCGCGACCTCTTCGACAAAGCCAGTGCTATCGACGCAGCAAATGTTCCCATATATACATCATCTTACGCAGCTAGGTCTCAACCGACCATTGTACCACCAAATCATCTAGCGGAAAAAACAGGTTTCTTTTCCAGGCTTCCAACATGGGCATCATTTCTTTCTCCCCGTGTACATATTAAACCTGACGATCACCCCGACTGTCCTCCCTTACCTCCTCCGCCCACGAATATCATAGATCGTCGCAAGCCCATTATAACGCCAGCGCGGAAACTTTCAGAGCAGCATAAACCGCACAAGGATTTCGTAAATCTTCGCCATACTTCACCTCTACAAAAGCGCGCACAGCTGCGCAGGAACAAACCAAAGCGCCTCGTAGAGCTCCGTCACATATCGCCGGAGCCTATCCAACGTGCATCCACAGGTGATTGCCGGGGAAGACGGAGCAGCAGTGGTAGCGTCAAGGATCTGATCCAATGTTTTGAGGGAACGAATGATCTTGCTGGTGAAGGAGGTTCTATACAGATCTCTGCAGGTGCCGTGGAAAGCAGGCTTCCTTGGAAACCATAGCTATGTATTTCAACCGGAATATTAGGATAATCGACTTTTTACATAATTAGGCAATAGAATACACAGCAAGCTTGAGAACAAATGTGTTGAACGAGGAAAATCGACGAAGTAGGACAAAACGATTAATTTAATTTATTTACAAGGAGGAAGGGAAGCAAATTTGGTCAAGAGCAAACTCCTACCATTCCCTGTAATATGTCAATGGCGTACTCAACGGGCAACAAAAGAATTCAGAGTACTGTAGGACTCGTCCACTCAATTTGACACCCCCATTTGCGTCGTAGCTCACTTGCGTTATCCAACAGAACATTTCCTTGTTCCCTCGACGTCGACACCCAGCTCATCAATGCTTAATGCCTCTCAGAGCAATCTACTGCGTCCTCGAATTCGAATTCCACCGCTGGCACTCCCGTTTCTGCATCAGGGCCTCTGCGTCCGTCCTCCCTGTACAGATCGTTCACATTGACCCTCGCGGGCTCCTGTAACATGTGCGTGGACCAGGATGATACCGGCGTTCAAGACTGCCGAATTTCGCTGTAGCGGAAGGTATCCCGGCAGCTATCGTTGGTGTGAATGTCAAGAAAGTCTTTACGCAGCCACCGTCAACGAAGCACGTCATAACACCCTATTCAAAACGAAACCTAAAGACCCCGCTCTGACCTCATCGCTCTTTGAGCCTCGAAGGCAATCATATCAGGGAGGTGTTCGATAGGGCCGCACGGTGCTTGTTTTTTGAGGACGCGAGGCTGTGGCCACGCGTTATTATGTGGGTGTATTACCCCTGCTAGTGCGACGATGAAAGCTAGATTGTTGTCGCGATTAGCGCAGGCGTGGCATGTGCGTGGTATTCGGCTCGCAGGTCATATATTCATATTTGGGGAGAATCCAAACGACGTGTCCCACTCGACGCTAGTCTTTCCTCCCACATTCCAATCGATAGTTATCTTTTGCTCGATAGTTTGTGAGCTTGGGTTTGAATTTTGATTCCTCATGATGTGCTTAGTTTGTAGTTGAGCCATCGAGGTACTTTAGTACTGGGCTTATGTCACAGAGTGTAGATGGCTAAATAAAATGTCGAATCTTAGTGCTGTGAATGGGCGATAAGATGAGAAGCCTAGCGAAACCAAAAGCGTAAGCGATGGGATCGCAGCGAGGGTCGCTCCGAATATGCTGCACATCGTTCCGAGTATCGCGACAGATCTTTCCCGAGTATTCGGATTGAAATATGTATGTATGTGATACGATTAAATTTGTATGGTTCGATAGTACTTGGTGGTTCGAGTGTGGCTGTGCAAATTTTAGATCGTGTGAACATTGGGGTATAAAACAGCCACTATACAGGATCAGACGATCATCTTGTTTCCTCCTTCTCCTTTACAATGTCTTCAAAAGGTTTGCTTATCATTATTATCGTATACTACATACTAACCTCGATCATAGCAATCAGAGAATACGACGCAAAACTTCTCTTGGCCTATTGGCTTCAACGTGCACCGGCACCAAACCCAAACTTCGCCCCTTCACCTTCATCTACTCTTAAATTCCCTGCTCCACGCGTAGCGCAGATCTTATGGGATCCTGCAACTGATTCGATCACCCCAGATACCCTTCTCCCATCTTGGGTTTCCACCACAAAGCTCGTCGCAAAGCCAGATCAGCTCATCAAACGTCGAGGCAAAGCAGGCTTGCTCGCTCTCAACAAAGACTGGCAAGACGCCAAGAAATGGATTCAAGATCGCGCAGGCAAACCTCAGAGGGTCAGTCCTTATCTGATCTAATCGCAACTCCTTCCATATTCAGCCATTCTCCCACAGGTCGAATCAGTCACAGGCACTCTCAGCTCATTCATCGTAGAGCCCTTCCTTCCCCATCCTTCAGACTCTGAATACTACATTTGCATTACTTCAGCACGTGACGCAGACACCCTCCTCTTCACTACTTCAGGTGGTGTCGATGTAGGCGACGTCGATGCAAAGGCACTCAAACTCGACATCCCTGTCCTTGGTCCCTTCCCCACCCGTGCTCATCTACAGGCCACCCTCCTTCGTGAAGTTCCAGCCCACAAGAAAGAAGTCCTCACCGACTTCCTCGTCAGACTCTACTCTGTCTACGTAGATCTCCACTTTGCTTACCTCGAGATCAATCCTTTGGTCGTCCTCGATGACGGCTCTATCCACTATCTCGATATGGCTGCAAAGCTCGACCAGACCGCCGAGAGTATCTGCGGACCAAAGTGGGCAGTCGCACGAGACTTGACGGTCTACGAGAGCGCACCAGCTGCAACCACAACTGGCTCAAAGATAAACGCTGACCGTGGCCCACCCATGGCTTGGCCCGCTCCGTTCGGTAGAGATCTCACAAAGGAAGAAGGTGCGTAATCTGTCCATCATAGTCATGTCGTACTCATTGTATGTAGCATACATTCAAAAACTCGACGCTTCAAACCGGTGCCTCTCTCAAGCTCACCGTCCTCAACCCTACCGGTCGTGTCTGGACAATGGTTGCAGGTGGAGGTGCATCTGTCGTCTACAGCGACGCCATCGCAGCAGCAGGTTTCGCACATGAACTTGCCAACTACGGTGAATACTCTGGTGCCCCAAGCGAGGGCCAGACATTCGAATATGCTAAGACCATCCGTACGTATCCCATCAATTCAATCTAATTATACTAATCTGCATCTAGTTGACCTGCTCACGCGGCCACCTCCCCGTCCTGATGGCAAGGTACTCATCATCGGTGGTGGTATCGCAAACTTCACCAACGTAGCTGCAACTTTCAAAGGCATCATCCGCGCGCTTACAGCCTACAAATCGCAACTCATCGCACACAATGCCAAGATCTACGTCCGTCGCGGCGGTCCCAACTGGCAAGAAGGTCTCAAGGCCATGCGTCTACTTGGTTCGTTCCACTAAGCACCTATAAACACGCATACACTAACACAAACACAGGCGAATCTCTCGGCGTCCCCATCCGCGTGTTCGGTCCAGACACACACATCACCGAAATCGTGCCCCTTGCTCTCGGCCTCAAATCCACAACAAGCGCAACAGCACCCATAAGCATCCCCGCCACCGCACCCGGCTCCCCCAAGGTCTCACCCGCATCTCCTGAGCCCGGGGTTGGCGATGTCGGGGCCATCCATGCAGACGGTGAACGCACCCAGCCCGACGACGTCGTGGTCCGCTTCGATTCACTTGAAGGTACCAAAGGCTCCAGGCCCGCATACAGGCCTTTTGACGAAGACACCCGAAGCTTCGTCTATGGTCTCCAACCACGTGCCATTCAGGGGATGTTGGACTTTGATTACAGTTGTAAACGCGCGCGTCCCTCCGTGGCAGCTATGATATACCCCTTTGGTGGACACCACATCCAGAAATTCTACTGGGGCACACGCGAGACTCTTCTCCCTGTATACACCTCTCTTGAAGAAGCCGTCAAGAAGCACCCCGACGTCGATGTCGTCGTCAACTTTGCGTCCAGCAGAAGTGTGTATAGCAGTACGATGGAGTGTTTAGGCTATAAGAGTATCAAGGCCATTGCATTGATCGCCGAGGGTGTGCCAGAACGCCAGGCAAGGGAGATTCTGTGGAAGGCGAAGGAGAAGGGCGTGTTGATTATCGGCCCTGCTACTGTTGGTGGAATCAAGCCTGGTTGCTTCAGGATCGGCAATTCTGGAGGGTACGTTCACTCCTTTGTGCTTCGACTCGCGTTAACCTGAACATTCTCACCCGCAGTATGATGGACAACATCATCGCCTCCAAGCTCTACCGCCCCGGCAGTGTCGGCTACGTCTCCAAATCCGGAGGCATGTCCAACGAACTCAACAATATTCTCAGCCTCGTCACAAACGGCACCTACGAAGGTATCGCCATCGGTGGTGACCGTTACCCCGGCTCGACCTTCATCGACCACCTCCTCCGCTATGAAGCTGACCCCGGATGCAAAATGCTCGTCCTCCTCGGTGAAGTTGGCGGCGTTGAAGAATATCCGCGTCATCGAAGCTGTCAAGTCTGGCAAGATTAAGAAACCCATCGTTGCATGGGCGATCGGGACCTGCGCAAGCATGTTCACTACCGAGGTCCAGTTCGGACACGCAGGGAGTATGGCCCACAGCGATAGCGAGACTGCGGCTGCTAAGAACAAGGCTATGCGCGAGGCAGGCTTCATCGTGCCTGCCACCTTCGAGGAGCTCCCTGCTGCTCTGAAAAGCACATATGAGGCCCTTGTCGCGCAGGGCGTTATCGTCCCCACTAAAGACGTCGAGCCGCCTGTGATTCCCATGGATTACAAATGGGCGCAAGAGCTGGGGCTTATCAGGAAACCGGCTGCGTTTATCAGTACGATCTCTGACGAGCGTGGACAGGAGCTACTCTATGCAGGCATGCGTATTTCGGATGTCTTCAGAGAAGATATCGGCCTTGGAGGAGTCGTCTCTCTTCTCTGGTTCAAACGCCGTCTTCCCCCCTGGGCAACCAAATTCATCGAGATGGTGCTCATGCTCACTGCAGACCACGGCCCAGCCGTCAGTGGTGCCATGAACACCATCGTCGCTACCCGTGCTGGCAAGGACCTCATCTCGAGTTTGGCGAGTGGCTTGTTGACGATTGGGAGTCGGTTCGGTGGGGCACTCGATGAGGCTGCTAGTATGTTCAGTGGGGCTAGGGATACGGGGTTGACGCCAAGGGAGTTTGTGGATAATTCTAGGAAGGCGAATAAGCTCAGTGAGCTTTGTTTCTTTTCGTTTGGACTCCAGACTTGCTGACGCCCGAATCAGTCTCTGGTATCGGCCACAAGATCAAATCGGTGAACAACCCCGATCTCCGTGTCGAGCTCGTCAAGGAATACGTGAGGAAGAACTTCCCAAGCCACTCGCTTCTTGATTACGCGCTTGCTGTTGAGAAGGTGACAACGAGCAAGAAAGATACCGTGCGTCCTCCATCCCTCACCAAAACTAAAATTAAAACTAACACCCCCCACAGCTCATCCTCAACGTCGACGGTTGTATCGCCGTCTCCTTCGTCGACCTTCTGCGTGACAGTGGTGCCTTCACCCCAGAAGAAGCCGATGAATACATCAAGATAGGGACCCTCAACGGTCTCTTCGTCCTTGGCCGCAGCATTGGTTTCATCGGGCACCACCTCGACCAAAAGAGGCTTCGTGCGCCGCTTTACAGACACCCTGCTGATGATATCTTTATCAACATTGCCGATTTGAGTCAGCCCAGGGTGCTGGGGAAGATGCAATGAGGGGTGCGCGTCGATTGTACTTGGACCTGGATTTGGCGTTGTCAAGTGAAGTGAACTCGAAGCCGAGCCGCCGTGCCGTTGTAAAATGAAGACTATTAACACATACATAATCATTACGAACTCAACTTCGCAGTTTGTTGTTTCTGTACTCAGTACTCATGGATTCGGAGATCGTTTAAAATAGGTAGCATGAACGCATTTCATACTGTTTGCAATGGATAGATTTTCTCTTGAATTTGTGTCACAGGTGGAGTTTGGATTCGAGTTGAGCGATTATAATGTGTGTTCTTGACTTCCATGTTCAGTTTTGTCAACCACTCCAAAGTACTGGAGCTTCATTTTATCTTTGTGCTCAATTCACGGCATCAGGTTCTGTGTGTAGTTCATATTGGAATCCGAGAGATCCGAGTCGAAGAAGACCGAAGGATCCGAGATAGGACCAGGGGGAGAATGAGAGGTACGAGCACACGCCAAAAGAGGACAGGACGAGCGACAGAGTGACATCGGCTCGCGTCCTGCAATTTCTTATGTTTCTCTTTCATATATGTCAGTAAAAGACTCACTTAGTATAAAAGTGCCAGTTGTAGCGCACAAGCATCTCAGTTCCTTCCAAGTGACTGAGATGTGAGTTAGAACCGTCACCTGTATATATCAAAGCTAACACTACATAGTGTACTACTTGTCTTATAGGTAGATGCGTTGTTATCAGAGTTCCTTCCAAGTGACTGAGATTGTACTTGTCATATAGCGTTTAGTGTGTCCCTACTTCGTCTACTCACCAGAGTTCATACGTGCAGTTCTATATTCTGTGACGTGAGTGAATGAGTGGTGGTAACTCAGGGTTCGATGCCTCGGTACATGCCCACAGGATGACTGAAGTATAGTTCATCATCCCCATTGCATGTGTCGCGGTACCGTTGGTGTGTTGAAACAGATTACAGTCTAAAGGTGGGCCTGTGATGAGCCTGCATGGCACATACACGATTCACGCCAGTGTTGTTCTAGACTGTGATCTAAGAAGTGCCACAGGCAGGGGCGCAAGCTCAAGTATTACTTGACCTGTGAGTAAATTTCAAAGTAGGTCGCTCATGCACTAATCTTGCGCTAAAGCATTTCCGGTCGACCTTAGAAGTGGGGCTGGTATGTATAGCACTAGGGATTATGGGGACTTCCATGCAACCTGTGTAAGTTACTATTCAATACACCGCACTGACAACAACATTAAACCTCCTGACCTTGGTGCTTGCTGTATGACAAAGGTGCCTGCGAATACAGCATGCACTCCCTAGTTCTATCCTAACGAGAGCTTGCATTAATTCGCTCACGGTCCCTCCCATTCAAAATCAAGAAGACTGATTTTCAAGCTAGTAGATGCAAATGCAAGCCACAACTTCAACTTCTCAGCATCGGAAAGCCTGCCGTTTCAATAATTCTCACCTAACGGCCTCCAATGACCTAACATCGGTCATTGTAAAACTGCCTGACACACTTGGGTATACATTATTTTGCAAGGTGCTAGTACTGGGCTGGCATGAAGCATGTTGATGGATATGTTATGGACACTTACGAACACTTATGACTTCACTGGTAGCGCACTCTGAAGATAACATAGGCTTGATTCGATCTCTAAAATAATATAGACAACATGGTGCAGTTGAGCCACAACGAAACAAAGATGCAACTAGTGCAAGTCTGAGCAGAATGCATAATACACCTGCAGTGGTCACAAATTGTGATTGTACTAACTTAACCAAAAACGGACGTTAGTACGGACACTTGACCTGAGCTAACTAAAAATCATATGCACACGAGCATCTTATGAGCACTTTCGAACCAAGTCATGCTGACTAGATCAAACAACTGTATGTTATATTTAGTCAAGATATACCTAAAGAAGTTTCCGAAGCAACACAGATGTGGCTGGAACCCAAGGGTTGTATGCATACAACTTGAAGGAAGCCATGAGCGCAGCTGGTGAGTATGCATATATACTCTTCTACCATAGCCAGGGTTGTATTAATACTACTAAAGGATTAATAGAAGTCGCGTGGATCTGTGGAAGACAGATACTCTCAGTCGTTGCATGCGATAACACAACATCTGGTATATTACCTGTGAAAGACAGATACTCTATGTAGTGTAAGTAAGGGTAAATATATAAATGAATACAAAGTGTCTTACCTCAGTCGTTGCACGCGATAACGCAAACATCTGAGGTATACGGGCTTGATACTGTGAGTATAAGTAGGAATGAAAGCTCTTGTAAGTAGAGTAGGTATCTGAGACTGTAATCAATTGTCAATGGTTCTGGGTCAATGCGTATAATGGATTCAGTAGAGACAAAAGGAGAAACATTCATAAGAGCATACAATGAGAAACATACGAGTCAATGAAACAAGAGATGATAACAGACAACAATGCGCCACGACTGTGGGTGCACTTGCATACTTCCAACAACTACTGCCAGCAGGGTGTGGTGACGATGTTCAATGGATGTCAAGGGCTGACACTAGAGAATGACGTGTGACCTCTGCACAGATTCATTCACTCATGGACAGCTATACGCTGCACTTTCAAGAGTGCAACATTGTTGAGATATTCAAACACTATTCACAGGAGAAAAAGAAGAAAAGACGATGGCAAACGTAGTGTACAGACATCTCTTATTGTAATTCACAGTAAAAACTGTCCGAAGGTGAATGGAATACTTGTACACAATATGCACAGAAACAGTTGATATTGTTCATCTAGCGCCTAACGATATACTATGGCAGGCAAGACATGGACATAGTAAGGAACATCATTGTTATTCAATGGCCAGAAGCATGAACCTCTTCAACTGATTCAAGTAATCCACTACATCCTTGCTCTTCACAATGTTAGAGTTATAATCAACACTAAGATTGATCTCGCCCCCCCAAGAGGAGAGATGAAAGAATCTAAGTGCTCCAGTTAGTAATTGCATTAGAGAAATACTGAGACCTATAAAACTCATGGGCCATGATCAAATCAGTTGACAGATGTGAAGAATTTGGTCACTGAAAAGAGTGTGTTCCCAGTGTCATCCGTGAAAGTGGAATTCAAGTAGTTTTTCCTTTGCCATCACTGGAAAATGAGTAGCACTGATTGGGTGGCAGCCTGCCATGATATGAACAAACATAAATGATTTGTACTCCACATGTACATTTCTGCAGTCGCAGCTGGCACAATGGCAGAGGCGAATGCTTTGCCAACCTGGGGCATGCAACTCAATGCAGCTGGCAATTCCATGTGGGCTCAATACTGTTCCTTGGCAATGTCTGTGACCTTTAGAAGCATGTTCCTGTCCAATGGGAAGACACTTCTGTCAGGAGACAAGAACACTGACACTGGAATCCTGGTCATAGAAACACCAAGGATATAACCTGGATGCAGCGAGTACTTTGAATCCAACTGCCCTCAGAGATTAGCCAGAGACATGTTGTTCAAGTAATGTGACAAAGATGCCAAATTGGGTGGATTATCAGCTATGATGACCATTGCTAATGCAGAATGGGCTGGTATATTCTCAATAGGATACACTGATGGAGGGGAGACATCCACATACCAAGGTGTGTAAGTGTGAACCCAGAGATCTTTGAGGCAGTTAGAATTCCTCCTGATTCTTCCCTCATTAAGAGAACCTCAGCACAACATGTCTTTGGCCACTCTGTATCTTTTTGGCAAGCTCTAAATCTGTACATATCCTTCATATTCATGAATTAGCCACGAAAAAAATCAAAAGAGACAATAATTGTCACCTTCGCTGCCACGCTGAAGCTGGCAAGGACACTTCCAAGGGACTTGTAGTACTTGTGGTCAAAGGAAGGTTCCTCTGGTGAATTTGGTGAAATAGGAAGGGGTTCATTGGAATTTAGTATGTTGTAGGCTGCAGGAGGGAGGTTTTCCAGCTTGTTTCCCTATTCAATAGAGTTGGATGCGTTGTAGGAGTCAGAGAGCACCCTCGCCAATTGCATCAGATAGTGATTCACGATGATCTTTAATCCTGTGCCATCGAATGGTGTGTGATGTGTATGGAATAGCAGCCCGAATTTGGAGACCGTCCCATTGGCAATTTCACCAGGGACAAGGTGCATCCATGCCTGGTCTCCGTCAGATGAAGGGACCTTCTTTTGGCCCTCATTGACCCGCAATTGGTCAAGGTTGATATGTGAGGGTGAGTGGACAATGAGAGTGCAATGTGCCCACTGGCTGATCTCTTGTGGACTCACAGTTGTATAGGTCATCATGGGCAGCTCATGATTGGATCCATTTATGAATGATGCAATGGTAGGAATTTGGAAGTGGAGCCAGCACCAGCATTCTTGAGCAGAAGAGGTGAGCTTGGTTATGCTCATGGGGTTGTGCAAGTCAACAATGACTCTGAAGAATAATGTTTGGTCACCCTTAAGATGTCAGTTCAGAATATCCTGGGCATGCTCAGCATCTCCAAGAGGGCGAGCACATCCATTTCTGATGCCTTCACCTTCGAAGGGCTTCCATTTGAACTGTTCTAAATTGTAACGTGTAAGGAGATTAGCCATCGGTGACCTCATCTTAGTGACTGAAGTTACCTCTAAGTTCCTGTACAGTTATATACTGTCTAAATTAGACTGGATTGAATGAAACCCCCAGGGCCCAGGGTGTTCCTCTCACGCATCAGTTTTCAAAGTTATCTGAGGATTTATTGGTTGTGACTCAAATCGACAGTTGCTGTATCATGTATTGGACCTATTAATTCTCTGCTCAGCATCCAAACTTTCTGTATCATATTCTTGTGATCTGAGGCTCCATTTTGGCCCTTAGGACCAAACCAAGAGCAAACAATGGTACAAATCATGTGAGTGTTGTATTTTCAAAATTTGATTTTGCAGGAGCCAACACACTGATGCCATCATTCACATGCCACCTGAACATCATCTCATCAAAATGAAGCAGAAGATAAGAGGTAGTGTTTCCATATTTGCACGGGAGGAGTGTGATTCAAGTTGGTTGGTTGGTTGAAGCAGTGTGTTCCATACTAGTCTATGTCTCACAATTATTGAGCGGCATATCCAAATCTGATCTTCATTTATGTTGGGGGGTACCGGTAATGAGTTGTCTGACACTGTGTCACAACTCCAATCAGATTGTGATTGATGGTCGATTGATCATTGATCAGGCTCCATGGTGGCACTGCTATAATTAGGCAGTGGGATCTCAGAATTCTTCCCTGGTCTCAAACAATTTTTATAAGTTGAGAATTCATCAGCAAAATCTCACATTCCTTTTAGCTTTGCATCACTTAATTGCAGTTAATCACTGTTGTAATAGCAAGGGCCCTCCGGGCATCCCAGGACCCTTTGTCGGTGCTCTTTGTGTTTTGCATTAATTGTGCGCCTCAGTCAAGTCATTCTTGATTTTCTTGTCTCATAATTGGCTATTTAGTGTCCTGTCCATATCTTCTCCATACCAATTGTACTGCTCAGATGGTTTATATGAATAAAAATGAGTAATCTGTGAAGCACAATGACACGCACAAAACCTGTTTCATACATGGTCATGGCAAATTTATGATATATGCAATTCCTTACTATAGCCTATGCACTTCCCTTGAATTTTCTATACCTTACTTCAATTTACTTTGGACATTTCTGAGCATGTATGACCAAGATACGACTTAGCGGTTCAAATTAAATACTTAACATACCCTTTATCCTTTCTATAATTCTTTATTTTATTTACCCCTATGCCAAACATATGTACACACACATTCTATGCACACTTTATTTACATCTATGTACTCAAGGCAATGGTGCCAACCAAACCAAGTTAAACTAGCTCGGAATGGATTGGTAATCAATGCACAGCAATTAGGCAGTGCTAGAGGAACCTGAAACACAGCCTTTGCTAAGTATTCTAGAACATTCTATGACATTCCATGACATTCTACTGTTCTTTCTAGAACATTTTATGAGTATCTTACTAATCATTCTATGACATTCTATGATATTCCATGACATTCTACTGTTCTTTCTCAAACATTCTGGAATATTCTATAGTACATTAGTAATCAGTAGTGGGGCTCATTTTCCCCTCTTGTGAAGTAATCAATTTCATTCCCAAGTATTATCAGAGTGAGACAAAGTTTATAGGGGAACACAGGGGAACATTCTTTCACTCCTAAGATTCTTAGCCCCTACTGTTTGAGTGAACATTCAAGTGATTATTAGGAGAAAATATTAGTTTATTTGCTCCACACCTTTGATATCATTCTTCACACATTCTTCAAATGTATTTGGCCACATACTTGAGCCATCTTTGATTACATAATCATCCTTCATTCTAGTTCTCTTTTAGACACAGGAAAAGTTCTGTGGGGAGAATTATATGTATTAATTCATCAATTAGGGAAGACACAAATAAGACCTACAATCTGTCAATGAATATTAAGAGCTTGGCCACTTAAGACTACATCAAGAAGGTGTACTCTATTCTGGACTGCGTCATTACTCATTGTGAGATCCTGAGCAGCAGAGAGTTGGTTTCGAGGCCACGTATTGGGACAATCCCGCTAGTGAGTTTGTTCTCCATTGCTGAGTATAAGTAAGAGATATCCAAGAGGGATATATTAAAGTTCAAGCTCATTGCATACAGGTGCAACATATTATTCTGAAGGTTATAGCACTACCTTGTGCTACTATTGGTTTCTATCAGTTCTTTGCCCCTTTTACATCACGAGTGTTCACTTGAAAAGTTCAACACATCTCATCCCCCACGAATGACCACGTTATCGACTGTTGGTAATTGTCTGAACCGTTGACCGTGGAGGATAATGAAATTTGGAGAGTTTTTTTGCCTTTCACATCCTAGTAAGACAGTGAGCTTGGGCAATGAGCATCAAATCATATACAGAAGCCAACTTAAACACCTGACGAATATCTAAAGGCAACCTATCATGCCTGTAATGAAAATTGGCCAGCGAGTTGACAGGTTGATGTGGATGTTTGCAAACAAGAGTGAAATAGCATGGGACACATGCAATTTCCATGTATTGGTCACATGTAAAAGTTGAGAAATTCTCAATAATATAAGCAAGACTTGGAGCAGTTGCAGGCAAGAGGTCACCAGACAGAAACTGTCTGACAAGAGGCAGACAAACTTGAGTAATCCCAAAGTACCCAAAACACTTGCATAAAATGCACATTGACACAGCAGACATTCTGTCATCAAGAACTTCTTGATCCAAAACAACAAGGGCAACAGGAGGGACCAAGGGATCACATCAGCAAACATGCAGGCACCTGGCTGCACCTGGTCAACACCTGGATATCCTGGAGGTCTGGTAAGTATTCCCTTCTCTGTCAGAAATTTGCAAAAGTGGTTGCAATGATGTACAGTTGACATGCCATTTGGATGCCATTGAAACATGTTGAAATGCCCTGAAATGATAAGGTAATATGATGGCTGAGTTATAATCCATTGCAAGCCCCTTGTAATGATTATTATTAGCGCACCTAATACCTCTACACTTGCAGTGAATTCACTTGCTCTATTGCCCTGCTTTGATTTTATTTGTATCAAACTGCTCATTTCTGTCACTTACAATATTACTGTAACATAATGGGTCCAGATCACAGCACAAAACATTGTGATCTATGTGATCAGCACATCAAGCCATGAGTAGTGATGTTCCAGCCCGGCTTCAAGCCCTGGGCCAGCTGAAGCTGGGCCTGATTAAGCCAGGCCTAGGACACGGCCTGACAAGGGCTTTGGCTTTGGCTTCAATTTTTTGAAGCCTAAGCCGCTGGCCCAAGCTGTGGCTTAGCAGTGTAAAGTATAGCACTTGTTGCAGCCAGACAATGATGGACAACTTTCCCACAGTTGAGCTCAAATTATTTATTTGTGTGCTTTGAAGTTCCTGTTTGCGCCTCTGCTGCATCTGCCATCTCAGTATCAGCTTCTTAGTCCACCATACCACAAGATATATCAGAGAAATCATAGTGAGTTGCTGTGTATTGTTTTCAGTGGGCCAGGTGAAATTGATGTGGCACTGATGTAGCTTATGTGATGTGGTTCTGTCACAGATCCTAGGGTACAGATTATGTTTAAACACTATCTTATGTTGCTTAAAATGAATTCCAAACACTTTGTATCCTCACTAATGATCAACATATGCATGTCCATCTGTGTACAGGGCCTGGAATTGTCATATACCATACTTCTGGTCCAGGTCTGGACATCCAGATCTCAGATCCAATCCAGATCCATTGTTCCCTTCCGTCGTCTGGTCCACTGATCTGATCTGGTCTGCTATTCATTTCCTGTTCATATAACCTTAACACAGTGTCTATCTCCTTTTCGGTAATTCTTTGACTACCAGTACTCCAGCTATCTGTACTCCCATTCATCTTACTGATCCATTACATACCTTTCATCTATGTTTCATGATTGGTGATCAATCCTACTTACCAATAGACTTTGCATATACTTCATACATAGCCTTGGACATTGCTGATTAATCATTCCATTAGGTACCTATAGTATATAAACCCTTGTACAACTTTGTAACACCTCAGTTTGAATATCATCTTAGATTCTACTTATTCTTATCTCGGACTCAAGTCCTCCTCCGTCTGCCTTCCATCTTCTGTCTGGACTTGAGTTACTATGACTCTTGTCTACTCTGAGACTTAGGATTGATTCCTATAGTCTATATCTCTGCCTCTGTCTTAGACAGTCTACCTCTGATAGTTTCTAGTTCGGACTTCATCCAGATTAGCAGTTACACTACACTGTCCGCCCTTCCGGATGCGATATCCTCAGCCTTCTGAAATAAGGGGCAATACTTGGGAAAGGGGCACAGTGCACAAGCTGAGGCTGAAGCCCTTCAGATCTGTTACCATTTGAGTACAGTCTTAACAGGAATGCTGCATTCACCTCTCATCAATTTCAGAGTGCTTGTCCTCTGTGTTCGTACTCTACTACTTGGAATGTTCTGTGCATCTTGTGTTTGTATTGTATCATCTCTAATCATTGATCTAAAGTTCATTTTCAGACAGCAGTGTGAATTATTGTATCACTGTGTCAAGTCTTGACCCCACCTTATCAAGTCCAGGCAGCCTCTGTGCTTCATACTACCATGTCAAGCCCCCTAACCATGCCATGTCAAGCTTCAGTCAGGCTGGGTCAAGCACTACTCATACTACAATAAGTTCTCCCCAACATCTTTGTGGCCTCTGTACTAATATAAACCTCCACGCTTACCCATGCAGTGTCAAGGCCCACTCATATGCCATGTCAACCAAGTTGCGACATGGCAACAGGTGGACTATCAGCATTTTCATAAAGGAAAAATGTCTTTGTATGCACCTTCATGGTGCGATATATATGCTAACAACTAGGTGTTCAGGTACAAATAAAGCCTCCCACATCATCAACATCAACATCTTGGTCCCTTCTACTATTGTCTCTTCTATTTGATTGTCATGGACGCATTCTTGTCATATTATGGTTACTTTCTCTCCTAGGGTCATGCTATTATTCCTCCTTCCATCAACGAGCTATTCATTGGGAATGCACATTCAATTGCCATAGACGCCCCTCCTGGCTTCGATGAGTGAACTATCAGTGGTCTGATAAAGGAAAAATGTGTATGCATGCACTGGCCATGGCCTGGTCTGGCTCAAGCCGCAGCTTTGGGCTGGCTTGGGCTCATGGCCTAGGCTTGGAATCTGGTAAGCCTAAGTCCCCCTGGGCCAAGCCTAAGCCAGGGCTTTGAGCCTAAGCTGGGCTGGAACATCACTAGCCATGAGGCTACACTACCCACTGGAAATCCTGTGAGATGAATGCAGAAAAATGACATCGGGATCAGATTGTTATAGACCACATCCATATGGAGAATGGTATGTCTCTATATCATATTGTCTTGCTGTTGGGTTATTATTAACATTTAAAATCTGAAATAAGATGTAGTGTCTGAATCTGAACCGTTGGGTCCTTTGACAGTGAGATGGTCAGGTGCTGATGTCTCTGCACCAAGTGAGTTACACTGTTCCATTATTGCTCTGCTCACAATCTCTCAGTTGAACCACAGTGTGATCTGAATCGCACCTTGGACTATGATTTCGATTATGCTATCAATGATCCGATAATCAGTGAGTCGACATACATTTGTTATAGTTGATTTCTCTTATACTAACACTATCCTATACAGACCCTCCTATACTCAATGAACCAGAACTTCCAGTAGCTGCAGCCTTCCATACCTATAATCTCGATGATATCAAAGTTGAGTATCACCTGAGTAGTGGTATTGCAGCTAAGACTCATGGATTTGATACTTTCCAGCATTGTCCCACAACCTTGATTCTACCGCCTGATAAAACCCCTTGGCGTCCATTTAGGCGTCCATTTAAATCCTAGCTTGAGTTCGAAATTGCAGAGCTTACACTCGAGGTCAGGCTAAACAATGGTCAAACTAATCGTCTCTTTACATTATGTCACCGCTGCATGATAGGGAAGGAGAAAATGACCTTCAAAAACCACAAGGATATTCATAACTTGTGGGAGGCAGCCTCACATTGTGTCACAAAGGTGTGTTCTATTTCCTACCAATCATTGAAGTTTACAAGACCTGAATCTGATGTTCGATTGTTTGAGGTATAGTTTACAAAGGAGGTGATTTTGGTTCGCTTTGATGGTGACAGTGAATTGTGGGACTATGAAGTACACTATTAGGACCTTTGGGACTTGGCTACTGACTTACTTTGGAACCCCTGCCTCTTCCCACACTTCTCATTTGATGCACATCAATTCTCAAAGTTTGATGGTACCACTTTGTTCATTTTGTAGATGGGCCTTTCACTGTGCAGGACATCTGGGATATTCAAGTAGGTGTCAATGATACTTAATAGTTGTTTGATTCATCAATTGTTTTTTAATCATACATCTGTAGTCAAAACTCCCACCAGGCACCAAACCATTGGCTTATATATTGTATGCATGTGAAGACCGTACTCAAAGGGTAACGGATCTGAAGGGCTTCAGCCTCAGCTCATGCACTGTGCCCCTTTCCTGAGTATTGCCCCTTGTTTTAGAAGGCTGAGGATATCATGTCCAGAGGGGCAGACGAGTATTGTAGTCCAGTCGATGACTTCTGGATATTGGACGAGTAGTATAATGGCTAATCCGGACAGAGTCCAAACTAGAAACTAATGGAGGTAGATTGTCAAAGACAGAGGCAGAGATATAGACTATAGGAGTCAGTCCTAAGTCTCAGAGTAGACAAGAGTCATAGTAACTCAAGTCCAGACGGAAGATGGAAGGCAGACAGAGGAGGACTTGAGTCTGAGATGAGGATGAGTAGAATCTAAGATGATATTCGAACTGAGGTGTTACAAAGTTGTGCAGGAGTTTATATACTATAGGTATCTAACAGAATGATCAATCAGCAATGTCCAAGGCTATGTATGAAGCATATGCAAAGTCTATTTGGTAAGCAGGATTGATCACCAATTATTAAACAGAGATGGAAAGTATGTAACTGATCAGTAAGACAAATGGATGTACAGATAACCAGAGTACCGGTAGCCAAAGAATTACTGAAAGGAGATTGATGCTGTGTTAATGTTATATGAACAGGAAATGAATAGTGGACCAGACAATGGAAGGGAACAATGGAACTGGATTGGATCTGAGATCCAGATGTCCAGACCTGGACCGGAAGTACAGTATATGACAGTAGCCCCCCTTTGGGGCCAATCCCTAGAGGCACAAGATCTGGCAATCCGAATCCGATGATATGAGTGCAAGACAATGGAGAAGTCAATGGGTGGAGTTTCTGAGTTCGGATTTTGACAGATATATGGATGCCAAAGCGTCCTAGGGTGTTCCTTCCTTTCCCCACTTTTCCCACTCACAAACTAGCTTTAACAATATGTCTGGCAGCAAATCTGGCAGACAAAAATAAATGAGGGAGCAACTTGTGGACTTGCAGTGCACAATGGCAACCATAGAAGCCATGGCTCTCTGTGAGGAAGAAGAGGAGCGGAAGCGCCAGGAAGAGGAGTGGAAGTGTGAGGAGGAATGGAAGCAGATTGGGTTGGCAGAGATCCGGGTGCAGATGTAAGAGAATAGGCAGAGGGAGCTTGTAGCGGCAAAGGTGAGTGATTGGGAGCTCTAGCGTATCTGAAAACTGAGGCATCACTAGTCTTCCGCTGCTTCCGGAGCTAAGAAAGGAGATTGTACCAAGTGCGCTGATAAGGGCTGGACCTGCATGTGGACAGCTGCTGAAGGGAACACTTCAGTGAGTTATATTTCTGGATCTCCGGATGGGAGCACTGATGTCCAGATAAGATCAAGGCTTGTGATACCTGCCGGAAAGGCAAGGTCCAGTGCCCCGGATAGACCAGAAATGTCAAGGAGCCTAAAACCAAGATGAGGCAGCGCACTGTAGGAACTCCATCTCTGAAATCCAAGGGTAAGAGGCGCCAGCAGAGTCCTACTTCAGAGGTTCTGGATGTGGACATCACTTCCAATCCACAGACTGCGGCGGATCTGGATGAGGAAGGCACAGACTATGACAACCAGGCTTGGGTTGCAGTGGCCAATAGCATTGTGGCGGAACTGGTCCAGACCAACGGACTTTTGGAGAGGTGCATTGGAGCAACGGAAGGGAGTCAGGCTGCTATGGTCTGGATGAATACTAACATGAAGAAGTTCTTGGAGCAGCAGAGGGAGTTTCATTCCCTTCTCTTGGAGGGGATTTGGAACAGATTTTGCTTATCCATGGATCTGAGTACTGAGGAAGATGTTGTGGTGACAAGAAATGGCTAGCCTTGGGGAAACTAGCCAAATAAATGTGAGTCTATGCTCTGCCTAGCTGCTACACTTGTAAGCAAGAACATTTGACCCTAAAGGGGACTGCTACTGAGAACAGCTATGAATCTATAGGAAGTAAGGACACGGGAATATAGATAGGGGTAGACCGGACGCTCGGGAACAGGTCCGAAGGTATCCGAAGCGCGGGAACGGCCGAAGCGGACAGAAATAGCACGAGAACTCGGCCGATGCAAAGCGGACAAGTAAGGAAAGTGATAGGGAGTGACTAGGTTTCAAAGGATTGAATTGCAAGGTCAAGGAAAGACTAGGTAAGATGTCCGAGTATCAGGTAACCAAATAGGGGCTAAGAGCGGAACCTAATGGGTGACTACTTCGAAGTAAAACCAAAGGGAAGGAAATACCACTGAAGGGAAGTAATGATGAAATAGTCACTACAGGCTCTTTATACTAGCTAAATCCTCTCGGACTCGGAATAGACAGGAATAGTGGAAATATGTAAGAACATGTAATAAGGCTGAAACCCTTGTTACAACACGAGGCAAGTAAAAACACGCACCAGTGGAGTTTGGATGGACATGGAATTGACACGGGGCTTTCCTAAAATGGTTTCTGAGCAGTCCAAAGGTGTGGGAACTCGACCGAAGGTGATCAGAATGCGCGGGAATGGTCCGGACGTGCAAGAATAAGTTCGGGTATGCAGGAACAGCCGATGCGGCTGTGCAAAACATTTGTTGTCTCCAAGTCCTTCCAGAAATATTTTATGATCGCCCTGGAAATCGCAAGTGCCGGCTTGGTGGTGTTCCTTAGCGTTTTGTTCTTGTTGGCACCAACAGCCACATATTTATGAGAATCTATGACCATAGTGCATAGAGCGATGAGAGGCCTTGTGAATAATCCTTGTGATAATGATAAGAGGACCAACGCAGGAAATATCATGGTGCATCACTTACTGGTATGGCAAGACTGCCCGTGGAAGATAAATGACCATTCGCTCCAGCGTTTCCAGGGAGTGTTCATGAACTTGATTGGTGAGGAAATGTCCCTTCTTCACGTCAACAATCCAGGATAGCTCACTGTGATGCAAGAATTCTAGGTTGGGTGGGCCATTAATGCTGATAGGATAGATGTATGGTTTGGTCAACTCACAATAAATCCCCCCCCTGAAGAGTGACCACCTCCATGTACCAGTTGGCCTCAATCTCTGCATGGTTGGTGAGAAGGTTTGTCATTGGTAAGGAAAGCTCAGGTGAATTTAGTGCATGAAATGTTTGGATTTCTGAGGAAGGCCGGAATCCATTTTTTTTGCCCAGTACCGACTGTACAAAGGTGACTCCTCCATCCAAGTCATGGTGGAAATTTGTCAGGAATCCGGGTTGATAGAGCAAGGACCACCCGTTAAGGCGGAAATTGTCGGGATGGACCTTGTCCTGGATAGGGAAATCAGTTGTGGTCTGATTCCATCCATGCACTATCCCATGATCAAGTTGTCTGAAGGAAACAGAGGTTTAAAGAGTTTATGAAGAGAAAAAAAACAATTACCCACCGCAAATGATCCGGGATGCCTCGCCCTGTATATGGAAGATCCAGGATGAACTGTATGCAGTTTGGGTCACATAAGTTGCGCAGGAAGTCTTTGATCATTCCTTCAAGTTGTGGATGCATATAATCCCTAGTATGCTCTTCTACATATGTCCATCGGATCTGGATTGGATCTGAGATCTGGATCTTCAGATCTGTACCCAGGTATATGGTATATGACACTGGTGCAGAGTGTGAAGAGTCTGCATCGGGTGTTACAGCCCGGCGGCACTTGGCAGAAGGCTAGGGTACTGCACAGGTAAACCCGTGGGTATGAACAGTCCAACCCGTACCTGTACCTGGAGATATACCCATACCCGTGGTGTGGGTATGGGTTTTTGTATGGGTATTGAAAAAACGGACCTGGGGTATCACCCGCGAGGGGTATACCCGCGGGTCACTATGATAAGCATTGTAATGAATGATACTAACAAAAGATGTAATACTATTCTACCTGGATGCTGTCCCAACCCTCATCCAATGCTTCCTCTTCCCCAATGACATCCAGGAGCTTAGATGCGTGAATGATATCCTTCGAATCGACCAGGCCCAATTCACTCCATAAACCGACACAAAGCAAAGCATGCGTTGATTGAGCTGATAAATGATTTCGGACGTGTGACAGGATGAGATGCACGCGGCTGAAGAGACGTTCAACATCTACAGAAGTTGCTATAGCCAAAGTAAGTTTACGATGTATTTTTAAAAAGCCACACACCAGGGATAGTAAGATAGTCAATGGCCATGCGTGACAGGCGGGGGAACAATTGGTGACATGTTCCATGTCCATACTAAGGTAGTGGTCGAGTTCAGAGGCTGGGTTAGTAGGTTTGGGGGCTGCAAGTGTTGGGAGATTGTCAAAAATGTTGTCACTCTAAGATTGAGTCAGTACAAACACTAAATAAAAAGCAAATAGACAAATACCATTGATTTATCACCATTTGACTCCAAGATGTCCTCCTCACACCCAAAATCAGAGTCGTCATCAAGCGACATGTACGAATGTTCGAATTATTCGCGGACAAGTAGGTCTGCAGTTTGGATCCAGTTGTCTGGCCAGTGCTGCTGCCTTGAAGTATGATAGCTTATGTTGGGGATGTAACACTAGTATAATAATATTAACCGTCAGTAGAAACCCAAAAAAAACTAGATTGAATAGAACTTACCCATTGTGATCCGATATGTGTGAGACTTGTCTGTGAGTTGATAGTACTGGTTGAGGGTCTTTTTAGTGAGCCGAAACAGCCGAACGAATTGAGGGCAAGTATTTCTTGTTGCGTGAAAAGGAGGTGAGCGTCTTGTTGACGTGATCCATTGCTGGGATCACTGTTGCAAGGTTAGGTGTTGCGTGCGAGAAGTAAAGGGTGGCGTCCTTTAGAATCTAACAAGAGCAAACAATGCAGTGCATGTGACATTGGAAAAGGAGCATGCACCTTAAGTATATCCCGCAATTGTTGCAGTATCACCCACTCATTATCCTCCAATTCATACTTCCGTAAACCTAAGTCCCGCCGTTGTGTAATGGCATCCACGGCCTCTCGATGCTCCAGTGCATAGTTCAACATATCGAATGTGGAATTCCACCATGTGGCCACATCACGTGGCATGAGGGTTTGGGGTTCCGACAAATCCCTCTGGATGCCATGCCAAGCAGGAAGGACAATATTAGTGGAGTGTATGATTTTGTAGGCAAGTTTGTGCACCTGGGGAATATGTTGAGTTCAATGGTCACCCCAGCATGAATGCACATGCTTTCGTATGTTGCCAGTCAAGCATGCATCACCTTTGTCAACGTACCATCGCACTTTGGTCTTGCACCTTCTGGCTTGGCACTTGAAGTCATGAGCACGATGGCCATCAATTTCGACGATCTGTGGCATTGGATTGAAAAACGCATAGACTGGTGAATTCCAATCTTTCATTACACATTCTTTTTTGTACTCAATTAGTATGATATTTATATCAAGGTCATTGCACTTACCGAGCTCATCCTCCGCCGTCTCATCAGCTTCATCCTCGGCTGACAACACTATGTTGTTGTCAGCATCAGCATCATCATTGTTGTCATTGTCTTCGTACAACGCATTCTCTTCCTCCTCGGTATGCACAACAGCACGCCGACTCAAAACCAATTCTGGCCGTGGAGACAATGATGCTGTTGATGATGCTATGACAGGCCTGTTTTGGTCAACTGCCTCGTCTTCATTGGTAGATCCTGCATCATCGGTGGGAGTTTTACCGGTCAGTAGGCTTTTTTTTTGCCTTCTTCGGGTTCATGTTCCCACTATCTCGATTGCCGTCGGTTTTGCTGCTTCTTTGATGAAGTTCTGACAGTCTTCTCTTCTAGGGCAGCTTTGGTCCTTCCCGGTCATTTTGATAACTCGTTTGGCTGTGGCTGCAAAGGTGAGCTGCATGATGGGCAGTACTAGTAGGTGGTGAAGGTTTGCAAGTGTCACGCAGGATGTTTTAGAGTTTGATATTTTTCAAGTTAGAGTTTTCATCTTGTTTAGGTAGTCAAAATTTATTCACATGTCCCCCATTTTTGTATCGACACCCACAGGCTGGGGTATGGGTATGGGTTTGGGTACTGTGACCCCAGACCCATACCCATACCCTAGTAATACCCATACCCTGTGACCTGCGTGGGTTACCCGTACCCGTGCAGTTCCATACAGAAGGCTGTTGGAGCCCCTGTTGTGCAAGCTTCTGCCTTGCATGTGATATTTGTTTGTGCTCGTTCTGCTGTAACTTCAGTCACTCGGCTTCAGCAGGGTCTTGTTTCTTGGCATGGCGCCAAGTTCTTTTGGCTTCTGCAACCTTGGTTTGGGACTGGTTCAGAGGGTTGGTTCAGCATTAAGTATGGGATGCAGGTTGACTAGTTTGTTCAGATGATGGATGGAGTGTGATGGTTCCGGAGTTGAAGCAAAGCTGACTGTTGGTGGTGAATTGAAGTGTGGACAACCACAAGTTATATAACCACAAATCGGCAGGAGTGGGCTCTGAGTCAATGATTGTGTGGTTGGATCCACATCTTTTATCAATCTCCACGCAGCCAGTTGCTACATAAGTTGTATACTATAGGGACGTTCAATTCTAAAATGTTGCTGTCAATGTCAACTTGACCTTACGGCTGCCCTCTCGTAAATTACACATTTCTGCATGGTCATCACCCACTGACACTGGTGCTCCACAATTGACAAAAGTCTGGTGGTCACTGATGCGCCTGGATGTCGGATATGGTTGAAAACACATGCCAGGCGGTCAAGTCTGCGGTCGAACTACCAAGTTGGACAATGTTGATCACAGTGTTCGCAGCAAGCCTGATGATATCAACAGGCGCACCTACAACTGTTGTCACCTGTCCAGTTAAAAAAAACAGCAGGAAATGGCCATAATTTGTAATATTCAAACCTGCAATACACATGAAAAGAATCAGTTGGTGACTGTGCAACCTCACAAATGGGAACTGCATAGAATCATCGGTGTATAGACATGGAAGGAAATCGGCCCAACCACACATGGTTAAAGGGGTTAGGTGTAAATACATGAAACAAAAAAGTAGATCCACTTGTCAACAAAGGGACTACAAAACACCTGTGCGATATCGTATGCACCAGCCATGGTACTTGGATTTCAGCCTCCAAGGTGCCGAACTTGCAACAATCACAAAGCTGTCTTCTGGTGCCCTGTGGCCCAACATATTTTAGACCACTCAGGACCAAAAGATCCGGATACCAAAGTTAGAATGAAAGACATCGGAGTCAACACACCTTGTCAGGGTTTGGAGATGCTAAAACATCATTGGGGAAACCTGTGTATCCAGAATGGACGGTCATCACAATATGACATTGCAAGATAGAACAGAAGACTCAACTGAGATCAGACCATGGTGAACAAAATGAACATCAGGAAGAACCCTTCTGGAGTGGTGGAAGTCAGCCAGGACTGGTGTCCATGACAGTGATGCAAATGTTTGTGCGGGGCCAGACATTGTCAGCCCCATGGAATGTATTTGCACACCCAAAAAATCACATACCTGACACCCACAGTCAACCCTGAAGGGAGAAGAGAAAGCAAAAACAATGGAGGCGTCTAAAATCTGCCAGGTGTCTAGCTTTGGTGACAGTCCTAAAGACCACCCCATATCAGAAATATCAGATACTCCGGGCTACCCCACTGAAGATTTACACAATCACCAACCTGTGGGGGCCGTGCAACCTGGCAGCATTATCGCCCAAGGGAGTGTCTGACGATAGGCCTGTGGTTGGATAGACCATCCCACATCAGAAACATCGGATACTCCAGGCTAACCCACTGGAGATTCACAAAATTGCCAACCTGTGGGGACCGTGTAGCTCGACAGTGTTATCACCCAAGGGAGTGTCCATCTGGGTGCGTATGGTTGAAATTGGAACTTAGAGAACCTCCTGCCCGTGTTGAGACTCTGCCTGAAAGTTTGAGTTGGTGTTCAATCAGGCACATTGTGTAAGCTGAGCACCCCATAATATTTGTGATGACCACCTGGCCTGCACAGGGGAGAGGTGGTGGCGAGTTTCTCTCGTCTGAAATGGCAGAATGGGAATTTTTTGGCCGCATAGTCAAGGGACTTGTGTGAACTTCAGACTGACCTTTGGACTGACTTGTGTGAACTTTAGACTGACCTTTGGACTGACTTGTGTGAACTTCAGCTTACCTTTGGACTGACTTGCTCAGGTGAACTTTAGACTGACCTAAGACCGACATTAATACTTGAGCAAACTTCAAGTTCTTAATTTGATGAGTACACACTTACTCATACTGCCTTCAAGCCTTTTGAACTTTAAGTCTATGGTGTTGCACAGGAACTTACGTGGTGTCAGCGAAGAGAGACTTAGACTTTTTGGTTTGCCTAAGTCCACTTATGCCAGGGTACAGTGTTGTATTACCCATGATCATGTCAACTATTCTATACGAACTTGTATGTAGAGGGCACCAAAAGACTTCGCTTCTTGTTCCTCTCCCAAATTTGTCTTGTCCGGTATTCTCCTATGCCTCACCTCCATGCTCAAGATTGGTGGTGCCCAACTGCAATGGCTGCCCCTGGGATGACTATGTCACTGAGACCAACACAGATTTCCATTCAGTTTGCAATTATATAACCCTGGGACACATCACAGAATTATGAAGTCCATCTTAATAGAGGACAATAACATTGATGAAGGGCTCACACCATGCCAATATATCTGCCGAACTACTTCCAAAGCACACGACTGATCGAGTACATGCCATCTTGACCTTCTCAGGCTTTCGCCGTCTTTCTGTTGCTTGTGGATTGATGCCCTTGTCGTCAGTCTCATCGGGTCTACCATATGCATTGGTCATTCTGATCATATTTGGCACAATGACATGTGCACGCATGTGTTCTTTCATCGTTCAAGTCCATTACCTTAACCACCAGACGCAAGTTTGTGAAATTGGGCTATGCAGAGTGCAGGAATTAATATGTCTTCTTTGGCGACAAGGAATTTATGCAGAAACAGATTTAGGACAGTTGTTGTCAATTTCTCACTTCCCGTCAGACTCCTGGAGGCACACCTATAAACTGTGGTAAGAAGGATGCATGGACGACAATGTGTTTTCCTTCAATCTGTCCCAAGATCTCTTTGTCATTCTCTGGCCACTTCTAACGCCTTCTGGTATCTCTCCGCTCTATGACAGCTGACAGGTGATTTTGCAGAATACTGGACTTCACGAAGGACCGTCATGTATACATGATGATCTGTCTAGTCTATGTTTCGGTTAGCAAGATACAAGAGCTGTAAGAGCAAGCTCAAAAGTTCAGTAGTTGTGATGTATTTCGCCGGAGGCACCTGACATACCCCACTGACCACACACTTACCTGTGGTTCCTTAGAGCTTTGCGATCCACCAAATAGCTTCTGAGCTTCTGAACAGGATACTCAACACTGCTTGCCTGCCAGCACAGTTCAAGTTGTAGAATAGGTAAATGTGACTGAGCAATTTCTCCAAGCATTTATCGTTAGATGCGATGGACGATTTGTCATATACCATATTCCCGGGTACAGATCCAAAGATCCGGATCTCAGATCCTGATCCAGATCAATGGACATATCCGTCGTCCGGCCCACAGATCCAATCTAATCCTTATTTCATGTCCTGTTCATATAACTCTAACTATTGTTCATCTCCTTTCGGCATTCCTGTACACCAGTATACCGGTTACCCTTTACTTCCATTATGCTTACTGATCCGCTTTAGCTTATACTTCATTCCCAGTTATGATTCGTTACCCATCCAACTTACCGATATGCTGTACACATACTTTGCTTATACTTCGTACATAGCCTCAGCGTCCTTGCTTATTGATCATTCCGTTAGTTATCCGTAGTATATAAACCCTTGTACATGCGCTGTAGTAGATCAGTTCGAATATCATCTTAGATTGCACTCATTCTGTCCTGGACTCTAAGTCCCTCCGTTATCCATCCGGACTTGAGTACGATACTCTTGTCTACTCCGAGACTTAGGATTGATTCCTATAGTCTATATATCCGTCTCTGTCTTCGGACAGTCTTCACCCGTTAGTTTCTAGTTCGGATCCAATCCGGATTAGCCGTTACTCTATACGTTCGATATCCGGAAGCCTTAACGGATCTGTTATGATACTTATCTGTCTCACTAGACGCGATACTCTAGCACTCTGAAATAAGGGGCAAGACTCGGGAAAGGGGCACAGTGTACGAGCTGAGGCCGAAGCCCTTCGGATCCGATACTACTTGAGTACAGTCTTAACACGATTACATTACATTAACATAGCATTTAAATGACCGTGTTGGCGACGCCACGACCGGCCTGGTGCTATAAACCCAGATCAATACCATGAAATATCACATCTGTCAGACACAACCTGGTCTTTGGCTCTGGTAAGGCCTTACCGGGTGTTAGTGGTGTTGGATCCTCAATTCTCCCGTTCTTTGGTGCGGGATTCTTACAGATGTGTCGACTGGGTGACCTACAACTATCCCGCCCACCTGGCTGCTGATCTCTTGGACAGTCCAACCCTTCACGGCTTTGTCTTTCAAGGAAAATCTGGTCATCTAGTTATGAAGGGAACAGGCTTTGTTCCAGTGAGGCTTCACAAAAAGGTTTGGATGTTGAAAACTGGGGGCGTTTTCTGGACTGATCCTGGCAATCAATAAGTTGTTATTTTGGCTTAGAATCCGACACAGAGGAACAGTCATGGAGTTCATGAAGTTTGAACAATTTCGGGATATATTGATCTTGCCAAACCCCAACCTCCGGCAGACATTTGAACAATATCACTCCATCTGGGGTGGTATAGACCTTATGGTAGATCCAAGGCAAGTAGTCAATGTCTAGTTACCAAATTCAAATCGTTGAAAATCAGGACAAGTGAGCAGGCTGACGGTTGGGACAGCCTGGCCCTGCTGCAGCAATACCTATCTGGCCTGCAAATGCTGGAGTCTATTGTTCCGGTATGGCCCCTGTCCAAAGAGATGCTGCATGCTTCCCTGAAATTCAATGTAATTATCAATGTCGACCAAATTGCATCCAGGACGGTCAATTCCCCAAGACCCCTGACCACACTCCTTTCTCACAATGATGTCTCACAATCCTTTGAAGGCTGTATTCTCAAACGTGAAGGCAGCGATTGCAACTGGCATGTTTTATTACCTGGCAAAGTGGATCCGTTGAATCTGCCACCGGATCGTGGTCACTTCAGGTGGCTAAAGCAATCGTATGTACCAACCCTTCAGAAGCTAGGAGAGTGGTGGATTATCTTGGTGGATTGTCAGCCATTGTGGGTGGTGCACATGGCTCCAGGAAATGGGGAAGGGGAGTGGGTCTTCTTGCATCAGGATGCTGGTCCATCACTGGCAGAAATGAGGTGGGTTCTTCAATTGACCAGCCGTCACGATCTGATTGGTATTGTTACAGCTGATTTGGAAACTATGCGGAATCACAAAATCAAACCTTGAGCATTGGAAACGGCTGAACAAGGACCCCATAAGCATATGACTGCGAGATTTGCGCTGTGCAGCGTCTGTGTCGTTAAATGCAGCCATGCACTGTTTCAAATGATCTAAAGGCTCAAATCCCTGTTCTCCATCGGCGTGGGCACTCCATTAAACATATCTGCCATCTACTTGGAGTAAAAAGCACTCTTGTGTACAAGGCCTTACAGCTCTGTCCCTTGACTTGGAGTTTACAGCACTCTCATATCCACAGCAAGCATACAGGCTGGCGTCGCACCCTCACCATTGATGACATTGCCTTCATCACTGCCATTCTTCGTCACCACCCTACTATTTATCTCGATGAGCTACAGCATGAATTGCACTCTCGCCGTGGTGTGCTTGTGTCTCTGCAAACACTTCTTCGCACATTTTCACAGTTACATTTCAAGCACAAACACATTTCCGCTTATGCTCTCGAACAGAACTAAGAAAAATGTGCTATTTTATGAATAGTATTGCTAACATTGCACCTGACCCTGAAATGTTGATGTTTGGTGATGAGGCTGCGAAAGATGAGAGAACCCTCATTCAACGCTATGGCAGATCGAGGATTGGAATGAAGTATGTCAAATTTTATTGTGATTGACATGCAATGACCAGTCTAAATCAGATGCATCCAAAGGAAGTGTTTCGTACAAGGCAAACACTACTCGATCTTGCCAATACTGACTCTCGATGGAATCATTACTTATGATATCATTGAGGGAACAGTGACGAGTGAGCGATTTATACAATTCTTGCACGAGCATGTGGTATGGTTTCATTTATATGACTTGGATCAGAATTTGACTCGTCGTTTGCAGCTGCCTTTAACCAACCCATATCCAGGGCCATGTAGTGTCTTGGTTTTAGACAATTGCCGCATTCACCATAGCAACAAGGTCCGTTGTCTCATTGAGGAAGAAGCTCTATGCAGGCTCGTATTTCTGCCTCCATATTCACCTGACTACAATTCTATTGAGCAAGCCTTTTCTGCTATCAAAGCATATTTACAACGTCATTTTGATGACAAGGGTTTAACGAGCATGGTACGAGCATATCAAGCCATCACACCTGATAAGGCAGAAGGTTATTTTCAAGCTTTGGGGTATATTTCCTAGCTATTCTACTGATTCATAGTGCTACTTCTAAATAAAAGGATCTTCTGCATTTGCATGATCACCCTCTGACTCGAAGGTGAACCCAGGAGGAAAGATAACCCAACTTTTCCTGTTTTCACAGAAGTAGTAAAGGTCATAGTCCAAAATTGTTCGCTCCGCTAATGACTTGTCAGCATACACAATGATCGGGATATAGCCACGCACCTGGTGGACGCTCATCAGGCTTCATACAACTTCCACTGATGCGAGCTCGTCCCCCATCATGGTATCTCTTCTCATACTGGAATTTCTTGTACTCGGGAATGTCCGACTCAGTTGTATCACTCCGTTGACACTTTGCACTACTCTTTGCGAGAGGCCCATTCCACCATGTAACACTGCCTTTCTTCAGCCGAATAATGTCACCTGCACTAAGACCAACTCGAGCAAGATCTTGGTCAGCCATGTCCACAAGTATATCTGGACCTGCACCAATGCCACGCAGAGAGGCTTCATATGTTGAGGCAAATGCAACACCGAGGTGGTCTTTGGCATACTTCAAAAAATGAGTGAGTGTTGAGGGTGTTGGAGCAACAGGTGACGTGACAGGGAGTGATGTCACAGTTCGAACAGGAACTGGTGTCAAAGGGGTAGCCTTGCGTGTGAGATCTTGCACAGTTCGTAACAAGAGCATAGACGTGAGTGAACTGATGTCAACAAATATTTTCACCTTTCGAGGCTCTTTGGAGATGAGTTTCTTTGCCATTTCCGCATAATCAGCTTGGTTGTCGACATCCATTGCTTCGGCACGTCTATAAACAACCACTGTGAGATAAGTTTTAATTTCTATGAATAATACAAAGATCACTCGCCCATGAGAATTGCCAAGGAGGTACTTGAAAGTGTATTTCTTCCTCTCAGTGATCCTATAGTGTGATTTGTCATGCTTCATGAGAATTGTTGTCAGAAATTCAATGTAGTTGGACTCAGAGACTTGAAAGACAAGTTCCTTGACTTCGTAGATTTCACTTCCTTGGTTTTGCTTTGCCATTATTTTCAGTAGTAGTCTTGGTGTATGTATCAAGGTAAATAATGATGTTGCCATGAATCCAGGTGTCTCTGGGGAGGAATCTGATGGCAACGACATTGTCTTTCAGTGAATTGCATATACTACACTAGCGCTACTACAAATCTCGCAGTCATGTGCTTATAGGGTCCTTGTTCGGCCATTTCTGATGCTCAAGTTTTGATTTTGCGATTCCGCATAGTTTCGGAATCAGCTGTACACTTGAACCAGGGGATTGGCCCAGCCTGCACCTGAGGAAACCTTATGTCTTTGACGATATCATGGACCCCATAGGGGGCACACTCTCTGAACAACGCCAAGCTGATCAAGAGCTGGAGTCCTTTGCCACAACCACATTGAATCAAACTCATAAGCCTTGAGGAAGAGTCGCTGGGTGCACCCAGCTCCTTGAGGTTGATTGTCCGACTGGATTTGGGTGTCATGCATGGTCCTGATGGGCAATTAGGGTATTTTATAAATGAGGTGGAGTGCAGCATGGGTATTGGACTGTTCAGCACCGGGAATCCAAGGTGGACCTTGTGGCTGGCTGATGAATTTGGGTGCGTGTTCTCCAGGTGGGTGAATGAAACATGCCTGGCCATGAAATGCCTAATTGAGCCGTTGACATAGTTCCAGCAGGATTTTAGTCTTTGACATGCATTCCTATGGCTCATTGCCATGTACAAACTTTATTATCCAAGTCATCCAACGACACCATACTATAGGTTTATGCTAATTCTGTGGGCTTTGACCCATTGGCTCCGGTCTTTGTGATTCATCAAAATGCATCACCGTGCAATAAGCCTGATTCCAGGCGCCACCTAGACCTGCACCTGGTGTAGACTAACCGCTGGCTGTGGACCTCAGACTGACTTTGGTGCAGGCCCATACCAGTACGTGTAAGATGTTGCAATTGGAGGCATACAGTACCTGGCGTTCAGAGTTCCTAAGTATGGCTCCTGAACTTCTTTTGATTCACCAGGCCCTTCTGCTGACACAATGATCCAGTAGCGATCTGATAATTTTATTAATGGGCGGTTTCATTTCCTATCACCATTGATGTTAGGTAAATATATGTAACACATTTTTATGTCCTCAACAAATTTTCTCCAGCTTTTATGCCACCCGCCATAGATCTGTTGGGCATTTTCCTATTATGTTTCACACCAATCAGTTTGATTTCCTGGCGCAGGTTGTAGTGCCCAGACTTGGTCACTTGCGAACATCCCAAAGTACATAAGAGGCACGAGTGTGCAGGGCACCTCTGGATGAATGGTTAGGACCATCCAGCTCTCTCAATGGTAGATCCAGGCCTGATCACAGGGATAAAAAATTTGACTGGTGTGGCCTATTAAAACAACATGCCAGGCCCCACCTTTGAAACATTTGCAATAGCTCAAGGTCATTACGGGCTGGCTGAGAGCTGACAGTTCCTACAGCATGTTGACTCAGATAGGATATGTTGATCCATTTTCCCAGCCTCACGCGGCGTATACATACATAATGTATGCAAGGTCCAACACTACATTTTATATTAGTGGACCCTGATTCAATTGAATAATAGATGGCGAACACAAATTGTGGCCGCTTCTGTTGTCGCTTCTGTTGCCGCCATCACTTATCAAACGCAACTTAACCAATTTGGGAACCCTAGCCACACCATTGTGGGAATTATAGGATGTGTTTTCTGTTGGCCTCATCACTCGCGTCGACCTGAACTCCTCCAAAGCGCTATGCAGGCATCCATTCCTTCTGTCAAGATGATAGACCTTAACCATTACTGGAATAAGGCAAGTACAATGCGCAAGGATTGGTGCCCAGAGCTCTATCACTGTGGACTCTACGAGCAGTCTATGGACTGTTTTCCGGTGATACGATCACATGAACATGTTATTTCATTCCCGCTTCCTCAAAACCTCTCTGCTGATTTTTGCAACATGCAATGTATGGGCTGTGGTACCTGTCACTCAGTCAGCGCTTCACCGAATGGACCAGAGAAAATTTATTTCAGGCATCTGTGTATTTGCACCATCTGTGCGAGGCCTTTTTTGACGAGGTCCAGGAAAATTTCTATCCCTCTACAATCAGCACCGAGTCCAGGAGATGCCCACATCAAATAAAATATGTGTCAATGGTTCTCTAGCATCCTATTCTCTTGGGCACAAGCAACATATCACCCGCAAGATATCTCCTCCGGATTCAACCTGGTTGCCACCGGAGCCTCAAATTGACCAACCGGCTTCAACTGTATTTGGTGAGCGTCCAATTTGTTCAATCTCCCTTTGTTATGAATGGTGGCACAGACTGGGCAACTTGATGATATCACCTGAATTGACCCTGT